CCACACCCACCCACACCCACACCCACACCCACACCCACACCCACACCCACACCCACACCCACACCCACACCCACACCCACACCCACACCCACACCCACACAAGCACACACTGCAGTATGATGCAACATGCGTTTGTCCCTATCTGCAAACTTGCCTCATTGCCTCGAGACACGATGCCAGAACATTGGTGTTTGCTTGGGGCCTTTCATCATTCTTCCACTTGAATACGTTTGATATCATTTGATTCTCATGTCGGAAACAGCAACAGAGCGACTACAGTAATAACTAGATGTAAGGTGATGTAAGGAGGAAGTCCTCAAGGACCCCTCCGAAGAATAAAGTGACTTGGGATTCATTTGGGAGGTGTTGCAAGCATCTGGCCACTCCGACATCGTAGAGGCAAAGTGCAAGACTTTGACACATCTTCGTGGAGAAAGTTCACAGACACACACAGACACCTGGAATCTAGGCATTGTATGGCAATGTAACGTAATGTGTGCCGCTGCGCAATTTTTTGACGGTCCACAACTGCAATGTGTTTTCGATAACGCTTCATGATTGGCCCATGATCCGATGAAGGCAATTGGTTCGTGCTTTGCACGTCACTTGAAGCATTCGGGTGAGTCGTGCCCTTCCCACTTGGCTTCGTGTAGAAACTCTGCTAGGCTTTGGAATCCCCAAGAGTTTGACTCAGAATGAACTGGTGGAGATGAAACGTTTATCAGTTCATTTGTCATCAATTGCGCGCATAGAACGTCAGTAGGAAGGAGAGCCACTGTGGAAGGTATCTCGATTACAACGCCTTGTTCGACTCGGTCCGGTTGCGACGAGAGAACATTTTAGAACAGGACAGTTCTGTGTCTTCTCTTTGAATCGGGCCCAGATGTATCCAAGTGTGCCCTGGTAAGTGCAATGTGATCTTTTTGCAGAAAGATTGACGAAAATACTGGAAAACACGTCAGGAAATCTGGCGAGCCTTCTCAAGTCCTGAGGCATTGGACCGTAATATACCGTAATGATTTCTCTGGGCACACTGGAGAGAAACTGCGAACAGAAACTGGACAGAAATGCCATGGAGATATATGAAACTCATGCCATTGCGGCCATCGTGGCCATCGTGGCCATCGTGCCAGGGAAGTGCAGGTGGACCCGTTGACCTACAGGCATTCCTCGAGGCAGTCTCGCACACCTCCCATCCCTTTCACTTTGGGTATATGCAGAATGGTCAGAATGGTTGGAGCTTGCACTGTCAAGGGGAAGCATTCTTAGATATATTATGATATTAGATTATGTGTATATCTGTATATGTTATATATATATGTTATACAGTATATCACTGTATACTTAGGACGCTTGGGATGAGAGCCCCATTAGGCTTCAGCTCGGCTTCAGCTCGGCTTCAGCTCGGCTTCAGCTCGGCTTCAGCTCGGCTTCAGCTCGGCTTCAGCTCGAGTCAGATCATGACGGAAGTTTTCTTTGCACTGCAGGCATTTGATCTTGGCCAAGTCTTGCGCCGCGAGGGGATCAAGGCTGTGGCTTGAGACAACTGGCCTTTATGCAGTCAATGTGACATTGAAGACATAATGCAACACTCGTTTCAACTCAACGATAGTTTGTGTAGCATAGTGCAGCGAAGGCGGCATAGTGACACAGTGCAATGTATGCACAGTATCTCACTGTAGCACTGAAATTATATGGATGCAGATGATGCAGTGCTGGAAGCAGTAAACAACCTCGCTGAGAGTGCCTCGACAGGAGGATATTGCTGGCCATGGACTCAGCTCATGTTTTTATCCCACAAAAAATGAGTCGTTGCATGCCACCCTTCCCACAGAAATCCTGAGAGATCTTTCCAGTTACCTCATATTCCGCCGAGGGTTCAAAGCGTCTCTACGTTCCCAAGCTGTTCTCACGGTTCTCACAGTTCTCACGATACGCTTGTTTCCTGCAAGTTCATTGAGGCTTATGTGAAGGGTTGAAGACCAAGGACACGCCTATTTCTTTGCCCAGTTTGAACAGTCAGAGCTTTGGCCACCTCGTTTATGTTTGCAAAACCATGGCCAGTATGGCAAGGACTTCTCATTCTTCATAAAGGACTTGCTCGACAAGATGAGGCTGTGGCATGCTGTGGCATGCTGTGGCATGCTGTGGCTGCATAAGTAGACGACTCTCGTGTATTGTGTTGGTATGATTTGGTATGATTATGTGATTGTTCATGCTAGTTTTACGGGCATGGCAGAGCATTGCGAAAGCAGTCTTTCGCTTTGATTCTTCAGGTCAGCTATAAATTTGTCAATGAAAAGTGCGCCAAGCAAAGAATAGCTTTGTAAGCGCAATGTACAAAAAGTCAGGGTGAAAGCTGATGTCTTAGCTTGCCAATGTGCGATCTACATCACTCACCTTTCCTCGTCAAACCCTGCTTCTGCGGTGCAAAGTTTATGACCGCAAAAATATGTAAACATCGCTGATTGTTTGGAGCCATTGACTGTTGACCCTTCAGTCTCAGAAATTTGAGCCAACATTACACTGTCTAGGACCGTGTTGTACCGTCTTGCATGATTTGCAGAGAAGTTTGGAGGTGGGATTCAAGCAGACCACCAGTTCAGTGAATCTATGTGTATATTATGTGTATATATATATACATGTGTGTTATATGATGCGGACCATGACACTGCAAATTTTGCATGATACCGGTTGCCACTAGTAGCCAAATGCTACAGTAGGACATGAGTTGACAAGTGGAACATGGGAAGCGTTTGGTCTTTGGAAAGTGGCCAAGAGAACGGATCAGCAACCGAAGAAAGAACATGTGGAGAAACACAGCAGTTGGCACACATCCATACCTTGCTTGCAGCAGCACTGTACTAGATTTGAACACAATCAAATTTACTATCATTGTTTCGGATGCCTTCTATGTATTGAAGCCACTTTCAGATATGAAGGGGTGTATGCAGCTCATTAAATTGAAATAACTTGACTCACCTGCACGTGATTCAAAAGACCAGTACAGGACACGAGAAATCATGAGAAATCACTTGTCGTCAGACTGCATCTCATGTTTCGATGCCCGTGTGCTGGTCTCCGCTGGTGATAGGCCGGATTTTTGCGATGTCTCTTGATGCGTGCCTTTTCAAATCTTTTCATTTTGCATCTTAGATCATCAATGCACGTGGCGCTTTGCCTTTGCAGGCTATGTCGTACATGCTGTCACCGTGGGCGACTATTTTGACAGCTTTCCGACCCTTGAGTCCGACTTTGGACAGGACGATCTGTGCGACACCACAGCTAGTGCCTTGAGAAAAGGCTTTGGGAAAAAAGAGTGCTCTACTAGATTTAGCTACTAGACTCAGCTAGACTTGGCTAGACTCTACAAGTCAATACAAGTCCTCAATACAAGTCATTCCATTTTGGCTAATGTTCACTTGAAAACTTGGGCCGAGTCGCAGTTTCACGTAGGTATGGCTACGGGAGCGGCTTTCGGGATTTGAGACGAGGTGCAGCACCATGAGCCACGCCTGGAAAATGGGCTTCTTTTTGTAGTTATAGTTGGACATTCTACCCCTCAGATCCCCTCAGTACAAGGGCAGAGTCAATACAATGTTGTGTTCAAACAATATTTGTCGAGTAGGCAGCTAGAGGGGTCACCTGTAGATGCAAATCCTGCAAAATTATTTATTGGTTATATTTTCGCTATTTTAATCCAAATTGCCAAAATGCCGGTGCTTTTTGATTTCCTTTCTGGTAACTCAAGTTGTGAAGGTGGTGGCAGTGCTTACGACGACTACTTCGGAGGGTCGTATGGCGGTTTTGGGAGCTTTGGACAAGCTGATCGCAAAGAGTCAGGCATGGTGAAACTGGAAACCGCTGTGGCACGTGGGGAACGATGTTTGAAGGTTCGATAAGTATTCAAGACTGCAGACTGCCAGAAGTTCTCTATTGCTAGCATTTGCTACTAGTAGCAGGAGAGGGAAGGTGAAACTAGGAAGACGACGGAGACCTTGCAAGAAAGAAGCTTTCACTGTGAAACTCACATTGCCACCGGTTTGTTTTTCTTGAATACATGCGGAGACAATGGCTCCCAGGCAAAGATTCTGGCAAGGATTGTTCTCGCATTGAAGCAGATGGGATTCCACTTGCCGACTTGCTGCGAGAGGCACCTCATGTATTGGCAGAATGAGATGGAATTTGCGTCCAACGGTGCCATCTACTGGTACTTGTAGCAGTATGCAATTTTTAGTCTCTGTTGATTGTGTCATAATAAAACATCGCCTGTGTGTGTGTCTCTTGACCAACACAAAGCTTCAAGCTTGTTGGTGCTGTATATCTCAGGCTGCTGAGAATCTTCCGCAGAACTTGTCAGAGACCCCTGCTGAGATTCTTGAGGCTCTAGACTCTATACTATACTGTACCCAGTACTGTATTGCAATGGCTGAGAATTGTTCCTTACAGTACAGTCTCCAAGCATTTTGATGTGATGTGGTACACTATGATGACAATGCCGATGACAATGTGGTGCCTAGAGCAGACTTGAATTGTCAGCATCGATAAAACTGGCGAGTTTACCGTAATTTACTATAGTTTACTCAGAATTTACCCAGAATTTACTCCCTTCTTTGTTGCAGCCACTCTGCTCAGCTCGTGCGATTCTTCTCCAGCCAGGACTTGATCTCAGACGGAGTCTCACATAGACAGAATTCGCGCTTTGCCAGTACCAGTTATGTTTACTTGATCATACTTGATCTGTGAAAGCCTGGCTATAGTAAGCTTCCTGCGAAATCATTCTCAGCATTTCTCAGCATTCTTGATTCTTGCGGCCAGATTCCGAAGTTGTTTTTTGGCATTCGAGGAGCAGCGCAAATTCCTTCTGACTCATTGCCCGCAAGCAGTGGCTTTGTCAGTCCTTTTGGAAGCAGAGATTGAGGCGCGATGAATTTAGCTGAAGCAATGGAATCAACAATCGGTTTGATATGGTTTGATTATATAAGGATATATAAGGAATTCAATGGTGAAGGATCAGAAGTGCGACATGCAAGGATGGTGTCGGAGCAAGTACAGTAGTCAGATTCCGACATTCATAGTGTCATACTGTATCTATTTGATTCTAAATTCTGAATATATCTTTACCCCTTTACTTTTAACCATTCCCTTTAATGGTTTGATGATGTTTGATGACTGATGTTTTTCGATTCTCCAGGCCAAGAAGACCTCAGCAGGCCACAGTGGATCGCTTTCCCGGCTTTGTGATCTTTGTGAGTCCAGAGTGTTTCCGGGTGAATTGCATCTCAGTGGATATAGCTCAATAATACTCAATATACTTTGATATATGAACATATATAGTTTGATACAGTATATACTGATATCAAGTCAGGTTGAATCAGGTTGAGTTTGGCCGAGTCGGGTCGTCTTTGTCCGACTTCGTCCAGGTCGTCCTGTTCAGGATGAGATGCTAAAGGAAGTAGTGATATCCTCAGACCATCTCAGACCATCTCAGATCATCTCAGATCATCTCAGACCGTTTTCGGTTTGTTGGAGTTGTTTGCGGCTTCACCGCCCCGATCTCCTCTTGTGGGTTCACTTTGCTGATGGGGTGGGGTGGGTTGGGCGTTCACTTACGCTTGCACATGTACTTGATGCTGTGCTCGACACTGCTCACTTGCGCTGCTTGCACTTGCTCGTGTACTCGATGCTATGGGGTGGGATAGCATCTTAAGCTTCTGGTTCCTTCGCTCGGCTGGCATGATTCCCTTCTGGTTGTTACGCTCTTGGCATCTAAAGTTTTTTCTATCTTTTTCTTGCCATTCAGCCAACCCGTAACTCGTGTTATTGTCACGCTGGCATACGCTGGCAACATCTAACGCTTCTTGTTGTCACGCTGTTAGCATGTTGCGCTTCTTGTGCCTATGCTTCAAAGATTCTACGCTTCTTGTGCTTATTCTGACAGCATTCAATTTTACGCTTCTTGGTGCTAAGCACGGGTAGATATATTCAAATCGGATCAAACTATATGAACCGGGTTCGTGCTGGCAGGATTTTTTTCCTGACCCTGTGCCCGAAAAAATGATCCCTCTAGGAAATTGATTCAGCCCCAACTTTGGTATTTTCAAAGTTCAGGGGGGTTGTCCCATGGAAAAATATTCAGCGACACTGGGGTTGCAACCAAAGAAAAGTGTGGAGTTTCTCGGAGCGGAGTTTGTTGGAGACTTGCAAAGGGATAAACAGGACCTTGGCCACTGGAACTTTATCCAGAGATGTTTGCCCCCATGGTCCCAAGATTGATTCTGGATATTTTTTGTGTACCATGTACGCCTGGGGGTTGTGCCCTTTTTTGGGAATGGACATTTATTCCGACAAAACCTTGGCCCCAAGAAAATTATCCGGGATAAATTTGGGTACAACCCCCGTAGGCACCACACACGGGGATCTATATTCTTTTCCAACACACGAAAAAGAACCATTTTTGGGACAAGATAAGAATCTACTGAAAGCACAAGTTTCAGCCAAAAAACATCAAACAAGACATTAGCTGGAGACATCGGAACATGCATATTCATATGATTTCATATGCACTTTGCTCCCTTGGTGTACCCTTACTTTCCACAGTGCCAAGCGCGTGCCAAGGTCTCTCCTCTTGGCGAGATGCTGCAGTTGGCACCAACCTTGAGGAGCCCATACAAGGCACTTAGATCACTTGATATCACTTGCAAAATTGAAGTGGTTTGACCATGGTTTGACCTTTTAACAGTTTGGAGCAATTGAACATGTTTGAACATGTTTGGAAGAGTGAAGCACCCCTTTCATAACCCTTGGGACTTGGGAAGTGCATACTTCAGAACTTTGTACAGGGCCAGTACAGTCCACTGCTTGTTTTTTTTGATCTGTCTTTTCCAAGTTTAGATGGCGCTCAGCTTGGCCTACCAGGTAACCCTTATTACCTTATAGATCCCTCATAGGTCAGCGTGTCGCATTCGAGTGTGGGAGTGCCTCAAAATAGCTCGTCGCGCGTAGTTTCTCCAAGCCTTGACGCGCCTATTCTCACTTGTCCAGTCACTCCAGTCCAAGAATTCTACTGTTGATCCTGCACAGCCCTGGGCTTCAAACAAAAACTGTCGCTGATGCAATCTGATGCAGCTTAGAGCTGATGTGTGTCACAGCGGATGCAGATCTGGAGGCACCTCCAGTTTGGACTGGAAAGCCCTGGGGTGATGTGCTGAACTCTGCACAGTGCTATTCTCAGCCTCGGGATGGAGGGAGGCCCCATAAGACCATAAGGCCATAAGGGGTCACGCCACCAAAAAAATGAACCGCAAAGGGGAATTGCAAACTTCACCGTATAAGCAGTAATTTAAGAATTTGGCAATCCTATTCCAGGGTCCCTAAAATTCTTAAAGTATTATGTCGGTATAGCTGAAAATATGTAGCCCGCCTTGGATTCGAGCCCCTCAAATTCTTATACAGTGAATTCTTGTACAATACTCAAGCTGTATAAAAAATGTATATTATAAAATGTAAAATAATATAAATAAGAATGCCATGAAATGATATGATAATTATGATATGCCTGCGAGGCAAAGAATGGATCAGACACTGGGGCCCACATCCGTTCCATACCCTGAAAAAGATACCAAAATACCAGCAATCCAATCCAGACAGCTCCATACGTATGGAGCGCGGAGCGATACATTGCAAATTTTGACTCATGCTCACAATTTACACAGGGTCAAACCAGCACGAAGCAAAGCTACAGTTTGTAGAGAATTACCAACCCAGAACCCATATATAACCAATTCGATTAAACATGATTCAACAATGTTTATATGGATATGATACGATATTGCATCATACAATACACCCTGGACAACAACCGGACGCAGCCAAGGCATCGGACTGGAGTTGTCCTCTTCCCAATCGGTGCGGGAGACCGGAGTTTGAGACACGACAGTCATTGAATCCAGTTGAATCCAGTTGAATCCTGAACTACACAGAGGTTTAAAATGGTCTAATCATTTTAATCGGTTCGGCCATTTCCATCTGGTCCATCTCCTTACAACATCTTACAACTTCGCGGCTCGATTAAAGCAAAGAGGATCGACAGAGTATACGATGCTCACATCAAAGTCTTCGTACTGTAGGGTGTTTCCAAGAAATCATGACAGTCCTGCACACCCTCTACTTACAAGTACTTTATATATTATATTATATATATATATATACACACACTGTATTCTGTACAGTTGATGGTGCAATGTCTTGAGAATGCAAATTTGTGGGAACGGGAGATCTATATATTCCGGGCGGCGGGTTGGGTGAGAACAGTTCGCGTATTGGCTTGCAAGTGGTACATCACATCTCGACTGTCCACCTCAAATATCTCCGCGTATTGTCTTTCCCGCAGGTGAGCAGCAGTTTCACGTGGATTTTGTTTCCGCTGTCGACTGGTGGCAAACTCAGCTGATGCTCGGACGCTTGTTTCATTACGCTTCCTTTGCGGGTCAGACGTGTTGCAAGACGACAATTTAAGACAAGGATGAAACTGTGGGGTTTCTTGAGGATGCCAACTGAGGTCGATTTGGGCAAACCGGCGTTGCAGAGGGCGTCGAGATTTGGGCAATCTTCAGGCAGAGAAAGATTGGAAGATATTGGAAGTGTATTGGAATGTATTGGAAGTGTTACCCGAACTCGCATCTTGCAGTTGTTTCTGTTGATCGACAAGTGATCCAGTGAGTCTGCCCTTCCAGGGTGTGCCACTGGCAAGTTGCCTGGAGAAGTGCTCCCTGCATCCATCGTGTAGGTGCCGTCCTCACAAGATCTTTAAGTTCAGCTTCCAAGATTTTCCCCCTCACATCCTCTCACCATCTTGTGTAATCTCTCACCAACTCTCACCTTCAAATTTTGAGTTCTTGATAGGTCAGCTACATTTTGGCACTGGCAGCCCGGTGGCATGGGATTTGATCAACGCCAGCGTCCCAGGTAGCAAAAGTGGAGTAAAGGAGAGATGACAATAGATGACTGACTGGTGGCTGTACTAGATGGTGCATGTTTTTTGAATTCAAGTGAATGCTGATGCGGCTGACAAGAACACCGTCACGCACACACACACACACTCTCTCACACACACACGCACATTGACACAGGTATGACGGTATGACCACATACTGTATGTGTAGTATACAAAAACAGATAGACTCAGATAGAGTATGATATAGAGTACATCTATTGTGTACAGTGTGCAGGTACGCATACGTAGGTATCAATGAGGGTTTGTATCTTATAATTTCTTATGATATTTTCTGCTGCTCACTGCCAGCTGGCTCTGCATGCCGTAATGAGGCTGCTTTTTGTCCTCCTCTTGCACCTATCAGCTGTCGACTGATGAAGGCCAAGAGAGCGAGGAATGCGAGGAATGAGCATAATTCAGCATATATTCAGCATAATGAGCCAATGCAAGCGAATGTGTGCCATCGGTTGGACATGTTCTTGGATACGCAAAGGTCACATCATGTTGTCATGTGGCACGCATTTTTTCGTACCGGGGACAATTGTTTTCAAATGCTCCAGCACGGCAAGGTGCTGAAGGAGCGTTTCTTTTCGAGAAGCTTGCGTTGCTGTCGGTAGCAGAGCAAGATCTTGTGTGGCTTGGCTTTGTGAGAATATCAATGGATTTCCACGATTGTCCAGCGAGCAAGTAAGGACAACTGATTCATTTTCGATTTGCCTCAAAACCCATGGGGTTCTGTCGCGTTGAAACGAGGCATGAAAGGCTTCGATCACCCAACGCTGCATGGGCCCCTCGTGCTGGTCACCAACTGCTTGCAGAAGCCTCAGACGAAATCTAGGAGTTCTATGATGTTCTATGCGCCTTCCACCGATTTCATACAGTTTCCAATCATTTCCAATCATTTGATCCCATTTGCCTCTTGAACGATCTCCAAACTTCTGGACCCGCATCAAGGCAGCCAACTCCGGCAATGGGATTCGATTGTTGCTGATGGGTGGAATTGGTGTTGATCCATTTGTCAACACCACGCAGTTAGGGTCTTAGACTATCAAAGAGCATAGTCCAACCAAAGTTGCAAGACTGTGGCATCCTTCAGGCTGGTCTGGCAAGCAGTACTGTAAGTCTATAGTCTATTGCTATAAGTTCCAGCAGCTGCATTCCAAGGGACGAAGATGGAAAGAAGATGACGTCTCAGGATCTTGAAAATAGAGAAGTGCTCTGTAGATATCTGTAGATCAGAATAGTGCAACTGAGATTACCGTGGTAGCACCTTAAGCTGGAGACAAAACAGAGGCAGCTTAGATCTGTTAGCTTCTTTTTGCATTTTTGGGGTCTGCATTTCTGCAGGATGGAATGGGCGCCAAACACGACAAGAAGCAAAAGGGCGGCAAAGGCGTCCAAGCTAAAACAAACTTGCGTGAATGCTATCCAAGGATGTTCAAGGCACCTCAGCATATCTCAGCACGCTGCGGATCTCACTTTCATCAGTCGTTGATCTGACATCAGACTTGCGAGGAAAGGGATCTGCACAAGCCAGGTCAGCAGAAGCACGGTCCAGGAGGCAATTTGCGTGGTGTATCAACATGTATCAACAGGATTGGCTCACTTGTAATATCTTGTAATGCTCAGGCAAAGCAACTTCACCGGAATGCCAACATCCTCAGAATCAGGATTGAGACCATGCAACAATAATGCAACACTCTTCCTGCGTATTGTGCTGTTCATTGGCTGATCGTGGATGCGCGTGGCGCATCTCTGAGGCTCAATGTAGTTCAAGCTTACTTGTCCCGCCACGTTCCTTTCCCAGAACGTCCTTGAAGCATGGCCAATTTCCATCAATTTCCTATGAATGCGGTATGGTTTTGTGATGAGCGAGAGTGCAAACCATCACATCAGAATAAAACATCGACACATTTTTTGAACAATCAAAGTTTACTTTCACCATAAGCCACACTATTCTATTTCCAAAATGCATTGCGTTTCCGCTCTTCAACGGATGTGTGCTTGCAGGATAGAAAAGCGAACACTTCTGATTTGCACGTGTTACTTCACAGGATTTGTTGCTTAAGACGGCCCTTTCATTGATATGATTTGTATCATCGCCTTTTAATTACTTGGATGCCTTGAATGTGACAGACTGATGCAAGGTTGAATTGAGCGGAGAACTGCCACCCTTGCGCTCTCTTCCCTATGGAAGCCCTGCCCATACCAGCAGATGCTTGTTGAGATTGTTCCTCGTACGTCAGACTTTGGCAATCAAAACACATGAAAATTGATCTGATGACTGGCAAATGATTTGTAGCGGCTCTCCAACTGAGGGTTGGGTGACCTCTGGATGAGTGAAGACGAGGGCACAAGCTGGACGCTCTTGCAGTCACAGCCTCGAATCGCTGATGGCCAAGACGTCAAACCTGAATGAACTGAACATATGCAAAATTGAAACAAAGATAGTCAAAAGCAAAAACCTGTATGCTATATATATAGTATATATATATAACTATATAATATAAGGTGATATATGCATATATATATACATAGCACATATGATATAGTTAGATCATTTCACACTTCTTTTGTTATATAATTGCGCAATGTTTTTGCATGTACAGAGATTAACTGTTTGTATATACATCCTGTATCACTTTAGAGATATTTTCAGGACAAAATCATATCCACCAAGAGACCCTGCCATGTGGCCACACACACACACACGCACACGAAAGGCAAATCTTTGCTTGAGGCAAAAAGTTCCTTGGGGGCCTAGAGCATTCTTTGGAGCAGCAGCTGTTGACAGTCGGCTGCTCGTTTTTGGCGGCATCAGAACTCCAGAGGCTCAGATGGATGAACAGATAGTTGGACAGCCTTCTTCAGAACAATGACTATAATGACTGACTACTTCAGAGGGACAGTTTTAATTTGAATGGTTCAAGATCTTTTCGCGACCGTTGCATCTCTGAGAGCCGCTTTGCTTCCAGTAGGTCATCCATCGTCCAATCTAACAGAGGTGTCTAACATTGGATGCCGACATTGCGAAGCTGTGCGTACAGGCCAGCAACCAAACCGACGATCTTCCGAGACAGTACGCACCATTCTCAGAGCTTTCTGCAACTCAGGAGCATCAAGCAAACTATTAGTGTACATACATCATTTGGATCCATTTGGAGCCATTTGCAGTTCTTGCAGTTCATGCCCTGTATATTGTCAGCTCTTGCTGAAGACCAAGGTCAATGATGTGTGGACTGCTTCTCTCCCAGACCTAGTGTGGCGAGAACTTCCGGCAGCGCCTTGGGAAGCTCGTGCTGGCTTCCAGGCTTGCCCTGCTTGCCTGCTTGCCTGCTTGCCTGCTTGCCTGCTTGCCTGCTTGCCTGCTTGCCTGCTTGCCCTGCACATTGGAAGATTTGCAATGTGCTTTCCAGATTCAAAACAGATCCAGAACTGTTTGATTCATAGATTTTTATGTTCATTTTGATTCCAGCGCAGCAAATTCGGAGATTCTATGCCTTGCGGCAACACTGACGCCTGGCCCCAGGCTCTGGCATGGCAGCCCGACAAGAGTGGTGAGGCACCAACAGTACCCGATTGAATTTAGACCTCGTTGCATTCCGCGGCTGCCCAGGAAATTCTTCTTTTTGGAGGTCGTTTGGAAACGGGGGACCTCAAGAACGATGTCGCCGGCTTAGCTGAATCAGACTCTCACTTCACCAAATTACTTTCCTTGTTTGATACGACGATATACTATGACTACGCATGAGTATGCCATGTCGTCTTGCTGCGCAAGTTGAGACGATTTGTTCATTTGTCTAATTTGCTTCAACAGGTTTGGGCACTCCGTCTGGATGAGCTGGACAGGCTATGGGACAGCGTCTCTGCTGCTCGCTGCCTCACCGCTTCGACTTGCCAAATTGACAGTGTTTAGAGATGGCACTTAGTAAAGGAAGGGTCGCCTCCGACAGTCTCCAAGTCTAAACTGAGCATGCACCATTGATCCCACAACCGAGTAATTTTCTGGAATGTGCAGAGCAGAATAGGCATTCTGATGGCTCACCTGCATGGAGACTGGTCACAGCAGCAGCTTCTTGGAAGGAGTCTCAGTCAGAATGCGTGTCATCTTGTCATACTTCTTGCAGCTTGTAGCTGTGGAGAAGATGTTGGCTTTGAGATTTTTGGGGTTCTGGTCTTCAGTGATGCGAGGTGCCCCCGCAGCGATTTTGCGTCTGCGTTTGCAGGGCAATCCCGCAGCGTGGTGCTCAGACATTTGATTTCTTCTCAGTCTGATCATCTTATCTAATTTTATCTTATGTTATATATCTTATTCCATTTTACTGTATCTTAGTATCTTATTTGATTTCATCTTATCTCATCTTATTTAATCTTATCTTATCTATGGCAACTTCTTTCTCTTCTTCATGTTCAGTTGGAAGGTCTATGGATCTTTGGAGGGAGTGGACAGGAGATGTCGCCGCGCTTCTGTTCAGAGCGGCGATCCTTGCGGCGTACAAGACCTTCTCTGCCTCCTTTGTGCCAGGACGGAAGAGCACTGGCAGATGTCTGGCGAAGCACTGACGCTGCATCTTGGTTCCAGGCAGCGGCCTGAGGTTTGGCCGGTTTGCCTTGGAGTTTGTCATAGGTTGTCTACCGATGTTTTCATTTTGCTTGAAACCAGCTCACTGCCACTCATGTAGATTGATAGTAGTGATATGTAATTACTGTACTTATGTGATTGTTTTTGCGCCTTGGACAATTTATGGCTTCCTCTGAAAAAGCACAAGTTTGATGATCAATGTTTCAGTCAATCGGTCTCGACAACAACAAGAACGGTTGTCACAAAAGAGACAACAGAGCCGTCATCATTCTTCGGTACCAGGTCCAAGCAGCAGCTTCCTGGGGACCGCGAATTGGAGCAACAGCTGTGGGATTCTCTGAGATTTTTAAACTTCCGTTGTACCTTTGCGGACCTGCCTGCACTATGAAAGTCTCTCAGCGGTGAAGGTGACACTGCAGTGGCAGGCGGGACTCTGCTCCAAGCTGTCGGATGCAGTCGGATTTTGAGGCATGAAAAAGATGCAAAATAAAGATCAAAGACAAAGAGCCTGCAGAATCGGTTGAGTGACTTGAGTGGGTTTAAGAAGCTCAAATTCGGTCAAACCAACGCCCCAACACTTCGCACTTGAGCCATGCCGGTACTCATGCTTGGAGGTTTGGGAGTTTGTGCAGGTTATGCCTTTGCAGTTTGGGTTAAGGGGCAGGAGCCCCCCAAAGGAAAAGATCCCAGCATCAAGCATGCTTCCCTTGGCGCCTTGTTTGGAAACATTTAGACACAGAAAAAATGCAGGAAGTTTTGCATTTAGTTTTTAAAAAAGATCAGGAGGGATTCCACCAATCCGGGCGAGAGAACAGTGATGCACTTCCATTAAGCTGCACAGATTCAAGGAAAGTAAAATATAGTCTGTATTATATCCTTGGTTCTCAACTGATACCCTAGTTGCTTCCCTTGTGTCTTCAAATCGTTCAATTCTCTCAAGTTCAAGCGAAGACACTTTTTTCCCCACAAAGATCTTCCAAGCCCATGACAGCATCAAGGAGTCATCCGCTTGGATTGGCACTACCATCCTTTGGCAGGAGATGTAGGAAGCACCGACAGCTTTGAGTATCCGGTCTTTTACAGAGCAGTTCCAGGGCTGACTTTTGAAGTGTGCCAGTCTGGAGTAATGACTCCTGAGATCAAAGAACACTTCAAGGAGGCAATCAGATACTTGGATCAGGACAAACAAGTCTCAGTGATTACCTCTGACTGTGGCTTCTTCATGTGGTTTCAAAAGGAGGCTCGTCAGTACACCGCTAAGCCAGTGGTGATGTCATCCTTGGCCCTTCTGCCAGCAATCCATGCTGCACTCGGAACGGATGGCAAGATTGCTATTTTCAGTGCCAACAGTGAGAGCCTTCAGCCCATGCACGACACCGTCGCACGTGAGATGGGGGTTGACTGGAACGCTGATTGCTATGTGCTCGTTGGTTGTCAAGATGTAGAGGGTTTTGAGGCGGTCGCTACTGGAGAACCGGTGGACTTGGGAAAGGTCACTCCTGGAATCGTGAAAAAGGCAGTTGAAGTCACAAAGACAAAGAATATTCATGCAATTCTCATGGAATGCACGCAGCTCCCTCCCTTTTCGGATGACGTCCGCGCAGCGACAGGTCTACCAGTCTATGACGCCATTGTTTGTGCAGACTTTTTTGTTCGAGGTTTCGTGGACAACCCGCGTTTTGGGCTCAACGGCTGGCACCAGCGCTGGGATGGGAAGCAAGAAACTTACAAGCTTGGCGACGTGGAAGAGAAGGAGAAGTTGGTTTACTACAGTCCAACCCATTGATATCCATTGATTTGATGTGCGAATGTAAGATGATGTAAAGATATGTAAAGATGATGTAAGATGAAGACAAATGAAGTGGCCCAAAGACAGAGGCAGTTTCCCAGCGAGGAATGTTGTAGCATGTTGTAGCAACATGTGCAAAATACAAATTTGAACCAGTGCCAATGCATTGAACATATTGAATTTTCTGAGAACTTGTAAGTAGAATAGAGATGAACGGACATCCATGCCAGACACTGAGTCGTTTGGCAACCTGCCTCGCGCAGAAAAGTGCTTGTCTTTAGCAGCGTGTGGCGGTTCATTAACATGGATGCAGAGCAAGGGCAGTTGTCACCATGTATCCTGGCAGCTTGACAACCCGCAAATAGACCAAAACTTTTAATTTCCTTTGTTTCATCGCGCAAGCATTCTCAGTACATATCGGTGCTATGGGCCTATCAGGATCTATCAGGGTATTTGAATTTGACTCTGCACTTGGTGACGGCTCGTCCTCACCAAAGCAAAGCACATCAAAGCACATTATCCGATGCTTGCAGGCCCTGCAGGCCCTGCAGGCTGATGTGATGAATGTGATGCTCTTATTTGGAGGCTACTCTTACTTTGATGATGGCTTTGGTCCACAGTTTGAGCCTTAGCTTGAGCATCTTGAGCTGCCTCAGTCTGCGTCAGAGAGTTTCTTCCATCCCTATGGGCCAGGCCAGGGAACGCCTCTGACAAGGCGAGGACATGATTGAACAATATTGAACCTCGTTTGTGTTTAGTCTAGTCAAGGTATGTTATGGATTCTTATCGTCGTATGTTGATATCTCCATGTACTGCGTTTGCTTCCGTGGTGCTTTGCTATTCATTGCTCGCTTCTTGTTTCAAATAGGCTTGGGCATCTTGGGCTTGAGTCAAAGATAGTCAAAGTCAGATGATTTGTTTGCTTCACAGGGAACGGCGTGGATCTCCACGGACGGTATGGCTTGGTCGCCTTTGCCGCCCGATAGTCTTGCGTGGACGTGCTGTCCTTGTCTTCGAAATGTAGCACTTTGACGCTCCAAACCTTCTTGTGCCGCTTTCTGGTAAGGCAGGGAACTATGCATGCAGCATCTGTTGCGGCACCCTGTGACATGACCGTACGGTCTGTCAAAGGAGCATGGGTAGTTCAACAGAGTTCAGCCAATGGCAGCCAAAGCTAATGTCTTAAACTGATCAATATCCTGCTGCGCGAAACAGCAGGACAGACTTGTTCTTATGTGACTGGGGGGATTTCCGATGAAGGTGCTCCGATTGAACTCTAGATTGTGTCCAGTGCCGAGAGCAGTCACACAATACGGGAAATCCAAGCGATCCCGTGCAGGCTACTTTGACAATGCAGTTCGGCGTCTCCAAGTGGGTCAGAGAGAGGACAGACATGGACAGACATCAATAGAGTCTAGAGATCTCTACTGACTGAAGTGTCTGTGGCTTCAAGCGGCATAGGGTCACTTAGTGTATGGAGACATCAGGATGATTTGCTCAAATCCATCACAGCGAAGCCATATGCTGGAGATGCTGGAGGCCAGAACAAACTCCAATGATTGTCGCCACCAAAAACAACCGGAAACAATGACTGGACTTTCCCATTGGTGAATCGTTCCCGCTTTTCTGGGATGTGCAGGTGTGGAAAGAAGCATGACATCCAACTGGACAAGTGAAAACCTGACTCGAACGACTCCGATGACTCATTTTTTCAACGTGAAGGCGAGAAGTGGCGGAAGTGGAATTCCACAATTCCATGGAATTCTACAATCTCATTTGAATCTCATTTCATTCTCGTCCAATGTCGCGTAGAGTGAGGGACAGCAGTGTGGCAAAGCAGTAGAACAAGCTGATACTGATACTGTACCAGACGCAGTCTGAGCCGTGTACTTCGGAGGTGGAGCATGCTGTTGGTCTTTCTCTTCTACTTTCTCTAGTACTTCTATGGACTTGTGTAGAGAAGGTGAAGTCCTTGGCAAGCATTTATATACAGCTGGCAGAATGAACGAATAATTTGAATATCGACTTGTAGTGTTTGGTCTTGGCCCAAGCTCGGTCATTCGATGTAGTTTTCTGAGGCCGCTGGTTGGACGGATCCTGACAAGTCCGACGTGCCTCCCAGCATGCGCTGTTTGACGCGCCTTCTGTTTGGTCTGGACCTCATGCTCCTACAGTACGTGTGACAGCACGTTTGCATAGTTTGCCATATAGTAGGAAATTTCTGGAAATTTTGAGAACAGGACAACAACATAGGACGAGTAGCCGACATCTTGTATCTAGCAAGGAAGAGTGGATTGTGAATGCATGTGGAAACCCACGGGTAACGACAAATCATGGAGGTGGGAGGCGTTGTGAACGACGACGACGACGACGACGACGACAACAGCAAATAGCTACAATCATCCATCAATCATCAATCATCATGTACCATGACTCATGACATCTCATGACCATGTCTTGGAAGGTGGGAGCGACGTAGTTTTAAATGTTTGCCTCTCCACAAAAAAAAAAACAATATTCCCAATACACACCTACAATCATCAACGAATCATAATTAATCCCTTCCCCCTACTAAACGTTCCCCCCTCAAATAATAAACACCTCAGGTAGTTTTTATTAGTATAGGGGATAGTAGGGGGTATTTCTTATTAAGGAACCCTGATAGTAAATTTAAACCCTTAATAAAAAACCGTTTTTTCGATTTCAAAATCAATTAAAAAAAACCCTTTATAACGCAATTAAAATATTGCCAAAAATTGGATTTCGAAGCTTCCCCCTAATATTAAATTATAAAACATATTAATATTAAAAAAAAAAACAAAATGTTCACGGACCCTAATAATATAATAAACACCCCGGGGTTAACTAGTTTTTATTATTAGGGGGCGAAACCCACAAATGGTAGTTTTATTTTTAAATTGTTTCCTAAAGGGGACCAATTAAAAGTCAAATTGGCCAACCTGAAATTTTCCAAAATTAGAGATGGACCCTAGTTTTTATTATTTCGGGGAGGTTTAGTAATAGGGGGAAGGGATTATATATAATTATATATATATGACCATTTGTCAAAAATAGTTGTTTAGAAGTTTAGTATTGGTTGTTGATAATTTTTTTTCCTCTTCGTTATGAGGCGGCACACAACTAAATTCAGCAATTCTGCAAGGCAGCGCTAGCAAACCCGCTAGGTTTGCGCTAGGTTTGATTGACAGCCATGGCCTCCATGTCGTGAATGTCTTGCCAGCTTTTCTCACAAGTCTGTCAGTTTCCACATATTCCCAAATTTTCGATTTTTTACGTATTTTACGCGCTAGATCGCCGCTAGCAATGCGCTAGCGAAAATTGCAAATACATGCCCCGGTCCACCCGCAGCCCATTCAGAGGCACAGCCATGTTCACACTTTGGTAGCTTACAGTAAGGAAACAGCGTTGATCAGGAGGCATGTCAAGAAGCATATTGCATTCAGAGAGGCACACACACAGAGACACACAGTGCCGGAGATAGTACCAGCGACAGCGAATGAAAACCGACGTGCGTTAGCCGATTCCTGTGGTTTTAGAAAGATTTCCAAAGGTAACGAAGAATTTCCACGTTTTCACGTCATCAAGGTAGGTCATGTTTTTTAAAGGCAAACATGAGGCGGCACGCATGGAATTGCGATTTATCAACAAAACCGGGAACAGACATTTTGACAAACCGTCATATATATACATGATGTTTGCTTCTTGAAACTCCTGAGAGGATCTGATGAAGAGATCAGGTCTCGATAATAAGTTAATAAGCAATCACGTGTCACCGACCCATTCAAAAGCCGTTTCGCTTGCGTCCTGCTCATCGCCTACGCTTTACTCTGTGAGGAATGGTGGCTTTGCTTTTTGCTGTTGGAGGTGTTACTGGAACAGATCCTTGCCCGCACGGCCCCGGAATTACAAACTGAATCGAGCCTCCACCATTTGCCCCACAAATGCCCATGAGTTAGGTGCTGTTGAGCATCTCAAAGGAGCTGGCAACGTGAACCTCTCAGACGAGAGCGAGCATGACACAAGGCTTTCACTGTAGAATTGTAGACCGTGCCTCTCCGCCGTCACCACCACTGTCACCGAGAAAGAATTAAGGATTCGATCAGAGGCACCTAGATGCCAGATCGATGACAACCTCACCAGTGTGCAGAATCCTCAATCTCCAATCCTGACAGACTACACTGACTACACATTCTTTCTTGGTCAAGCCATGTCAAGCCCAGGGTACTGTACCCTGACTTTGCATGACTTTGCCACGTTTGCCATTTGTGGTTGAGGCTTTGGCACGCACTTGGGTTAGCGGAATCTGCTGCTCGCTGGGATGAGTCAGAAGCTCATGCTGTGGAGGGTACGAAAGGTCCATAAATAAAGGTCCCTGCTTCATCCTGCTTCATTTTTTTGTCAGTCCTTTTTCAAGCCGGCTACAGTCTGGAGTGCCCTCTCTTCGTCTTTGGTACAGCTCATAGCTATCGCCGAATAATATAGCAACTGCGTCAAATCAGTACCGTAAATTTTAATCCCAGGCTCCATCCAGCTTCTGCTTCTGCTAGTGACCATCCACCACGGTTTTTTACGATGTTACATAATGTTACATATTCCTCTCAGGGACAATGATATTCTATGATATTCTGCTGACAAGCTTCTTCAAGTGATGCTACAGCTACTTGAATCTGACCGGTTTGCACGCAGATGGTCAACTGGTCTGATACTAAACTGTTGCCCGTTTTCAACTTAGAGCCAGTATTCATCCTCTTTCACCAACCCCACTTCGGTTGCTGACAAATGAGATAGCCCGTGCTGAATGTCACAACATGTCACAACCTCACCCAACAGTCAACAGTCTTGTAACGTTGTGTATGTAATCTTGTCATCATTTCGTCATCGTGATCATCGGCCAAAGATGGCAAACGTCCATTCAAGAGTCCATTTTGGTGGCACAGCCAAGTCTCAGCTGTGGTCACTGTGTTCGGTTCTTCGTGGCAGCATGATTCTGCGCTTGACAGCTTGACCAGCGAGGTTTGAGGTGTTGCTGCGATTAGCATCTCATGAGCACGGCGCCAAGAGCAGAAGATACCAGGACTTCGAAGCACTCTGTTGATCTCTGTTGCACCTCATTGACTCGTCGGGTGCACACTCTGTACACTGCACACATCTGCACACTGTCAGGTCACAGTATGGCTATGGATTTGGCTATGGAGCAGGAGGCACCGTGGCACCGTTCCGTTGCCGCAGTCCCCGCTTTGCGATGTGTCATGATTTGTCCAACTCGAAGCAGAGTTCTCTCGCGTTGCCTCGCAACAGTTGATGCATTTTGACGCATTGTTTTTTGAAGTTCCAGTTCCAATGAGTGAAGTCCGCCCGAAAATGACCCACACAATCACAATTGGAGGCAAAGCAAGTGATATCTACGGAACCCGCTATGATCGAGGCAAGAGCTCAGAGTGTCTCCAAGACCTGCCGTGTTGAAGTGATCTGAAGTGCGTACTAAGAGCAGGTTATGATGGCTATGGTCCGTATGATGCGTTGGAAGCTGAAGCTCACAACGGCGATGTTAGAAGCAGATATCAGAGAAGTCTTCAGCGTACTATGTACAGCAAGACTGAGGCCAGGACCAAAGGAGGCTTCGAGCCTCAAAAAGGAGCTCAGTCTTCTTCCTACTATCCAGGACTGATTCTTGGATATTCATTGGCCACGCTAATGCTAATTTTTCCTCATTAGGACACAACAGGCATTTTCATGTTGATGTGGCACTGCACAGATTGTAGCCCTGTGCATCGTCACTTGAACGCAGTCGGTGTCCTGCCGGACGCCCAAGTGCGACAGAAATGCGACCTGCCTGGGCGCTTCAAGGCGCTGCATCATATGGCTCGTTTTCAACAAGTTTCAAAGAACATTCAAAACAAATAACATCAAATAAGAAAGGTTAACAGAGAGATTCAGCCAATGATTCAGCTAATGTCGGCTAATGTTTGCCAATGTCCGCTAATGTCAGCTAGCATGGCATGAACCATTGCATGACTTAAGCTACGAGAGTCCTCTTTTGGGCTGTTGGGTAAGCAAGTATGACTCTATGACATCGAGAGGCGGTTGTGATGCTGGGGTTCATTCAGGGGGCATCTTTTGCACCAGTAAACTCTCTCCAGGTCCACAGGTTTCTGGGCTCACATGCTTCCCTTTGCTTTGCGAGCACCCTTCAAAAGCTGCCGCCGCCGCCGCCGCCCCCACCACCACCACCACCAGTATCAAGATAGCAAGTCAACCCTTGCTTTAGGTTTTATTTGCTCCTTTGCTTCACCCGCCGAACCTGTTTTGTACTACTCTTTCCCCTTTTTGTAAACGTGCGAATCTTTCGCTCATAGAACTACAGCATCTTTCATCATGGTTTCCACCAAGGAGTGTGATGGAGTGTGATGGAGTGTGATATTATGGTGAGCATAGATGAGCAAAACAATCTCTGAAGCAAAAAAAATAATTAAACTTTAGTGTTGCCAAACCAGGTCATTGGCAAGTCCGTGCGCCTTGCGAGTTGTGCTTGTGCATCAAATAGATTGCTCGATTATGCTCGATTCATGAGCAGATGACCAATCCAGGTATGGCTGCTGCAGTGACTACATGATGGTGATGCTCAACGACATCACCAGCTGGCTCAAAGAGCAAGACATTCCGTACTTCATCACCTACGGTACTTTGCTAGGTGCGCGAAGCAAAGCCTTTAATGCCTTTGGAGATCTTTGGGAAAATTGGGAAAATGTATGAACATTGTTGGAATTCTCGATGTATTCCTGCCCAAGGTGCTGTGAGAGAGAAGGACATTCTCCCATGGACCCAGGCGCAAAATTGAGCGAGTACATGGGCAAATAATGGCAAATATGGTTGCCCCTGGGGCACCTGATTTTGCACAACAAGTTTGGGAAGGACATGGACATCGTGGTCGACCGTTCACATTGGCCAAAACTTCAGCAAGGTTTGGAGGCAGAGTTGTGATATGTTGTGATTACAGCATTTTGCGGTGATTGCGGACATGCAAAGCACTATCTCGCAATGTTTTGCAACTTGAATCGAATTCGGAAGCCGCATGCTGGCTGCACATCGTTGCACACTTGAACTGAGAAGGCCGCTGAATTCTTTGGTGGGCGGCGATATCTTTTTGGTGTAGACCAATGGGAGGAGGGGCTTGGCGAACTGAGCAATGTTTTTGTAGTGAGATGTTGTGGGCAGCATCAGATACAAGAAAGAGATAGAAAGATCCCAGAAAGCTTAGAATAGGATGCCTCCAGGGAAGGCACGAGACCAATCGAGACCATAAGAAACTTTTAGGTCCGAGTCCTGTAAACCGCTTGACAATTCCATTTTGTGCAAGTCCTATCAAGTCAGTTCCTAGCGGTTAGGTCCTAACGTCTTGATTTTGGCTGTGGCTGCGCTCATGCCTAGACATTGGCCGTTGCGACCATCTATTCTAGGAGAGAGTATCGCGAGTTTGCGCTGACTGGGAGGGCTTTGCGACCTCCATTGTTGGTGGGAGCGATACTTAATTGATCCGCTTCGGTTGCAGCTGCAATGCTAGTAGCTGCTGGCATATTCCCAAGTCATCCCAAGTCTTAGTCAACCTCCCAGGCAGGAAAGCGATCGTTTTAGTCGGCCGACGGATTTCCACTTGGACGCAGGGCACTTGATCATTTTAGATCATTTTTGATATGCCACTTGCACTTGCTGCTAGAAACCTGAGCTTGGAAACATCTTTGAGAGAAACTTGCTAAAAGTCTTAGGTGTATGCCAGTGATTGGTGGCAGATCACTGATCTCCACCTGGTGGATTGTGCTTCCTGGCTGCTTTCTGAATCGATTAAATACTATTTGTATTTTTCACAGGAGTTCAACAACACAGTGGCGGGTTAATTCGACCAGCCGCTTTGGAAGCGGACAAAGATCAACAGCAAGAGGACTTGCGCATCCAGATTTGCAAGAAGGAGTGGTGGAATATGGTGGAATCGTGTGGAAGCAAGAAAGGCCAACCCCGCAAACTCTTGGCTAATTCTGAAAGCATCTGATAGCTATCTCTGGCTTACCCCGCGCCCTCCCCAGAGCTTATCAGCCTTTAGGTTGAACCTTTGGGTGTGACTCAGCTGGAGATTCGAGGGAGGAACTTCTCAGCACCAGCTCGCCCTAGAGCGTTTGGGCCTGAGGGTTGGACTTCAAACCGCATGAGAAATATGAGAAGGATCGAGAAAGTAAGAATATGAAAAGAATATGGCGAAGACTAAGAATGCAAAGACATCACTTTCTGTATTGAACCGTAGTGTCAGTCTATGTCAGCCTTGCATTTTTCTTGCTATCACTATTATGACCAGGTGCGTGGAAAAGCTCTATGGTGCCGTGCGCCACTCTGCATTTTTGTTTGTCATCTGCTGTGCGGATAGATTCTATTGCGACTTGTAGGATCTTGTAGGCATATTCCCTTGCCTGTGCGCCGCAGGAATGGCGCGTCCCCAAGCGAGCACTAGCCGGTGTGAATTGAAGACTTCTAGCTCTCAGCCGCAGGCCAAAGAGCTTCTATGCTTCACTCTCTGTACAGGAAGCTGCCTGGGGTGATGGATGGTGATGGTGATTAAAATAGCAAATCATAACTGTTTTATCCTTTTTTTGGTATGTGCGTGAGCGTGTGCCTTTCATAAAGAGTGGTGGAAGCGGGTACAAAGCAAATGTTTCTTTAGGCTTCTCATGTATGCGTTTGACTGCATGGAAATATATTTTGAATGGTTTGGATATGGATGTATGTATCTGATTCTTCTTATTCGTGTCAGTTTTATCCGTGTGTTTTCTCAGTTCAATGATTAAAAAACGGCTCTTTCATGCTCTTTCAATCTCTTACTGGCCTGAGCCAACTTTGCAATTTATGATTGTTTCATAGACAGCGTGAGCCTGAGCGCACAGTTACACAATTACTCTCCATCCCGTTTGATCCTTTGGAATTGCCGCGCTTACACGAGGCAATTGCAATTATATTCCATCCGAATGGGATGCTTTTCTTTCTTTCTGTGTGTGTGATTGTTTGGGATGCCTAAGCTTGCGTTTCTTGTGATTTCGTGGTTTTGTTTCTGCGACATGCAGCTGTTTTTTAGTGGCAGCCCTGTAGCACGGCAATGTGCAGAGCGCCGGATCGCAGAGGTGGTCCACGTCTGGGCCTCAGCGCAGAAAAGGAAAGTCTTCCTGCTGGTATCAGTGAAGAGGAAAGATGAGGGAATTCTTCCTGTGCAGCGAGGTGCTTTGCTTGCTGGGGCTGCCGGAGCGTGGTTGCTATATCAAAAGCCTGGCACATAATCCCAAAGCATCCCAAAGTTTGACTAGCAGATGCTCTAAGCTGTCTCCACCTCTGGATGCCTTGCGTCAAAATCAAGAGCGGCCCGAGGTCTTTAGATGGACATGGCGCCCCAGTGAATTTTACATCGGTGCGCCAGCAAGACATTCCTTTTTTGAAAAAAAGTAATTATGTAATTCTCCATACTGTAGCCAACAATTGCCAAAGCATGCAAAGCTGGGTCCTGGAGGTGTCTGCGCCCGCACCTAAGTTTGGCTACACGAGACCAGGCGGCTGTTCTCTTAACGTGTTTGATTTGCAGGGCCGCCTTTCAAGATGTGTGGACGGACAGACAGCAACACACAAGGCATGTAGTGTATGTGTAAGTTATTGTCGAAGGAAGTTTAGAAGTCAAACTTCCGACAATATGGACAGATGGAAAAGAAGAGGTGGGAAGAGTCAGAGAAGAGAAGAGCAGAAGAGAGAATATCAGTCAGAGAAGAGAAAGAGTGAGAAGAAAGAAGATGCAGGTGCGCGAAAAGGTAGCAAAGTCGCGAAACACTGTGTTTTTCCAATGATTTGTGGCTCCGGAGGGTCGAAAAGTAGGCTCGCTAAAGCGGCGGGTGCGGAGCCATGTGGCCAGATGAGAGATGAACATTTGCACGCCGTTGTGGCGCGAAGCACCTTTCCAAGTCAAAATGCACAAAGCACACCATTCTCGGACCACTTTTGGAAGTTGAGATGTCGAAAAAGTGCACGCCGTGGTGGTGCGAAGCACATGTCGAAGTAACTAGACGACGGATGGACCGAGAGCGTAGAGAAGCATAGTGAGAGGTGTAAGTATGAAGATCTTATAGCATGAAACATAAATATATAGAAATATGATGAAATATGATGAAATATGCGATGATAAAACATAAATATAAAAAGGAACGATGATACTTTAGAAATGAAGAAACATGGTGCAGACATTATCCCTACCCTCTTGAAAATGGAATTTGAGGGGGGAGTCGTACTGAAATTTCATTTTAAAATTCCATTTTGCAATCATGCTTTCTCAATGATCAATATTCCTCATCATTCCATGTCATTGGCAAGCAGATGAAATTTAAATACTTGCGCTTAGCTCCGGAGGAGCCAAGCACATATCAGACTGAAGCAGCACATGTGTAGGGATGGCATCCCTCCAAAAATTGCGCTGCCGTCATCATACTTGCGCTTAGCTTTCTAACCAGTGCCCAAGGCTTGTTAAGAAATGTTACTTCACAATTCCATTTGAGGGGTTGGATCACTATCCCAGGGTTTCCAAGCAAAAAAATGTGGAATTCGACAGGTTGATTTTGTTCCCCCCCCCCGCCCTCCCCCCCTAGAGGGGTAGGGATCAGACATTGAAGAAAGGAAGACAAACTTGAAGGAGGAAGAGAAGGAAGATGAAACGAAGAAGGCGCAGGAAGAAGAATTGAGAAGACACAGGAAGATGAAACGAAGAAGCGCACAATTGCAATTTTACCCCACGGTTTTGACGATCGAACCTCATTGCATGCGAAAGAGCTGCCGCCGAAGCGCACAATTGCAATTTCACCCCAGGTTTTGACGATCGAACTTCATTTCGTGCGAAAGGGTTGCCGCCGAAGCGCACAAATCGCAATTTTTCTACAGCTTTTGGCGATCGAACCTCATTTCGTGCGAAAGGGTTGCCGTCGAGGATGTTAAATTGCAATTTTACCACAGTTTTTGGAACCTCATGAGAGAGAGAGAGATAGAGAGAGAGAGAGGCAGAGAGAGAGAGAGAGAGAAGATGTGAAGATGTGAAGATGTGAGGATATGATGTGAAGATGTGAAGATGTGAAGATGTGAAGATGTGAAGATGATATTGTATGTGTAGACGTGAAGATGCGAAGATGATATGTGAGGATAAGATGTGAAGATGTGAAGATGTGAAGGGGCGAAGATGATATGTGAAGATGTAAAACAGACTCCCACTATTAGAAGATTTAGAAGAACCCTTCGCTCAGACGCTCTCGGGAAAACGTGCAAAACACACCATGCTTGGAGCACTTTTGGAAGTTGACATGTCGAAAAAATGAACGCCGCAGTGGCGCGCAGCACATTTCGAAATCAAAACGAACAAAACACACCAACGCCGGAGCACTTTTGGAAGTTGCGATGTCGAAAAAGTGAACGCAGCTGTGGCGCGAAGCACCTTTCCAAGTCAAAAGCACACCATTCTCGGACCACTTTTCGAAGTTGAGATGTCGAAAAAATGCACGCAATTGTGGCCCGAAGCGCGTTTATCCAAGTCAAAAGGTTAAAAACACCACGCATGTCCGGACCACTTTTCAAGGTTCAGATGTGGTTCTGCGTGGCAGGCGCAAGGGATTCTGCACCTTGCCAAAAGTGAGAAAAACGTGAGGGTTTTGTAGCATGTCCAAAAACGATGGCAGGCGTGGGGCACTGGAAGAGGATCTGGAAAGATGCAATTTCCCGTGGCAGGCGCAGTACAAGAGACATGTTCATCAGAGATGTTAGGAGGTCAGAGCGCTGATTTCCTGAGAGGGGTCGCATTGTGAAGCATCAGATCTTCAGGTTTGCTAAGGTGATTGATTTTGCATGACAGGTGCAGCGCTTCGTCTGACCTGGTACCACTTTTGCGCGGCAGGCGCAGCACTCTACACAGATGGAGTAGAAAAATCGCAAAACGCATTGGCACGAGGCCGTCAGCTCTGCCTCGCAGAATTGCTCAGATTTTGATGTTGCCAACTTCGAAAATTGAAGGAAGTCTCGCAGAATTGCTTCGTTTTCGATGTTGCCAACTTCGAAAATTGAGGAAGTCTCGCTGAATTGCTTCGTTTTTGACGTTGCCACGTTGAAACATAGAGATACATAGAGGACATCTCGGAGAACTGCTGCGTTTTCGATGTTGTGAAGTTAAAACATTGAGGAAATCTTGTAGAATCGCGGCGTTTTCGATGTTGTCAAGTTAAGTAAGCAGGTCTCGCAGAATTGCTTCGTTTTTGACGGTGTCTCAATTGCACTTCCACATGTCACGGGAATTTGCAAGCCAAAGTTTGGGGAGCCTATGTCTTGGAATTGTTGATGTAACCGGTGATGTAAGGGGGACAGACATGTCAGCCAACATGATTGTAGTGTAGGTGTCAGTCAACATGATTGCAAGTGTCAGCTATCATGGATAGACAGACAGGGTGTTGCGTGGCAGGCGCAGGCGATTTGTCTCGCAGAATTGCTTCGTTTTTGATGTTGTCAACTTCGAAAATTGAGGAAGTCTCGCAGAATTGCTTCGTTTTCAAGCTTGCAGATAGACAGATAGATAGATGGATAGATTCGGATAGATAGATACATCTAGCAGTTGTGGGTGAGGTAACCACTGCAGCCACTCTAAAAACACAACTCCAACCACCTCGCGGTCCATCAGTGGATTCGCTTTGCCATCCGTGATTCACAGCAACCAACCTCTCCTATAGGTTTCCTATTTTTTGAAACTTCGGCCACCGCCTTGTGCGGTACTGCTGGTAAGATGTGCAAGCTAGGGCACGCCATCCACGTTTTCTCCAGACAGTGAACCATTGCAAGATATGCATCGAATCGGGTCTCCTTGGCATCATTGGCGGGCTCCCTTGAAAGAATAATAATTGTTGCGGAAAGAGACCAATTTAGTGCAAGTGCAATTGGTACCGTTCATTTGGGGATAAACGAAACCACTCTTGTGAGGAGTGTCACAAAGACTGAGCACATCCAGGCTGCTGCTTGTTGGGTTTGAGCTGACTTGGAGCTGGTTTGATGTCATGATATGTCAAGAATCTACTTGTACACCCCTTGACAATGTTTGACAACGGCATACAATGACAACACAGGCCGCGTTTGGACTTGCGGAGCAGACATGGAGAACGTGGAGCCATACTGCAAAGAGGTGACTCAGTTGAATTGAGCCGGGGGTTTCCATGGCGTGTCTCCAAGAGAGCCTTTGTGTAGTATTGCAGCAGATTTATTACTACAGAGAGTTCAGCAATGTTCAGTAAGGAAGTAGAGTTGTGAAAATTGTAGATGCAGGCTACAAACAAAGTATGAATCTTAGAATGTCTTGGGCAAATTTTTTGTACTGTCACATCTCATACCTGTCATGTTTTGCTCCGGATGTTCGGCTTTTCTCTCACCTTCGTGTTGGGAACTTGCGGAGTTTGCAAGCTTCAAAGAACCCAGGTCCAGCCTTGAGCGCTCTTCTGGGGCTTTGCTTGGGAATTGTCGTGTTGTTTTCAGGCGCCAAGGCAGGGAGTCCAAGGTATCCCAAGATCTCCCGTATTGGACACACTTGGTGATGATTGACTATGACAGAATATTTAAGATTTAAACTTAAAGATAATTCTTTAAATGTGTGATTCTGAGTGGTGAAGATCTTGAAATGCCCTCAGGTGGCAGCTGCAGCGGGTGCGACCAGGCATGGCGAAAATATGTTTGTGAGGATTAGGATCTGATCGTGACAATATGTCGGGGAAGGAGTTTCAACGAGACAGATTTGATGAGAAGGATGGAACCCATGGACAGAAATTGCATCTATTGCAAGAAAGGGCTGGAGGGGAAAACCTCCGTTGAGACTACAGGGAGGCTGAGCCTCAGAGCGCAAGATTGTAGGAAAACAGATGCTGATTCCAAGCGGAACTGCGATACCTGCGATACTCCATTACACTCCATAGTTTTGGGGAGAGAGAAAGAGTTGCACGGATTTGGAAGTGGCAAGACTGTGCAAGTCTGAAGGCCTCACCTGGGTGTCCGTTTGGCCATGAAGATGAAAGCCTGCTGCGCCCTTCCAGTCAGATACCCAGCGCAACTCGTTGCCTGTCATGGCAAGGTATCAGTAGATGGTTTGATATTCCTAGAATCTGTTGGATTAGATTGATTGGATTTGGATGTGTATAGCTGCATAGACATGCTTTATGTATCTTTGCGTATTGCTTGTGTTTTTCCCGAGAGCGTCTGAGCGAAGGGTTCTTCTAATAGTGGGAATCTGTCACGCATTTTCACATCTTCACATCTTCACTCCTTCACATCCTCACATCCTCACATCTTCACATCCTCACATCTTCACATCCTCATATCTTCGCATCTTCTCATCTTCACATCTGCTCATCTTCACACCTTCTCACCTTCACATCTTCACACCCTCACATCCTCACATCTTCACATCCTCACATCTTCACATCTTCACATCTTCATATCCTCACACCCTCACATCTTCACATCCTCACATCTTCACATCTTCTCATCTTCACATCTTCTCATCTTCACATCACATCTTCACATCTTCTCATCTTCACATCTTCACATCCTCACATCTTCACATCTTCACATCACATCTTCACATCTTCTCATCCTCACATCCTCACATCTTCACATCCTCACATCTTCACATCCTCACATCTTCGCATCTTCTCATCTTCACATCTGCTCATCTTCACACCTTCTCACCTTCACATCTTCACACCCTCACATCCTCACATCTTCACATCCTCACATCTTCACATCTTCACATCTTCATATCCTCACACCCTCACATCTTCACATCCTCACATCTTCACATCTTCTCATCTTCACATCTTCTCATCTTCACATCACATCTTCACATCTTCACATCTTCTCATCTTCACATCTTCACATCCTCACATCTTCACATCTTCACATTCCCTCTTGCCCTCTTGCGCTCTTGCCCTCTTGCTCTCTTGCCCTCTTGCTCCCTTGCCTTCTTCTTTTTCCTTCTTTTCTATTTCTCTCTTAAGGCGCGGGGCAGTGCCAACGAGACGGCACGAAACGCAACCCCTTCGCACGAAATGAGGTTCGATCGTCGAAAACTGAGGTAAAGTGGTACTTTTTGTATGACAACATGGCATTGGCGGCCGACTGCTCTGATTCATACGTTTTGATGTCCAAACGTGTAGTAAAATTGCGATGTCGCAAGTGAAATGATGGTCAGGTGTCAAAAACTGAGGTGAAATTGCGATTTCAGAGGTCGAAGCGCAACCCTTTCGCGCGAAATGGTGGCCGAGTGTCAAAAACTGAGGTGGAAGCTTTTGTGTGTAAAAGGGTTTGCGCGTAAAAGCGTCTGTGTGTAAAAACATCTGTGTGTAAAATCGTCTGTGTGTAAAAGGGCCTGCGTGTAAAAGCGTGTGTTTGTGTGTGTGTGTAAAAGTGTCTGCGTGTAAAAGCGTGTGTGTGTAAAAGTGTCTCTGCGTAAACGCTTCTGTGTGTGGAAGCATCTGTGTGTAAAAGCTTTTGTGTGTAAAAGGGTCTGTGTGTAAAAACTAATGTATGTAAAAGCCTCCGTGTGTAAAAGCGTCTGTATGTAAAAGCATCTGTTTTTTGTAAAAGCGTCTGTGTGTGAAAGCGTCTGTGTGTAGAAGGGTCTGTGTGCAAAAGCGTCAACGTGTAAAAGCGTCTGCGTGTAAAAGGTTCTGCGTGTAAAAGTGTCAGTGTGTAAAAGTGTTTTTGCGTAAAAGCGTCTGTGTGTAAAAGCGCGTGTGTGTGTGTGTAAAAGTGTCTCTGCGTAAACGCTTCTGCGTGTCAAAGTGTCTGTGTGTAAAAGCATCTTTGTGTAAAATCGTTTGTGTGAAAAAGGGGGTGTCTGTAAAAGCGTGTGTGTGTGTAAAAGCGTTTGTGCGTAAAGGGTTATGTGTGTAAAAGGCATCTGTGTGTAAAAGCATCTGTGAGTTGTCCAAAAGATCCTTTTCTGCGTAGGAGTTGCCATGTTCAGTCATTCGTTACAGTTTTTTGTATTGGTGGCCAACACGTCAATAAATTTGCATTGCTTGATTCAACAGCTTTGTCTTGTCGTTTCCATGTGCTTCACTCCAAAGCTTGAATGCGTGTGCATGTGCACGTGCCAACGACTCCAATACATGTTCACTTCATGGTTTGGCAGCTTTTCTATAGGTCTACAGGAAAAGACACCAGTGTTCTCAGGTAGGCTCATCCATGTCGCAACGTGAGATGCTGGAGTGGCCGCAAGCCAGGCAAAAAGACATTCAGGATGCGTGCAATGACACTGCTTTCGGGACGGCCTTAGATGTGGATGGTTGCCTTGTTTGCAAGCCTACAGAAAGGGCGGCTATGCTGCTTGGCAGCTTGCAGGCTGCTTGCAACTTGGGAGTCATCAAAGAAGATCTCGGCGTGTCTGTGACAGTGGTTGTTTCCATGTGTGAGACTGAAATGAATATACATGGAGCTCCATCGAATTGGAAGGATTACTTCCGTGAGCACGATGTAGTTCATATTCATTGTCCGCTGGATGACACCACAGTGAAGCAGCCGGGCCGCGACTTAGAACGGCACAGAGCATTGCAAAAGAATTGCCTGTCCAATTCGAAAAGCATATGCTTCCAACTGTGGCAACAGTCAATCATTGCCGTCAACGCAGACAAGCCCATGAACATTTTGTTTCAGTGCTTTGGTGGTATCAACCGCAGCGCTGCGGTTTTGTGTGCTTGGCTCATCGCAGCCTATGGCTACAGCGCGGAAGATGCGATCAAGATGTTGCTTACAAAGAGACTGTCTCTTCGCCCGTGGCGCCATCGAGGCTATGTTACAACCTAGGAATTCATTTCACAATGTCTTCAGTGTTAGATGTGTTAGTGACAATTGATGACAATTGGTCAAGTTGTGGTTCTCACTTCTTGTACCCTGAAAAGCTTTGGCCCAACATGAACGGTTTGGCTGAGTGAAGAGTTGCAAAAGTTTTCATGGGACCATGCTTTGTCAGACTTTGTCAATGCAACTTGCAAGAAAGATGCTTGTACTTAATCCCAAGGGAGAGGATGTTTTGTGCCATCACCATAAAGACATTGCGCACCAAGTTCTATTGTGGATGGTGGAACAACAGCAATGTGAGTGGCACCAGGATGTCACACTTGGCGCGGCCTAGCTCTCATTTGCTTGTGCGCTGGGAGCCCTGAAGCCGCAGAATGTTTCGATGTCAAAATGATGTCGAAAAGTATGTTCGTGACGTTTGTAGTTGAAGCTGAAGCGGGGACAAGTCAACCGAAACTGTTCGAGACTTGTTGAGGCACGTAATGCTTCCTTTCTCACCATAGTGCATCAGCATAAGTCAACCAGAACTGTCTGAGACTTTGTCGTCTACAGTCAACTGTTTTGAATTCGTCGACAGTGAAAAAAGCTGCTGATTGCTTTTGTGAAGGCGGTAGGTGCATGGATCGATCTGATTTCTCATCCTAGATGCATTAGTGGGTAGCAGCACATATAGAAGCATTTCTCAGCAACATGCTTAGGTCACGAATTTCATCCCCCTTCGGATTGCCGAGGTGGCCACGACAACGATGACTTCGCTGTGAGTGTGTGTGGTGTCCTGGTGTTTGTCTGCGTGTCTGTTTGTGCGTCCCGTGTCTGTCTCTTTGTCTGCTTGTGTGTGTGTCTGTGCCTGTGTGTGTGCGTGTATGTGTCTTCCTCTTTGTGTGCGTGTGTGTCTGTGCCTGTGTGTGTGCGTGTATGTGTCTTCCTCTTTGCGTTCTGTTTGTGTGTGCGCGCGTGTGGTGTCTGTCTGTGTACTGTGTGTGTGCGTGTGTGCGTCTGCGTCTGTATCTTTGTTTGTGCGTCTGCGTGTGTATGTGTTTCTTTGCTGTCTGTCTCTGTCGGTCTCTCAAATTTTGTGTCTATCTTTGTCTGCGTCTGCTTAGAATCTGACATAGCATTTCTATCTCCTTTCTGCTGATCATCTGCATCACCTTCAATGAAGCTTTCACCTACAATGTCTTTGATACTACTTACAAGAGAGTAACATGCTCTTCTACGCTCTCGGGCCATCGGTCGTCTAGTTGTCATTGCATGGCCTGCACCCTAGCTTATGAGATTATGAGACACTGTACTGTTACATGTTGTCATATGGTCATCATATTGTTACATCATTGCATCTCAATATTCCAGGACTGGGCCATCCTGATACTGCTTTCAGCTCTTCCTTTGGCCTGCAGCTCTGCGCAGCGACGGTCAAATTCGGAGATGTGCTCTGGACATCTCTGGACACTTCAAGACCAAGGTCGAGCTGAGAGGTGGCGTCCCAGTCGGCCTTTGGATGGGACTGGCAGTACCGCAGGCCAGATTCATCGGAATTCATGTTGATTCAATGTTGATTCCCATTGACTTTCGATCGTCCATGGACGATTGGATAGCTGCTTGTGTCGCATTGCCGCGTTACGTGCATTACCTCAACTTTACTTTTGGAGAGTTTTGGAGGTTATGCTGCTTTGCATCCTTGGCAACATGATCCCCATACCATTGCTCCTAGCTGCTCTAAGGACAGCGAGTTGATCTTGAGAGAATCTACGAATGTATACACATGTGCTTTGAAGAGGTTTTGACTTATTCAGAAACAAGGTTGTCTGAGGTTGTCTGGATTACAGGAGTGAAAGTATAAAGAAGTTTCTGACTCCACTGCTAGATCGAGCAGCTCAGTGTGGATCTCAGATTCCTTTGAACATCTTTAAACTTTCCACCGATGTGGATTTTTTTTCCATTTGCAAAGCAGCAACGCAAGTAAGTACACCATCAGATGCCAGCCCCTTCTACCCTATAAGGGCACATTTCCTTTTGTTGCGAGACGGTCCTGTGAAGAAAAAACTCGGATTGGATCGAACATCAGTGACCAGAGTGCTCATGAAGCTTTGCCATTCCCACTGCTCCTGGAACCTTAGTTACAGATTCTAAGGAAGACAGAACCAATTGGAGCCCATGACAGATGGGTTGGAATAGCAGCGTATCTGGCTTACCACCGAATGTGCAGTTACAGATTCCCTTCTACTCTTTCAGAAGGGCACAACTGCTACTGTATATGTGTACATGACTGCTCAGATTCGTGGGAGTTCCACTTCCTGGAACTGGTGCATGGACGGGGGCAATGGCAACCGTCTTAAGATGTTTTCCAAGTCATGCTGATCTTGGTTTCATTGACGCAGACGCATGTCCCGCACGTTCCCATATGTCTTTTGTCAGGTCGCTTATTTGCTTGGTATGGGCTTGGGTGAGGCACGACCTGTGTACATCGACAACACTGGAAGATGCGTGCGAGCAATCACACACATATTTTCGAAATCATTCAAGGAGCATTGACTCGTGTGCAAGACTAAGACTTGCACAGACTTTGGACAGATGCATAATTCTCGCAAATGTGTGCGTGATTGTTTGTTATTGCACCACGGCACCCAAACCCAAAGAAGGGATGAGCCCCAACCAGTGTCATCCATCTTGAAGATACCTTTCCTTGTACAGGGACATGCAAATCAATGTCACATGTTTTTTTTCCCATCAAACTTGTTTTGAGCCGATTGGTGCTTGGCTAGGTAATGCACCCGAAACAAAACGAAATAAATATAAATGCGGAACCTGTCAAATGGGGACCAGAAAATCAGTCCTTTCAGGTAGGATACACCACGTATCACCACGTTTTTTTTTCCTCGATTATGTGATGGGAAAAATCAACAGGAGGAATTTGTAAAGAAACATGAATTGCGCAACACACATCGGTAGGAATTTGTATAATAAGATGATGTTTTATTTTGAGTGAGGTTGGCCCATCCCATCTGATTGTGGCATATAGCTTTTGGGCAATAACAGCTATGGGCGATATGACCATTCCAATGAACATTCCAATATCCTATAATCATGTGTTATGTGTATACATGTGTTGACCCTGCTCTGTTACTTGGACAAAAGGACTACGTGGATAAGCTTTATCAAAAGCGGACGATATTGATACTGGACATAGTTCTTTGTTTCGGATGTTCAAACATGTTTGGATTTCACGACAAACACCTTGCTGGGCAGGCCATTACATCCGCTTGGAGCTTGGTTCTGCAGCTTCTAATTGCGGACAGTGGCTGTTGCCAAATACATTTCACGATGTTTCAAGATGTTTTCTTCAAGATGTCGTACTTCAGGTCTTGGCCGGTGTTATTGTGGCAGCTTGTATCATGGCGTTGGGACCTTGGTGTTAAAAGGACCTTGAGGCAATGAAGGAGGCAGTTTTCTGGAAAGCAGTGCATACTAAGCAATTCACGTGCAGCTGGGTGTCTCTCCCCATAAACTCAAATCCAAAACAATTGGGATCTAGCTAAGATGCATTTGGACTAAATGAAAATTGAGTTGTAAAGTTACAACATGTTGCACTAATGTACAGTGTTCATGTAGGCGCGCACACCTTGTGAACCGCAGGTCCCTCACCCTTGCTGGATGGTATGGATGCGCTGTGGTGGAACCTTGCCAACATTATTCAGATTGTGTGTTAAAATCATTTCTCTTGCTTGAAGGGTTACAGCAGGCGTTGATGAATTCTTATAGACACATAGATAGATGGAATTATATAGTAGATGGAATGGAAAAGATGGAATTATGGATTTCATGCATGGATGGGTGGGTGGGTGGAATTAGATGCATAAAAGGTAGATAGACAAATAGACAGACAGACAGATAGACAGACACATACATAGACAGATAGATTAGGTGGATGGATGGATGGATGGATGGATGGATGGATGGATTGACAAACAGATAGATACAGTAGATGGTCAGATATATAGATGGTTGCAGTCCATGACTCCATGACCACTGTAGGTATTGGTTGGTGTCGTTGCTTTAGTGAGCCGCTGGCTGCAGTTGCGGAAAGGATAGCTTCGAATAGAAGAGTTGGATTCAAATCATCCGCGCAAGTTTTGCTGATTTGTTGCAATATGTGGCACAGATTGGCACAGTGTCCCATCCTGTGGTTTGAGCGACAACACTGCGACAACACAGAGCTTGTGAGGCTGTAGGCAAGTCCTGGACGTGACAACATTTGGCTGCAGCTTGGAAATCTGCAGGAATCCATGAATTTCAAACAAAAAGCAGAGCAAATTACCACTGTAAATGAGTTCTAGACGATGCAGCAGTAAAACAACAAAAAGACAGTAACACTTTCAGCTTTGGCTAGTGAATCAATTGTAGGAGCCCAAAAGTGGAGTCAGTTGAAGTTGCAGGGCCCCAAACGTGAAACTTGCAACGCAACACTGCGAAACCGGAATCAACGATTGTCCAAAACTCAGATTCGGGTAGCACAGCAGCGACAGCGTCAAAGAGAAAGACACTGCGAATGCAGCATAGTCAATACCAGCAGCAATCTCTGAATGACACGCCATCATCTCAGCAAATCTTTGCAAAGCCACAGAATGAGCAGTCGCAAGACCCGCCAGGGATGGCAGCTGGACACAGCATTAGAACTTTGTGGAGAGATAATCCTTCAGCTCCTCGGACTGTACTCAATGCATTTATGGCATAATGCATCCTCACGGGATCTCACGGGCCTCACAGGACGCTGCAATGATCACAGATGAAGTTCTAGAAGATTACATCTCCGCCGTGTCAACAAAGATCTGGCTACATCTTTGAGGGAGGTATTGTATGGTATTGTAAGAGAGGTCGAAAGATGGCTCAAGTTAAGTTCTGCAGAGCTGGAAAGTAAAAAGGATTTGATGAAGTCCTTGGTGCATACTCAAGTGCAGGTGAAGCTGAGGCAGCCGAGCTTGAAGAATCTGAGCAGTAGCCAAAGCAGGCCATGCGCTTTTGCAGACTTTGCTATGTGAAGCTGGAAAAGCGCCAAAGAGAAAGTGGAGCGGCTGAGGCAGCAGAAGCTCAACCTTCGACCTCTTGAAGGACCCAAACGACAGAAGGCCCGTGGAGCCATTGGACAGCCGAAGGCCAGAGCCATGCTGTCGCTGGTGCCGCTGCTGGTGCAAAAGAGGCCCGGTTTGAAGGACCGCCAGTGAAGAAAGGCAACTGCCAGCTAAGGCAGCTGAGGCAGCTACGGATGAAGCAGCACAAGTTTCCATGGTGACAGAGGAGCCGGAGGGGTCAGGCAAGCCCACAGTGTGTTCCACCGGCATTCGGAGGGCTACCAGGACTTGTAGCTGCAGTCTTGAAGGACTTCGCAGATTCAGACACATTCAGACGTTTCCAGACAAGACACGGCCATCGAGACGTGCACAAGAGCAGGTTGGAACTGGATGCAGAGTGCCCGCCCCTTGAGGCCAGCGCACCGTGAGGAGTTTGACTTTGTGATCGCAACCTTTGATAACCCTCAGACACACTTCTCCCGAAACTTCCGTGGTAGTGCTGCACCCCTGCAACATTGGGACCACAAGAGGAACTGCAACTTGTGCAATCACAAGTGTCCTGGCCAAGTGCTACGTTGCATTCATAGAGATACTGGTACCAGATGGTACCAGACCTTGCGGTTGCAGCGGGCAATCTGAGCCCAGGATAGCCGTGGAGCTGGTGAGGGCAAAGATGCCAAAGGCACCAACGACACCAAAGATGGTAAGAAGATGGTAAGAAGATGTAAGAAGATGTAAGAAGATGTAAGAAGCAAAAATTGCAAGGCAAGCTTAAAGATGCTTAAAGGACCTGGCACAAAAGAATGCCACAGTTCTTCTATGACGCGAAAGGAGCTCATATATGAGCTCATAAAGAAAAACAAAGCGATTGTCTAAATTGGGTACAAGAAGTTCAAGAAGCAGTTCTTCACTGGGAGTGGTTTCATGGCCAGCACCAAGGTGGTGGTTCATGTCGGTGGAGTACCACTGACATTGGCGTGGTCGCAGCAACAACCATCCGCTGGCATGGGGTGTGCACAACCACAGTAGCACAACTTTGCGCGGTCTCAGCAACAATCGCCGTGTGAGATAGTTTCGGGACAAATATCGCTGTCAGGCTTTCAGCAAGGAGAAGTATAAGGGGAGCAACAAGCAGGAAGGGGCGAAGTGGTATAATCGGAGGCCCTTTTGCGGGGAAACAACAGCTTCGTCAGCAGTGTCAGGAGCAATTGGTTGCATTCTCACAAGAGCAAGGTCAACAGACATAGCAGAATGCTTGGCCAGCTCCTTCACAACTGGGGAGATGGTTTGATCTTCTGAGAAGATATGATGTGGCTTGTTTGCAGAAAGGTTTATGTCCACCTGCAATGATGCCATTGAAGACATTGCTTTGCATTGTCTTAGATGTCCTCAACTGCGCTCGATCTTTTGAAGCACTAGGCCCTAGGTAGGGCGCCCAAGTGCGCTTGATGCGAGTGCTTGAAAGCATAGCCATGAACCATGCATGGGCCATGCGGCCAATTTCACGGTTGTGTCAAGGGAAATTCCAAATATCAGCGAAGTCTTCAAGACAAGAATTTCCCAGTTTGCACTTGGGCAATGGGTTTTCATTGGCAAGTGGAGATTTTGATGGAGCAACGTTTCACAGTTGTTTGAGGTTTGGGCTCAAGAGATGTCTAATGTATTCTAATGTATTCTAATGTATTATTTAAATTATTGTACAATGTAGTATTTAAAGTAGTACTTAAAGCATTGCACAGGAAGTTTGGCAAAGATCCCCAGTTTTGGCCATGATCATCCAAAGTTGAACTCGAATTGCACTAAGGCGCCACGCCCTGGGGACATGGATTGACCAAAGCCGGGTGAGGTGGCTCAGAGTTGCCAGAAGCTAGTGCAAGATGGTCCAACAATTGGTTCAACATGGTTCAACTATGTTCAACTACGTTTGTTTTATGTTTTGGGCTAATGTGGAGCTCAAGTTCAATGATAGGCACAGTTTTAGTTTGAAAACACACAGTTTGACTCTTGAAAAGAGTTTGTAGCCGTTTTGAAAAGAGACAGCGTTTTAGTTTGAATATTCGTTCTTTTTCTTGGTCCTACGTTTAACATCCTTTAACTCTCAACAATTGCGTGCATCGTTTGACATGGGATGGAAGCGCTGCGGCCTTTGGGCCAAGATGATTCTGGTTGGATTTTTGGTTGATGCGGCAACTCTTTGTGCTGTGAGAGTCTTCAGACTGGCGTTTAGTCCGACGTTTTTACGTGGGCATTTCAGGTGCATACACTTTTTGTCCCAATGTTTCCACCCAGTCTGATAGATTCCTTAGATATTCATCACTGCTTCGAGCGCTTTTGGCTCAGAAACCCTCAGCTCTGCCTGGCTGACAAGCTCTGGATCACCCCCATCCCGATGGAGCAGCGGCATCATCCGATTGATTTCGCGCAATTGCCAGGGCCAGAAGAGGCGTGGGATAGCGGGACAGGCGGAGTTTGTGACAAGATGTGACAAGATTGACAAGTATTATCGTCCCTGGCATGCCCTGAACTTTCATGACTATCAGTGATTGACAGAGAACACATTTGTGTTTAAAACGTGCTGAAAACTGAGACGGAAAATCCTCAGTCATGCTTGGGCGCAACCTGAAATTGATGGACGTGCCCGAATCAGCCTTTGGAAAGGGAGGCGCAATTGCTCATAGTACCCATATGTACCCATACAAATTGTGGTTTGAAAGCTGGGAGAGGCTTGGAAGATCATTGTCATTTGTGGGGACACCGCCTCCGGCAAGACAGCAGTCTCTTGGGCTGCAAAAACGTGGATATTGTGAAACTTTGGTTTCTTTCTGTCCATTCAACTACGCACCAGCTAAAATACCTGCCTTGCAAATCCTTGCTAGCTTGTCATGTGCCTCTTCCCTGTGGCCTCAAGTATTGTCCTCTTGGACAACATTTGCTTCACCAGTGTACTTCCAAGTTTGCAAACCAACATGGACACCCCAGTGCACATCACACATCACCGACCAAATTTGTGTTCAGCCGATTTTAAGCTTGAAACTGGATGATGTTGACTGGGGATGAATGAGGCCACTGCTGATTAGTCGTAGGTGTCTCAAATAACACCACTGCTATCCACTGCTGCTTCCACAAACGAAACGAGACCACCAACACCAACGGGCGGCCGAAGCCATGCAGAGTAAACCTAGCGCAAACACGGCAGAGAGGCGCTACACTCAGTGGCAAAGCACTACGGTTTGTGCTGCCTTTTGTCAACGCCTCAGCTGGAGTTCGCAGCGGCGAAAGCCATTTGCTCTTACGAAGAACTGCATGGCGGAGATGCTCCTTGGCAGTCGGGGATTGTTGCCCCGGTGTTGATTGATGTTACTTACAGATACTTATGTTCGATGGATAAGTCAATCCTCAAATTAGTGAGTCTCAGTGCTGTTGATCAAAATGAAGATGATCAAGAAAACCATGTGAAATCTACAAATTTATCAGAAGCATCAGAAGCCAGGAGCGTTTCTTGGTCAGTGTCCATACTGATACCCCACAAAAATGACAGAAGGCAGTGAGTGACTGCTGTAGACTCACTTAAAACTGCTTAAAGCCAAGGCCAGCTGCGTGTCCAAGAGATTCCAGGCAGTAGCTATGCATTCGCTGCCCACACGAGTGAAGCCTTTCCACGTCCTATCCCAAGGGGAACAGGAACGATTTCTGGTGGCGACAACATTGAAAGAAGGAGCACGTGGAAACTGGGATGAGTTTGAGCAGTTTTTTTGGGGAGGTGTCTGGCCTTGTATTGCAAATTGCTGGTTGATGCTGGTTGATGCTGTTTGATGTTGACATTTCCTGGTTGCATGTCTGGATCGAATTTACTAATGAAGGCACGCGCTGGGCGCCAAATGGGTTTGGGCAACATTAAGAACAAGAAAGCGTGCGGGGCTGCAACATTTCCACGATTTCCACATACAGTATTTCCTCGCATCATTGGATTCAATGCCCACATACATTGCTGCCAAGGTTTTAATTTTGGAGGTTTCGACATGCCATGACATGTTTGCTCCCAGGCAGCATCCACGATGACCGTTTTGCAATGGTCGATTCAGAGACTGCTCAGTCCATGTCCACTGCTCTCCATCGGTACTTGTGCCAACATGATTGCGGACGGATGCTGCTAGATGCTGGATTGCACTTACGAGATACGATTTCCATGCAATGTGTAGGCCATTGGTTCTTGATTGTTCTTGCAAATTAATTTCTCAAAACTTCAGACATGAGTGAGATGACTGCATTCCAGCGCATTCCAAGGCCACCTGCAACACGTCCGTGCTGCCCTTCTTGCAACCCGACGTTGTGATTGAACTGATGCCTGCGCTTCGGTCGAAAGGGTGGTTTCATGAGAGCAGAGGTACAGATGGTACAGAACATCAGCACATCACTGGGGTTTGAATCATGCTCACATTGTACAGATCCGTACAGTATGATATTGTGGCATATTGTGGCTTGATCTCAGAGTTGATGGCTGCCAGCAGCCTTGGCGACACTCAAAAGTCCGAAAGCCTTTGGACCAAAACGGCACCCACTCAATCCTTCCAGGCACCTAAGCCTACAGAATAACATAGAATAACATAGAATAACAACATATTAAAATATAACAGATATATCACAGTGGTGAGATCGTGCTGAGGATTGCTGAGGTTAACCTTTTTTCTCGGATCCAAGCCGATTCCTTTCCTTTTCTGAGGACAAGGCAGTTGTGCACCGAAACCCGAATTGCACACCTTCGCTGACTCTGATGAGGCATGGGACCGTGGTTTCATGCATCAAGCACCCGAGCTGGTGCCCTTCCCTCTTTGGTTTGACTGTTTCTTCAGTTCCAGGGTGTGGGAACGACCAACCCCTGTATACGTCGATGTATGTCGATGTGTATCCTTCGAGTCTTGTTACTTTAAGGTAGTTATCGAAGAAATAGTCTTGAGTCTTGAGTCTTGGCTTGTCTTTGCCCATCCAAGAACAGCCAGAGTGACCCAGGTTTGCAGTTAAAATCGAAATCCTGTCCATGTCATCATTCTCATCGTTCTCATCACGTCAGTGCCCAGCTATAGCCTCTTCGTACTCTTCCAGTCTTGTTCCGGCGCTGTAGGCCTCAAGTGTCCATCGACTCCCAGGTGGAGTTCTTCGCCAGCGGCAAGGGCGGTGGATGGCGTGGCCCAGAAGACTCCTTGGACACCATGCTCTTGCAGCCCTGTCGTGGCAAGAAGATCAATGATGCTGCTGTGGCAAAGGCCAGGCATTGTGTATGTATGAGTCAACCAACGTTGAGTGATTGAGTGTTTTGTTGAGTTGTAGCTGACATTGTACCTTGTATGGTAAGTGCTGCGGTGTTGATTACTTTTCCTGCATTTCGTAGCTTAAATCATGTTTTCTGTTGCTATGTAGCTACTTCAAAGCATCTCGTTGAGCTGATGCCAGCGCAAGAAGCGCACATAATTACTATGTAGAAAGCAACAAGGATGGCTTTGTATGGCCTTGTAACATCTTTATTTTGGCAAACTGATGTGAGAGTGTGTCTGTGTGTGTGCGCCTGCGCGCGCATGTGTACAGGGCTTTTGTGCATCCCCAAAGTATCCCAGTATCAAGGTGCCTCAACTCGCATAAATGCCACACATAACATATCCTAAAAGAACATTAAACATCAATTAGACGCAATCAATATTTTGATTTTGGGCACTTCTGACATATTGGAAGTGCATTTGATGCCCTTGAGGAATACTCAGTGGAAGTGTCCCTGGACAAGTTCACACAGGAGGTTTCAAAGGCATTTGACTTCACCTTCCACGGAAGCTAGGCGTTCCTTTAGAAATGTGTTTTGTCGCTGCCGTTCTTCGGAACAACAACATTTTCTTTGTATGAGATGTGTTTTTGCTCTTCCCGTTCCTTGGGATGATGTTATTATTGTCATTTTTTATACATCTCCACTCTGTGTAGCAATCCATGGGTTGATGCAAATCAGGAACAATCACGCAGAAAGTCTTCATATTGAAGTGTGAAGCCTTGAGCCACTTGGTCGTAGCACATTGGGCGTTGGGTATCGTTGGGTCAAATTTCTCCTTGCTCTGCATTTTATGGGAACCCCATATGGGAACCCACAAACCTTTCAGAATGGCAATTTCATACAGAAACTATCAGAAACTGCCAGCCGGGCGACCGGCTCTCGCCAGGCCAGTTTGAAATGACCAAAAACCAATCCGTCAATCCGCAAGTGAACTTCCAATTCTATCATATTCTATCATCAATAAAAACCATGCCTTTCACTTACAGCCAAGGCTTCAAGTGGAGCATCGGTGCCATCATCGGTCCTTCAGGCTCTGGCAAGACCACGAACTTGAAGCACTTTGGGGAAGGCCGGTTTGGGGATATATGGGTGCAACAGCACAGCTTTTAAAACAACACAAGTAACATGATATTATCTTGTTATCGGTCAAGAAATGTCATACACCAATCTGGTCGAGGACCTCAGGATGTAGTCTAAAATGTCTGTAAGATTATATTATAACATATTATAACATATTCCAAAAACATCCAAATTATCCTATGTATCCTATGTTAGTTCTTTTATTGGCCGGAAATTAGCGTGGGTTCTCTTGTGCAGGTTTGTCCTTGGAGTGGAGCACTTCGGCATCCGTTTGGGACCAGCTTCCATTTGTGGGCGACAAGAAGAAACTTCTGGAGGCAGCTGTGGGTGTTTGGACGTGCAAACCGACGTGCAAAGCCGGGTAAGCTCAGTTTGAGCAACCTTGCATTTGGATGCATATGATTTGTGATATTTGTGCAGATCAATACAGAGCTTTTGCACTCAGCTTTCACCATCCGCTGTCCAGTTTGGCTCTGTCCCCAAGTCAAGCGGCAGATTACGCAATTCACTGTTGATGGAAGAAAGCAGGCTAACGAGAAAGATACTTATGTGACCAAGTGATCCAAGTTGTGACCATGTTTTTGGGCGACACGGGGGTAGGGCAATGTGATTCTTTGGTCCTAGTTACTCCACCCAGTAGGTGGGGTTCACCAATGATATGCTTTGAGAGCTGGAGCCCTACTTGATCCTACTTGTACCATCCCCTACCAACTTATGGTTGTCATCAATTCTATTATTCGGTTCCTTGATGTTCCTTGCAATTTGGAGGGCTTCTGACATTTGTCGAAATCAGGAACACTAACATGTGAAAGCCGTCCGGCAAGACAAGCAGCGGTGACTAGCACCAAGTAGGCCATTCATAGTGGCAGTGACGGGGTGGTTCTTGATCAGTTAAGTTCGTAGGTACATCTTCACCCATGAAGCATCATGAAGCAATGGGGCAAGATCGCCTGCAGAAGCTTCTCGAAACCATCCAATCACAGTCAAGGCCCGAACTGATCAAACTGCAACGATTTGGATCCACTTGGTCAGTGCCCCGGCTGCAATGCGCTCTTCCCATCCTGTGTAGGCGTGCTTTCAGCCTAGGAGCATGTGAACAACTGGAAGGAGTCTCATTCACGAGCACGCGAAATAACGCTTGCTGCCCTTAGCAAGGAAGCTGAGGTGGGAAGTGAGGAGCAACTGGCTGTATTGACGGCATTGGGTTTTCAAGTGGACGTCGGTGAGGAAACTAGCGGCAACCAAGATGATGTGTTCAAGGACATCTGAAGGATCTTCGCATTCTCCACCACCAAACAAAAAAAACACTGCCAGCTCTTCAGAGCCAAGAAGGCAGACAGAATCGACAAAGTCTTCAAAGTCCTCAAAAAAAGGCGATGGAAAGCGACACCAAACCAGAAGCAGTCGGAGTGGCACTCGACGTGGCAGTCGACGTGGCAGTCGACGTGTTCGAAGTCGAAGTCGGAGACGGTCTCCCAGGCGCAGACGAAGCGCGTCTCGAAGAACGTCTCGAAGAATGTCAAGATCCCGTCGACACATTCACAGCAAGAGGTGCCATCGTTGCGCAGGTCTCGAAGCCGCAGAGATCGCAGAGACAGATCGCGAGATAGAAGATCGCACCAAAGGCGTCGAAGCAGAAGCGACCGAAGTCATTACAGAAAAGATAAAATACGCGATCTGCGAGAAAAAGAGGCACATCGTCACCTTTATCAATCAAAATCTCCAGGGGCTTTACAATATGATGTTGCGGATCTGGAAATCTATCGTTATCCACCGAATTTTTACTTTCACTGTGATGGTTGCTACTGGATTTATTCATTGTGCTTGGTTTGAGTCAGATCCATTTCACGTAGAGAAGATAATGTCATTTGGGTTTGTGAACCACTCTTGGCTATGGCCAAATCTTGATTGCTCAAATCATGTTAAGCATTTTTCTCAAGACTGCACCATGTGTGACCCGACCGAACTAGAACTTGTTTACAACTGCAGTCCATTAGTTTCAATGTAGTGAGTTTCTGTGACTTGTTGCTGTCATGAGACTGCTGCGGGCCGTGCTTTGCAACTAACGGTCGTTGACCAAAAAAACTCAAAGGCTGTTGAAGCGCCCTCTTGAAAAGTTGTGCAAGACAAGTTCCAAGAAGTACGAACACTTCCAAGAAATCTGCAATCTGTTGGGGTCCTTACCTGATGCATCCCGATGCAGTGATGATGAACAACCTTTCTGAACATAGGTTGTGATCGCACCGGACCTAACACCGGTTTCTTGTGATGATTGTTTTTGATGTTTTTTGACTGTAGCTATCTGCTAGTTTTCATCATGATAGCTGCCAATAGCCCCGAGTCGCTTACTCATGATAGGAATCAGGCTTGGACACCGCCCTTGTAATTTGCATCTACGTTTTGATCGTTTTGGGGATCGCTGAAAGAAGCAATTCCACTGTCTTCTGCTGTAATGCTGTGACGCTGCCCATAGGCTGTGACGCTGCCTGAAGCGGTCGCTGCACGCTGCTTCCACCAGCTAAGTGCTGGCGAGCGCAGCCTTGCGGAGCTCGCGCGCAGCCTGTGTGGCAACGCCAATGTCATCGCAGTTGATGAAGCTTTGCTCAACCAGATTTGTGCCGCGGCACACGCCTGTCGACTGCTGTCGAAGGTCCCTTCAATTGCAGGTTTGCCACGGTTTGCTTGTTTCTGGAAGTGGGCTTGGGATTTCCACAGGTTCTGATGGTTTGATATGGTTTGATGGCGATGATTTTGACGGTGATGGAAAGCATCAGGATTGTTCTTCTGTCAGTCGATGAGAGTGAGAATTGGTGAATGCAGTTTTGATTCAAGTACTTAATCTTGGGTGCCTCTTGCAGTGCTTTTTGAATTGGTCTGAAGCATGGAAGGATTGATTTCCCAACCTTTTGTGAATAACCTTTTGTTGCGAAAGATACATGCGCAGTAGTTACCCACCGTTTTGTCTGATTATTGCGGCGCTGGTGCCAGCTTCCCAGTAGAGTTGTCGTTAGAGTGAAGTTTAAACAGTTTCACATCTTCAAAAAACCTGCAAGCTACTGACATCTACCGACTGCTTTCGTGGTTTCTCAATTTGGTCTCAGTGGGGTTCCTTTTGTCAGCTCGCCACGGAGCGGACGCCCAATACGCAGCCACTTCTTGGCTCATCAAAAAACGCAGTCTAAAAATGTCTAAAACAACTGACCTGCAGAAAGAATCAGAAAGCTTTCTCACATGTTTTTTCTCGCATTTGTCCGAGGAATTTACATCTTTGCTGGACCGGCATCGAGCATATGAGGTGGGGTCTAAAACATGTCCGTTTTGACGGTCCCATGACGAGTCTTTTTCCAACCTGTTCTGGTACCTCAGTTTTGCTTATGGTTGAAGTTGCATGAAGTTGCCATTGCATGGATATAGTCAGCTTTTGGTTGTTTCCTGTATTACAGTATATAGGGAGACTGCAATGATCATTCAGTATGTTCTTTCCTGTTGCAAAGTATGTTGGATGGAGGCTACACCGAAAACTATCAAAAACGTGTGCTTAAATTCCGATTAAAAGGGATGCAGAATCAAGAAGAGAGGCTGGATATGGCTGCATTGGGTAAACTCTTTCTGCTTGATTCAACAGCTGTTGTGGTTGCAAAATAGCTGGGCCCAGGTGTGCAAGAATCTTCATCTTTTTGTGCTCGAAAGGGGCATTCAGCTGGTCGTTGCCGGATGCCACAAAGACATCATTGAGCCTTGGTTGCACGGTCCCAGACATGTTGTCCTGGAATCGACTTAGCTTTAAATTTTAGAGAAGAGGGGCTTACAATGCGGGCGTTGGTCAGCCCTGGTGAGTTCGGCATCGCAAGTTGAACGCATGCTTTTTCATTTAGAAAAGCAGCGCTACTAGTTTGATGGCAGCGCTCGTCTCTTTTACAAGATCGATTACAAGTTGAAAAACCAAGCATGTGAAAAAACAACAAATACATACAAATACAGTACCTGTATATATATGATTATATATGTATATGGCGGGGCAACAGGACGGAGGGCTGCAGGTGGCTTTCTGAGCAAAGCATCAACCCAATACCCATATTATCCAAAGTTGGATTACTATTATCCATTACCATCCATTACCGTACCGGAAAGCACAACACTGTTTTGCCTCGTGCCCAGGACTGGCTCAGGCCCACGTGGATTTTCGCAGCAGAAAGTGGTGAGCTCATCCAGCGGAATGATTTCACATTGGGCTGCTTGGACAAAGTCTCAACATGTCTCAAGATGTCGCAAGATGTCTCAAGTTTATGCCGCTGGGTGGCGCATTTACAAGCAAAGATTTGTTTGGCTTGAGCCTTTTATCGATTCGGTTGACCCTGGCAGCCCTGGCACAGTGGGCATGAACAACGAACCTGCCACGTGCAGCCCAATGCACGTGGCCCTAGCCTTATCAAGGATTGATTGTAGTCAATAGAAGCGGGGGATGTATGGGTCGCTGATTATACATGGATGCTTGTTGCCCGAGAGCTGCAATACTATCATTGGTCCTGGACTAAGCCACACATATAATCACAAACCTTATAGCTTTGCAAGATGGGGTAACTCAACATATTGACAGGGGATGAAGATGGATGAAGTCTCCAATTGCTTGAATCCTCCTACTTGTAGGATTTGTAGGCACGTCTTGTAACCTGAGGTGCAGGGGCTCGATTCCCATTCGGTTGTATGTGTGTGTGGTTTTATAAAGGGACCATACGACTTGCACCTCCTGCATCGGCTGCCGACTGCCATTTTGTGCATGAATCATGCTCGTTTTGGAAGAATCCCTGCACTTTGTGAGCAACACTGACATACACTAACTGTTTTGTTATCTCTGTTTTCAAGACCCACAACCTCCAACATATCATCCGTTTCTGGACTTACTTTATCGCCACTCCACGGTAGCGTCAGATGAAACATGCATCTTAGGACTTCCGCCTCCGCGTGCAGAAGTATCCTTTGAGGTGCCAAAGACGCAAGGCTGAGATTTAGACAAGGCGGTGAATATGCGGTGAATATATGTGAATATATTAAACTTAAATTAAGCTTGAATTTCACTGACACAACTCGGATCTACCTTGGATGATGGGGTTTCTGCAGGGGGTTGTCATTGCTTCGGGTATGGTCCTAGGCTGCGAAAACTTCATTTCACTGACATATGTTGACGAAGGGATGCAAGTAGATTGAAATCGTCGCAAGCGGGTGCAAATCAGCAAGCAACAGGATTGATGCAGGGCTTGCGAACGAGCGGTAATTGTTGCCACTTCTGGCTTCCTTTGTTGTGTTTGACATGTCTGTTGTCGACGGCTATCTCTTGCCTTTTTCAGGGGATTTGTTGTGCCATCGAGAGGTAAAGAAGATTTAAGATGTTGTTTTTTCCATTTTGCAGGCCAGCCAAGTTGGTCGATGCTGCAGCGACCATTCAGATGGTTTGGCTGTCTCAGGATTGAACTGACCATGCGACGAATTTCAACGAACAGGGAAAGTGCAGACATCTTCCGCAGGCACTTTGCCACTCACCACTACATGGAGGCTGGAACATGCTATCCCGACATTTGTCAGCTGCAGCAAGGCTATATATGGCCTGGCGAGGAAGGACGCCACATAGCTAAGCATAGCTAAACTAGGCTCAAGAGCAAATGTGTTCCTCGACTGACACATAGACTAAGACATACACGTACATTGTATATCACTGGGTGGCTCCAAAGCTTTGTCAGTGGACGGGCTGTGGGCACACCTGATTGTGGCACACACACACACACACACCTGATGAGAATGAACACATTGTGTAGATATTCTTCACCACTTCACCACCGACGCTTGCATGCTGGGGGTGCCTGGCTGTCGACAGGGCAGACTACCGTTCAACATCTATGGCCTCTTGGTCAGAACGGCCAATGGAGAGACTTGGATTCACATTGGTTTGAGGATGTTTGAGGTACTGGGAGATAAGCGTTGTCATTGCACATGAGTTTGCAATTCCTAGGTTTTGTTTGTGTCAGTTGATACCCCACCAATGCCAACGTGTTGATGTGTTCAAGTGTGCGGGTTGTGTCAAACCAGAGGGTTCGATCCCCGCAAGAAGCAAAGCGAAAGTGATTCATCCCATTTGTGGGGGCCGTGTTGTTTTGATATGTTTTGATAGGGTGCCAATTAACAGGCAAGAACGATTTGACCTCCGTAGCATGAGCAGGCGCATTGAAACTGTGAGTCCTGTGATCGTTCACGTCTCCTCCAGTCCCGCTATGTCCCACTCATTGTTTCTTCGGATTCTTCGGCAGCAAAGCCTTTGCACCCAGGAGTTGGTGGGGTATCACGGTGTCTCTCAGCAACCCGGGGCAATCCACGATGCTATGAGAGAGACGCGCCTGGTCGTGCTGCCGCGCTTCCAAGGCAAGGGACAAAGTTGGCGCAATCATGTGTCAGGTCATGTCAGGTCTCATTTGGGAGACATTGGGAGACTATGGACATCTATGAACTATTGAGATCTATTGACTATTGAGTAGCCATAAGCATTGTGGTTGCCTACTTCGGTACCAGTTCATTTTGCTATTCAATTCTAACATATTCTGACAGATTGTTGTCCATGGTTGCATCAAACAAACTTTCCACTTCAATGACCGCCGCGGGCAGTCTTGCAGGATTGGCAGAGAGTCCAACAAGGGCAAAAAACAATAAATAATTTTAAAATATTTTAAATAACAATAAAAAACAACCACCAGACCACAGCGAGCCCTACAATGGAGCAAGAGACCACACCGTATCCCCAAACTGAGCCCAGCCCTGGTTTCAATACTTCAGTTTGTAGCCATGAAATTCTAGTTTGCTTCCACCAAGCAATTTTGCCATGAAATGGGCGCAAACAAAGGTTAGTTGATGTTAGTTGCAGTTAGTTCTTGTATTGTTCTTGTATTGTTTTCTATTTTGCTCTGCATTCACTGCGTGCAGTCCATCGCCGCATTTGCCGGCGAGGCCACGGCATCGGGCCAAAGATCAGCACGATGGTGGGCGCGCTGATGAAGACATCAGGACCCACCAATCAGTACGAGAATCAACATTGGGACATGGTTGATGTTGATTGATGTGGAAACGAAGATGTGATCGTAGGCTTCCTTGTTGCCTTCGACTACAGGAATGCGTTTCTTCTCCAAGACTTCGCAAGAAGCGCTGGGCATGCCACTTGGATGTTGGAAAACGTGGATCAGGCGAAGTGCCTTGTACGAGACGGCAAAAACAATGCCAAAATTCGGTGGTGGTTTTGAGTGTTTTAAGTTTACGTGGCCACAGTTTGGCTGTAGCAACTCGACTCCAATGATTTTTTTTGAATCAAAGAACCAAGCACACCAGCAACACCTGAGGTTTGTGATCGTAGTTCTTGAAACCCTTTAGGGATGGGAACAAGTGTTGTGCCCCGGGACGTGCCTTTTGGTCGCACAATTCTTCCTCCGCACTAACAAGACATAGCAAGACCGATTCATTAAACATTCCTTTTGGTTATTGTGTATATTGTGGTAGATTTGTGTTCTGTTCTCTGGAAGTTCTGTTTGGGCACCTACTGTATCAAGTTGCCCCTTCCTGAAACCACCTTAAACCTAAAGAACCTGGATTACTCAGCGCGGCATTACTATTCCCATATCGTTTTTGCGACAGAGCGGCAGATTTCTTTTGCACGTAACCTTGCATGGAGTTGGCTGATGCGCTGATTTCTTGAAACCATGTCGATAGTTGAATCAGGAAATGTCGAACTTATCGTCTTACGCCGTACCTTCTTCTTGGCTTTGTTGCTTTGCCCATTCTTCGAAAACAGATGATTTTGTTCGGACTTGATGTTAGAATATGTTAGAATGAGAAGGACACCAGACATTCTCAGACTAGGAAACACCCTTGCCCAAGGCACGGACGCAATTTTCCTAGAATTTATAATAGCACAATTTGACTTCCTGACTTCCTGATTGAGCTCTCTTTGAGACAGAGCATCCCGACTTCACGACTTCCATGGCATGTTCTGAGGCATCGAATCAAGGCAAACCACTTGTGGCGCCCAACCACTACAAATCTGAAGATAAGCAAAGGAAGTTTGGGGGAAGGACGGGACGGGCAGCCTGTTGCTAGGTCTGCTAGGTGCTGGCAAAAATCGGTACGAAGTTCACTTCCATGCTCTTCACATGGTTGACCACGATAGCCATCAGGAAATGGAGGGCAAAAGTGCCGTTTGGTCCGTAAACTGCTAGCATCCTTGCAATTGCAGTGCGACTTGCAGTCACCAATCACAAAGTCACAAAACATCTTTGCAATTCTGTGCCTCATTGGGTTCCCAGCCTTCCAATTGGGAAGGACAATATTGCGCATAAAGAGACTTTAGGGCAACCATGGCATCCACACGTTTGCATTGAAAACCACAGCTCGGGAGAGAATCACCTTGCAAAAAGATAAACTGAAAGGGGAGGCAGCTCAAAAGAGAGTACACAAAGAGAGAGAGAGAGAGAGTTAAAACATGTTAAAACTATCATTAAAACTAGAACGAAGAACTGAATCAACTCAACAGAGTTTTCCACCTAAACGGTGGTGTTTTTCCATTTTGGGTCCGTTGTCATCCTCTTGGAAACTTCCGACAGCCGTGGAACAAGTTCAGACGTTCTGAGCTGTTGTGTCTTTGTATTTTGATCAGTGGAACAGTAGGCAACACACGGCAACACGGGGTCAACACGTACAGTAGCCCTGTGGGGTCGCTTCCAGCCAGGCTTCTCCAAGAAGCGCATGAAAAGAGAAGCTGCCAAGAAAAAAGAAGCTGAGGGAGAAGGCGTGTCTCGTTGTGACTGTCACTGTCGGAGTGTTGTATCATCCATCAATCCATCCATCCATCAATCAATCACATAAGTTCGGACACAAAGCCTTTTGTATACAGTTGTATGCAGCATGACCCGAACCAGCTGTGCGTAGCAGTTCGGTGCAGGTGATTTGGCCGGCGGTGCCAGCTCGGCAGGCCCAAGTGAATTGTGTGACGTCGACACTGACACTTGGCATGTGTGAACAAGTGGGGTTGGGTGCAACATGGTGCAATGGTATTTCAGTGTGATGGTCAAACAGTCGGCAAAACTATTGCACATGCCAACAGTTTGGTACTCCATCGCTTAGGACTGCAAGGCTTGTGCTCGCGAGAGAGCTGAGCACAAGTTGCGCGGTCGGCCTCCAAAGCACACCTGCGGTCGCCCCCCGGCGCGCCCAACGAGCCCAAGACGCCCAGCTGAGAAACGATTGGTGGAGCGACTGTGCTACTCCCATGAGCGCCTTGATTTTGCGTTTGGTGTAGGGTCTAGAGATTCCAACTTTCAGAAAGTCCCAAGATAATTCCAGCTTGTACGGCAATAATCTGAACGAAACAAAACCAAGTCCGCAGAGACCATGTTCATGTTCGGGTCGCATGCTTCTCAGACAACATTGTGGTTTCACCGGTGGATTTTTGTGTTGGGTGATACGAATCCTGCAGGTGCCACCTGCTAAGATTATCTAAGATTCACTTTGTTGCAACACACTGAAACCACAAAAACCTGTTGTGCCAAAGATTAACATTGTCAGGTATTTCTGATCACACCTCAAAATCCTGATTGAGGATGCACCCTTTTGTATTTCAATCCAATCAGTCTTGGCACATGACAGTACGGGGTACTATGGAGCACGGATGAGCCTTGTGCGAATTCCCAGGTATGTAGGGCCAGCACGTCCACAGAAGCATCCGCGGAGTGATGTGGACGAAGAGATGCAGGCTGCCATCTTCGTACAAACTAAGTTATCAGTGCCGATCGACACTGCGAATTGTCACCATATTATCCAGCCATGAAACGTGCTCATGACATGACATCTCATGACTTTTTCATGATGCTTTTGTTTATCGCACGTGACCTTTGCCTAATGACCAATGACACCTCCTGTATCCTACGGTCTCTGTTCTGGTCGCTTCTACATGCTTCTACTAGACTATAGTATTGTTGCCTGACTGCCTGGCTGACTGGAGGGGTTGCTACAAGACTTAGGAATCTTAGGATGTCAAATTCATCTGATCAGAATCGCAGCAATTCGGTGGCTCATCGTTTGTTTTTTTTGCAAGGCCACCAAGCTGTTGAAACTCATGACGGAGACCAAGCTTGGACTTCCTGAGTCAGTCGAGGTCAGGTGTGTCCTGACTCCTCACGGCGAGTGTGTCATCGCCAACCACCAGGCTTTGTGCCTTTAATGATGCTTAGTGGCTTAGTGCATCTTAGTGCAATTAGATGCAATTACGATTGTCACATTGCCCTGTCAGCGGTCCTGGTTTCAAATGGCCTGTGCAACCTGCTGAAACATGCTGAGACAACAAAAACGAACATCCCGCAACTTCCTGTATTGCAAGTGCACCGGCGCTGTACGGCCGTGGCAGGGTTCCTGTTTCGGGGTTCCGTTGCCGTGTGCAGCGGGGAATTACAGAATTTTATAAGGCTGCATTCTTTCGTCAGCCAAGTTTGATGGCACTTTGCTTCACCATGTGAGTTCAGGGTTCAGTCTTGGCTTGAAACAGGTTGAGTACCACCCCTGAAATGAGAAACCCAGTAAACTACAGTGGTGCACAAAAAATCGAACACACACTTAGTTCCACTGGGATGCCTTGGCATCCACCAGTTTCTCCGTTTTTCTTCACAGGGGGATGGAAATCAGGATTTCTGGTTGGAAAAAATGTTAAATCTGTTTGCCACTGCTGCAATCCAAACCAACTGGAGCCTGAAACCACTTGGAACAAGAGTGCCGAAGGATGGTTCCTCCCAAAATCTCCCATCAGCAATGGATCACGCGCAAAGGGCTTGTGCGCGTGCAATGCCAAAAGGATGTGCCAGCTGCAGATGTATGTGGATTGAATTCATGTGCCATCACGCTTCGAGAGAAACCTGTGCCTCAATTGGCAGGCCAAACATATTCTAGTTGGGACGCGTGCGAACAGATTTCAGAGTTCAATGCGCCTTTGAGTTTTTGCTTGATCATGACGTTTGCCCACATGCTAGATTTGTCTAACACACTCATGTTTCATTTCATGCGGGGTTCAGCTAGTCAGACACCAACGTAATTAATTCAACCCATAGCTTTTGGTTGTTGGTTTAGAGTAGAATGTGTTTTTGCCGTGTTGCGTGATGAGAACATCCGAACGTTTGCTTGGTTGTCAACACTGACATATTATATCATATTATATTATAGCAAATTAGTGAAATTGCGGTCTTTGAATTTGGATGAAAGATGGGCGCTGAGGCGTTCTTCAAGTTTTTCTGAGGGGCAACAGCCAATGATGGACATGACTTCGGCAACATGGTTTGAGACTGAGCTTTCCGGAATGGGGGTGCAATGCGTGATGTCAGTCTTGAATTATTTCTTTAAAAAATGGCATGGATGTTGTAAATCCCCACAGCACATGCGTTCTGCCCAGGAGCAATCATAGGAAGTTATCAATCTTCACCACAGTCAAACGTCATATTAGTCATATTCAATTGAATCCCGCAGAAAAAAGCACGCATCACATTTCACAACCCCTTGCACGAATGCGTGCTTGATGGGCCCCAACCAAGCATGGATGCTGTCCAGCAGAAAACGAGACACGTAGAAAGTGCTGGCGGGGTCATACAACAACTTCTAAACGACAGTCACGAAAGACATTGGGGCAAGTGCTGCCGTAATGTTGATTTCAGTTGTTCGGGTTGCTGCCAGAAAATGCTAAAGAAACATACGTAGTGTTATATTATGTCATATGAGTCATATTATGTTTATTTATCAACAATTGAGGTTTGGATGAACTCAATGTGGAAGAGAGTCCAAGGAATTTTATATAATTTTATGATAGAGCATAGGTTTGCTTCCCTCCTTGCTTCGGTGGACTGCAGGAGTTTGATTCCTTTTTGGTGCATGAGGCATCCAGCCAGAAGGCAAAGCACACATTCAGTGAGCATTGGGCCTCGCGCTCAGAACGCAGATTTCCAGTCGTGTTCGACTGTTTGCTGGTATCTTATCGAGAATCGATGACTGCAGCACAAAGTAGCTTCAACTTTATTTGCAGCTTCGTGCGTCCACCCACTTTGGCCACAGGTTGACTTGTTTGCGGAATGCTGAAGTGTTTGGGTAGAAGTCAGGTCATGTTGAATCCACATGACCCGTGATGTCAGCCCAAATTCTGGGGGCATGGGGCTGGTTTGCCAATACAGAATCTGACGCCTGGACTTTTACAACTGACGCGATTGACTGGGGCAAGACGTGCCTGCAGCGCGTGTTGGCAAGTGAAAACTGATAACGAATTTGAGATGGGAGCAAAACAGTAGCAACGATGCTTTTTCTTCACCAAGATAGATAGGCAGATAGATAGATAATACAGATAATGATGGATAAATGGCTGTAGTAGCACATGACCACTGGAAGGTATTGGTTGGTGTTGTTGCTTTAGCGAGCCGCTTGCTGCAGCTGCGGAAAGGATAGCTTCAAAAAACGAGATGGATTCAATCATCCGAGCAAGTTTGGCCGCTGAAGTGTTGCAACCTGTGGCAGTATGTGGCAGTGTGGCACAGCGTCTCATCCTGTGTTTGAGTGGCAACACAGAACTTGTGATGCTGTAGGCACTGTAGGCAATTCCTGCTGGACCTGATAACATTTGGCTGGAGCTTCGAACTCTGCAGTCACCCATGAGTTTTCAATCAAACAGGCCGAGGAGATGACCGCTGTAAATGACTTCTGGGCAATGTGGCAGCAAAACAATGAACAAGCAGTAATACTGTCAGCTTTGGCAATCTAGTGACTTGATTGTAGTAGGTGTTTGCTTTACCCGACATGAGTCGAAGCGCATGTTGCGAGCCACACTGAAATTAACTTGTAAACATGTTTGTGTGTGTGATTGTGTGTGTACGTCGGTTCTTTATGGTTCTTTGCTGTATTATTCATCATCCAATTGGTTTGACCTTTTGCGAAGCCTATGTGGTAGCTCTAGTTGCTCTTGAAAAAAGGTTTCATGGTAACACCAGAGTTCCATGATTTGCAACTCGCAGACCCTGTACATAGAATGCGCATCCTAGCTTTGGGATGGCGATGGCCCGCGCGAGCCATCCATGCTCGAAAATGAGATGGTTGAGGACAGATCAGAACTTGTCCTCATTTCTTCATTTCTTCCAAGCCTTCTGTTTTTGTTTGTTTTGTAGTCCTGGGATGTGCTACAAATTGTATGACCTTGAAGCAACATTCTACAAAGTTATCATTATTTGGGCCTAAGATATTCTAAGAGAGTGGGATTTTAATGGATTTTAAAATATTTTAAATGAATATCACAGCTATATTGATTTCAAACAGGATTGCCACTTGCTGCAAGATATCTTCACATGGTCCATGTTAATTCTTAGCGGCTCTTCAGGCCGCACAGATCTCGTCTGCTTTGTGTTCAGATCTCGGACACTCTCAGCTTTGGTGTGCACATATTCAGCACAGCTGCGCGATTCCGTGCGGAGCCAAGGTTCTCGCTCTTTGCTTCTGCTTATGTCGGCCATATCAAGCTCTTCACAGAGAGGCACTGGGCGAAACACATAGGAATACTCGTATCATAACGTTCGGGGTCCGCTAAACGCTTGTCGCACCCATACACCGATACGCCGCACGCATCCGCACGCACATCTCAGAATACAGTATTGGATCGCATTGGATCATGGATGTTGCGTTGAGATGCGTTGAGGATGTATCAGGAGATCCCAAGAGAAGAAGGATTTTTATGAAGGTGTTGAAGCAGATATGCAAGCCATGCACGCAATCTGTTGAGGCCATTCAATGTGTTGTTGGAGCAGAGAACTCGAGGAGACGGTCCTCGGATGTCCTCAGCAGATCCAGGGTACTGGCTGTGCGTTTGCTCACCTCCTTGTTACTGGGCCAAGAGGGAAATCTCCACCAGCCACAAGCATACCGATAAGATCCAGTAAACATCAGTAAACCACATTTAACAATCAGGAATCACAGCAAGAAGAGGAAAGGAAAGGATGGAAAGGCACAGAAAGGGGGAAAGGCACATGCCAAGGTCATCCAGGGTCCCTGACAAAACGAAGGCAATCACATGGAAAGGTCGCCTAGAGGTCACCAAATGCAGCGCAAGTCATCAACACCATATCGAAGTATGCTCCAAAGTGTGACACTGAAATAAGGTCTATTTGCTGTATAGATTGTATAGTGTTTTTATGTGTTTTTAAGCTAGTACAGCTTTCGAGATCGTTGCGTCGACTCACAGTGTATACTTTTGTTGAGCAGCAGGAAAAATTAATGTCCGAAGAGTCTTCGTTTCTGTAGCATCGCATAAAGTGCGTGTGCCAGTTCAAGTGAACATCAACATTCCAACCAACCCAGGTGTAGTGTAGCAGTTCAAGTTAATCTTCCATCCCCACCTCTATACCCTGCTAGACGCACCCCGGCGATCTCCAACGGCTGTTGTATCAACGTGATCCAACTACAACTAATTACTATTTTGACATTCCAGAATGATGAAAAAACGTGAAAAAAAACGGCACTGGCTCGTTTCCGGGCTTCAGCCCGCTATATACTTGGTGCTTGCGTCAAGCCGTCCAGTCTTGTCCAAAGTCCGGAAATCGTGTGCTGCTTGGGTTTTGGATTATTATGGCTTATTATGGCTTATTTGGATATTTTAGATGTTCCTCATACAGGACTCATACAAGTACAATGCAGGATGTTGGGTGAAATCCATTTCCTTACAACACAAGTAGCAGTGCCTGAGATGTCAAGCAGCTGTGGCAGTTCTGGTGATGCCAAAGCCTCTTGTTCTGGTGTTGCTATGGTGGCATTGCAGTGCCCGGATCTACCTGGTCTATTCTTTGACAGCAATATTCGTGCCTCCTTGTGGGTTTCAATGCTATGGTTGTTGATGTTTGTTGATAACATACAGATAACATACAATTTCTATACAATTTCTATACAAACAAAGGTAGATAGGAAGAAGGCCAAAGAAGGGGTCCGTTTGCCTCGCATCTTCTCGCATCTTCTCGCATTCAAGGAGACAAAGTCTGAGCGGTGATGAGTTGGACCCAGAGGCATCAACGCTGTATGACTCATATGACCAGTTGCTGATGTCAATGTGTTTGCTGACGTCAAGGTATTTGGCCAGAAATATGCTTACGGCTTGTGTTCGATATTAAAGATATTAAAGATAGATAAGATAGCGCCTTCGTTTTTGCAACGGGCTTGCAATTGTTCCAGCAGTCGACAAGGAGGATGCACAGCAAACCCGATCACAAGGCCTGCTGCAACCCCTGTTCTGATTTGTTTTGAAGCATGTTTATCACATTTTGTCACCATGTGTATGCATGTTTCATGCACTTGTTACACATATGTAATTATGTAACACAGTTTAATTATGGTGCAGCCTCATGGGACACGATGGCAGTAGGAGTTTCCGCGGGTCGGTCTGGAGAAGGCGGCCGACGTTTGCCTCCAGGGAAGCAATGGGCTATGGTTTTGGAGTGGCACAAATGGCGCCACAATGTCATCAATGTAAACATGTATTGCACAATAGTGTACACTTGTGCAACATTGTAACTTGGACGAATATAATATTATTATATATATAATATAATATAATATAATATTATATTATATTATATTATATGTATCATTGCTGTTATTGCTGTGACAATATAACAAGGAAAAACGGTTATGAAGCCCATAATCTCGTCAATGGTCATTTCACACTAAAGCACGTCAAAGGAGTTGTCAGTTGGGTGTGCAGACAAATCAGTGCCATACCGGGGACCATCAGTGCCATACTTGCTGTTCGTTTATTTTGTTTGGTTTTAACATGTTTTAACAACTTGCGACATCCGTTGAGACTTCTGCTCAAGCAAGGCGCTGCCAGAGAGAGACGCAGGGACATCCACACTCCGCCGGTAGTGGAGGACATGCCATCTGAAAGATCTGAAAGTGTGAGGTGCTGGCTACAAACCTGCCTCCACAGAAAGCGGAGAAACGTCAGCAATTAAAACCAACCCTTAGATACCCTTAGTAAATTGAACCAGCCCTAAAACCAATCAGAATGAACCCTAGTTTCAAACTACCAACTACCATATGTTACATGAACAGGTCGAGCATCAAAATGTTGCAAACATATGCAAATGAAAATGAGAGTTCGAACTTCAGTTCGAACTCAAAAAATCCGCAAATACCCTTGAAATAGCAGTTTCCAGCTCCAAAATGCTGCAAATAGCAGGGAACATGGACAGAACAGGAAATTTAAGAAAAAACAAACGGAAAAAACGCAAACAATTCCGGACACTAATATGACTCAATGAATACCTTGATAACTCTTGATAAACGTACTGATTTGAATGATGCCGTGCAGGACATCATTGCTGGTGCGCTTGTCGGAGCCGTCACTGGTGCTGTGGCTGGAGCTGGTAGTGGCGCAGCTTTGGGTGGCGCAGGGACAACTGGTTTAGCCCTGCCCTCAGACCCCCAGGTAATCCCAGGTACATGTTTGATTGGATCATGATGGTTTCATATTATGGTTTCACTGTACATGTTTGTTCATTTGTTCATGTTTGATCTTGTTTGATCATTTTGTTGGATTGGATGGATTTGGGACGGCTTGGGTGCCCAACTGTTTCCGAGAGAGCTTGGATACTTTTCTTGATGCCAATGGAGAGGTCTCAATGCAGCAATGCAGCATGCATTGGAGTCGGCACAGGAACAAGTAGATTTAGAGTACATTCACACTATAGACATAGACTCTGCGAGAGACCTGGGCGGAGACTAATGGTAATGTCAAAGCATTCGAAAGACTACAATGCTGATAGACTCGCTTGGCGCTCTCTGCCTGGATACCTTTGACCCATCTCCGGTGGCTTCTTTCCTGTCAATCTCTCACTCTGCATGCCCGACTCCCTGCATCAATCACGGCGTAGTCCGTTTGTTTTTTTGGATTGTGCCAAGGTTATTTTGATCTTGACTTGCACTACTATATCACAAGATCTTTGACATATCTTGACATATTTGACTCATCCCTTCTTTTATGATATTTAAGTCACACTACTTCCGACGTCCTTCTAATTGCACCATATTGCACCGTCAACTGACTACCACTACCTTTTTGAATCTTTTTGGTTCCCTTCGACAAACTTTGAGGCTGGAGCTGCGGGGGGGGCTGCATCTGGAGCTGCTCTGGGTCTGACAAGTGGTGCTGTTGCCGGAGCCGCGCTTGCGACCGCGAATCCTGACGTTGGCGTCTAAGACATGCAGTGCAGATCAGTGCAGTTTTGTTTCATGTAGTATGACGATGAATGACGCATGGTATGCAGTTCAACTGCGCCGCACTCCACTGCAGTCTGTCCTTCATCACGGCTTTCCTTTGGCCAACGTCCGTGTCACCACAGGTTGCTGCTGCAGGTGTAGGTGCTGCAGGCGCTTGGTCCATAGGTTCAAATTATGACATTGCCACACGGACATAGACATAGGCGGCTTTTGTTTTGGCTTGCCGGGCTGCCTTGTCAGAAGTTGTAAACACCAGTTTCTGATGTTTCTGCGTTGTCCAGGAATTGGTGCAGCTGCTGGTGTCGCAGCTGTGCTGAATCGGGCAGGATCCTGAAATTGGTGAAACCATGTGAAAAAATGTCAAGCAGAACTGCAACTCAGCGTTTCCCTTCAGGTGCAGATAGTACGGCAGGACCAGTATGGACAGTGGCCACCTCCACCAGTTGCATTGTACTCAGATTTACGCAGCAAATCTCAGCAATTTCAAGTCGCACTGCTGGATTTGTCAAGGTGCCTCAGTTTATGGACAGACCGTCCATGACACCAGATCCCATCTTGCGCAATCAGAACTTGAACCCTCAGGCCTTGTAACATTTCTCCAACGTGCTGCGGAATGAAATCCTATTGATTTATGATGATTTATGATGCTTATGGCTACTGATATTTGCTGATGCTGCTGATGGATCTAGATGCATTCTTGAAGTCTTGGGTGCAGGCACCAGTTGTTCCAGAGCCAGAACCTGCCAGGGCCCCAAGTCGATTTGAAGACTTCTTGGTGCCATTCACTGGTTGAGGAGACTGTACAATTCAGGCAGTCAGTGAGAAAGGGATGTCTGACATGGTGCCTGACATGGCCAGATCCGAAATGCCTTACGACTCGAAATGAGGTTCCGGAAACTCCACCACCTGCCAGAGCTGACACTGCGACCGAAACTGCCGCAAGTCCAGGAGACCCCGACCAGGATTTGGATTCATGTCGATTGCTATATGATGTTGTATGACCCGTCATATGACTCTGCATGATTTTGCTATATTGTTTTGCTATTATATTCTATTCTTATTTGTGCACTTCCTATCATTGAGCTCCTTCTATCACCTCCAATGTCCCTCTGAGCACCGCCATTATGTGGAAGCTCCGCCCTTACTATGGTCCACTCAGTCCACTCATTAAAGAGTGAATTCTCAAAGCATATTGAATGTTTATGAAAAATCTGGGCACTGAAATGCACTGAACATGTTTATATTGACTTGCAAAACAACGCCTGATGCAACAGGACCGGAGGTGCAGGAAGTCACTCCACCGAGCTCGCTCCTGAGTAAGCATGAGTAGCTCTTAGTTGCTGTTCACTCAAGCTATCTCAAGCTCTTTTTGCTTTCATTCCTTTCGTTGTGTGGAGATTGCAATGGACTTGCGATGCTCACAAATGGGGCTTGGACATATGTGTAAAAGGAAAGGCGAGAAGTCCAGATCCGATCGGGCTCCAAAGCCAATCAAAGGATATCAATCACTTCATTTAATTACTGTTCTTCACAATGGGCTTTATGGAAAATTATGGGCTTTGGATGGCTTTGGCACGGGAATAGCTTAATGATCTCGGTGGGACTCGATAGGGACCTCCAAGTAGGCAAATTGGCCTGAGCCCAAGTCGGCCCAGGTGGATCCCAAGGTGAGACTCAGTGAGACCTTATATAATATATATCCTTATTTTTCCTTCTATATCCTTCCTTCTTATCTCATCTTATATATTCTTGATTCATCTCAATTCTTCATTAATTTTGACTAATATTGTATATAGATACATGATGATGTATGTCCAAGCTGGATAGCCAAGTACGAACCTCCATCGAGCCAAAAAACATGTGTGAAATACCAGCATTTCTCGCTGGCCGAAGTTGGGCCGAAGTTGCCCGCATCTGTACCCAACTTGGGTCCAAGCTGTGCCCTGTTGGACCCAAGTCAGGCCCAAGTTGGAGCCAAATGGACCATGTTGACGCAGGTTGACCCGAATTGAGCTCATGTTGCGAAAATGTCGCTGGAAACGCTGACATTGGCGGATCTTATGACAAATGAAAAATGGTGAAATATTACAGTATTTAAAGAATCGAGCACGTCGGCGCCGAAAATGCCCCCCCCTCACCCCAGCTTACGCTGCACCATCATGCTGATTGCATTCACTCGGTGCTAGACACATGTTGACCACGCTCCGGCACCTCCGGCGCGGGCAGATTTGCAGATTTATTGACCACCTAGGCGTTGGCCACATACTTTCCGAATCTGTCATTCGTTGAGGCTCCAGCAACCCTGAGCAGAGTCTCAGTGCCTGGCTTACCAAAGCTTTCACTGCGTCGGAAAGACGCATGTATAACAGAACATGAATGTTCTTTCTCATTATATTCATCATGCTGCATTTGCAGATGATGCTACATGATAGATATGATAGATACTTGTAAAATCTTGTAAAATCTTGTAATGTGTTCACGCACGTTGGCGATCCCACAAAGGTGGAGAACCGCAGAACGTTGATGCGCCGAAGGACAAGGTGCCTCCATGTACTGAGTTTAAGCCTAGATACTTGTAGGCTACCTGTAGGATCCTGTAGGCATGTTATGGCATGTGGTCTCCCAATTTGGCTGTGATTTTGATGATGCAATCTCGAAGTGTTTTGATATGTTTTGATCAGAAGAATAATAAGGCATATGAAGGAATAATGTAAAGGAAACATACGCCTTTGAGTACGTCCAGTCAAAATTTGTCAGAATTTCTGTCGGAGAGTATGTCCGGGCCGTTGCCACTCCTGACCCAAACCGCTCTTCCCACTGCATTGCCTTTTCTTCAATTGTGGCACATATTTTGTTGAGCGTCAACAAGGTGCCGATACACAAGGGCTGGAAGCGAGCAAACACTGTCAGTCCAGGCCCCAAGTGAGCTCCAAAGGGCTGCAAAATAAGAGGTAAGAGGAAAATTCAGAGCATGAAGAGCGGATCAAGAGCGGATCAAGCGCAAGCGATGTCCAAGGTCTTCGACGTGCAAGTGATATGCTTTCAGCTGAGATTGAAGCAACGAGTGGCGAGGTCGGACTCACAGCGACATGGCACAACGTCTTTGCAGGGCACACCGGGGTCTATTGCTGTCTCATGGATTCTCATGGTGTGCTGTAGAGAAGAGGTCAAACGAGCCGAGCCAAACGTATTTGCATTTTGCATCCCAATTGCGTGACTGTCAGCAAGGTCGTTGCCAAGGGCCTTGATTCCATTGGCATATTGCTCTCTCGTCTACAGCAGATGCAGGCGTTCCATGGCATTTCAACATGTTTGCTTATTTTCCTGACCGGTTGGAGAACACAGATCTTTGAGCAAGGTTCCTTGCACTATGTAACTTGAAGAACATATTATCATGTTGTCATATATTAACACATGCTACATGTTCTACAGTATCATAGGTTATAAGGCTATTTTGACCTATGTGGTGATTGTTTATTTAGCATGGCCGTCTTGTTTAGTTAATGTATTGCATATTTAGTATTGACATGTATTGACAACTAGTAATGCAGAGTATGATGATATATGATGCATCTTATTATGCATTGATGTACCATTTTCTGTTGCTGCTACACCAGCTTACACCTGGGAGGTCGCCTGTCAAGCTGCCATCACAAAGGCAGAGAAAAGCTGCAAGATGGGACAAGATGAGACAAGATGAGACAAGATGAGACAAGATGACTACACTCGATTGTCGACTCCAGAGTCCACCCCGGAGTCCAGCCTCTCTTTCGGTCTTGACTTTTGAACATTTTGGACATTGTTTTTTGATGTTTTTTGCAATGTCGTGCCCTGGCAGCCCGAACTTGCCTCTTTTCAGGCAACTGAAGATGCACTCCAACGTGCAAGGAGCCTTTGAACAAACCTGTTGCAGCTTTTTTCTACTGTATCATCCAATCTTTTGCTCTTTAGCTTCGAACTTTGCCATGTTACTTTCTAAATCCAAAGCAGAACCTGCCTGACAATTTCGGTTTGAGGGTTCAGTCAAGTTGCCCTGAGTATCGGTGACAAGTTGTTTGGAATGCCTTTTTCATCCTTTTTCATCCTTTTTCATCCTTTTTCTATTACTGTGTGTTTTGCAGATATGAAACGAATTCTTCCGTTGAGGAGCTTAGGGCTCAAGTCCAAGGCACGAGAAGGAGTGGGTGATGACATGTGACAAGATTCGTTCAGTCTCACTCAGACTAAACGCCTCAAGGTGCAAAAAGATGAACCAAACGCAACAAAAAGGATTTTTTTTAAAAATATATATTTTTAAGGGCTGCCGCCCCTGCCGCCGACCCCGGAAGACCTGAAAGAATTCCTAAAGCAAACCCTGCATGAAATTCGACAGAAACCTTAAAGAAACTCGAAAGAAAACTTTTAAGAGATGTAAATCTTTAAGAAACGCGAAACCCGAGTGAATCCCAGAGAAGCTCGGCATGAAATTCTAATTCTTTTGTTTTATTCTCTTCTGTTTGGATCCTAAATGAAATGAACCCTAAAGAAACCAGAAATTGACCTAAAGAAACCATTTGAATGAAACTTTAAATGCATCCTAAAGAGACCCTAGACGACACTCTAATAAGGTTTGAAGGAAATACTAAATGGAACCCAGACATAACGCTTGGACATTCTTACCATGGTTTTGTCCGCGCAGTTTGATGGACTTTGGCTGGTATGTACCTTGCAATGTAAAGTTATGTAGTGTAATTTGGTGTAATGTAAATGTACTGTCATTGTATTCGGCTGCTGCTGCTGCGGATGCCGGTCAACCAGCTTCGAAAAAAGCAGTTCCCGGCAACAAAACACTATGGCTCTGAAACACGAGCAAGTTCCAGAACCACGCCAAAAAACTCCCTAACCGGTCGTCTGAAATTCTAGAGAAAATTCTATAGAAAAACAGCATTTGTCGAGAGATTCTGTTGCCTGCAGCTACTCGCAGGAAAATAGCTTCGAAAAAAGCACCTGCCGGCAGCTCCCGGCAGCAAAAAACCATGGCTCTAAAGAACGAGCAAGTTTTAGAACCACGCTAAAAAACTGCCTAACGTGTCGTCTGAAATCCTGGAAAAACAGCTTTTTTCGAGAGAGTCTGTCGCCTGCAGCTGCTCGCAGGTGGAGGCTGCTGCTGCTGATGCCGGTACAATAGCTTCGAAAAAAGCAGCTCCCGGCAGCAAAACACCATGGCTCCGAAGGACGAGCAAGTTCCAGAACCACGCCAAAAAACCTCCCAAACGTGTCGTCTGAAATGCTAGAAAAAATGTGCTAGAAAAACAGCAAAAAAAACAGCATAGAAACAGCATAGAAAAACAGCATTTGTCGATTGTCGAGAGATTCTGTCGCCTACGGCTGCTCGCACGACTGGTGGCGGCGGCTGCTGCTGCTGCTGATGCCAGTAAACCAGCTTCGAAAAAAGCAGCTCCCGGCAGCAAAACACCATGGCTCTGAAGGACGAGCAAGGTCCAGAACCACGCCAAAAAACTCCCTAACGTGTCGTCTGAAATCCTAGAAAAACAGCACATTGTCGAGAGATTGTCAAGAGATTCTGTTGCCTGCGGCTGCTCGCAGGACTGGTGGCGACGGTTGCTGCTGCTGATGCCGGTAAAACAGCTTCGAAAAAAGCAGCCCCCGGCAGCAAAACACCATAGCTCTGAAGGACGAGCAAGGTCGAAAGATTCTGTTACCTGCGGCTGCTCGCAGAACTGGTGGCGGCGGCTGCTGCTGCTGATGCCGGTAAAACAGCTTCGAAAAAAGCAGCTCCCGGCAGCAAAACACCATGGCTCGGAAGGACGAGCAAGGTCCAAAACCACGCGAAAAAACTCCCTAACGTGTCGTCTGGAAATCTAGAAAAATCTAGAAAAACAGCATTTGTCGAGAGATTCTGTTGCCTGCGGCTGCTGCTGCTGATGCCGGTAAAACAGCTTCGAAAAAAGCAGCCCCCGGCAGCAAAACACCATGGCTCTGAAGGACGAGCAAGGTCGAAAGATTCTGTTGCCTGCGGCTGCTCGCAGAACTGGTGGCGGCGGCTGCTGCTGCTGATGCCGGTAAAACAGCTTCGAAAAAAGCAGCTCCCGGCAGCAAAACACCATGGCTCGGAAGGACGAGCAAGGTCCAAAACCACGCGAAAAAACTCCCTAACGTGTCGTCTGGAAATCTAGAAAAACAGCATTTGTCGACAGATTCTGTTGCCTGCGGCTGCTCGCAGAACTGGTGGCGGCGGCTGCTGCTGCTGATGCCGGTAAAACAGCTTCGAAAAAAGCAGCTCCCGGCAGCAAAACACCATGGCTCTGAAGGACGAGCAAGGTCCAGAACCACGCCAAAAAACTCCCTAACGTGTCGTCTGAAATCCTAGAAAAACAGCACATTGTCGAGAGATTGTCAAGAGATTCTGTTGCCTGCGGCTGCTCGCAGGACTGGTGGCGACGGTTGCTGCTGCTGATGCCGGTAAAACAGCTTCGAAAAAAGCAGCCCCCGGCAGCAAAACACCATAGCTCTGAAGGACGAGCAAGGTCGAAAGATTCTGTTACCTGCGGCTGCTCGCAGAACTGGTGGCGGCGGCTGCTGCTGCTGATGCCGGTAAAACAGCTTCGAAAAAAGCAGCTCCCGGCAGCAAAACACCATGGCTCGGAAGGACGAGCAAGGTCCAAAACCACGCGAAAAAACTCCCTAACGTGTCGTCTGGAAATCTAGAAAAATCTAGAAAAACAGCATTTGTCGAGAGATTCTGTTGCCTGCGGCTGCTGCTGCTGATGCCGGTAAAACAGCTTCGAAAAAAGCAGCCCCCGGCAGCAAAACACCATGGCTCTGAAGGACGAGCAAGGTCGAAAGATTCTGTTGCCTGCGGCTGCTCGCAGAACTGGTGGCGGCGGCTGCTGCTGCTGATGCCGGTAAAACAGCTTCGAAAAAAGCAGCTCCCGGCAGCAAAACACCATGGCTCGGAAGGACGAGCAAGGTCCAAAACCACGCGAAAAAACTCCCTAACGTGTCGTCTGGAAATCTAGAAAAACAGCATTTGTCGACAGATTCTGTTGCCTGCGGCTGCTCGCAGAACTGGTGCTGCTGCTGCTGATGCCGGTAAAACAGCTTCGAAAAAAGCAGCTCCCGGCAGCAAAACACCATGGCTCGGAAGGACGAGCAAGGTCCAAAACCACGCGAAAAAACTCCCTAACGTGTCGTCTGGAAATCTAGAAAAACAGCATTTCGAAAACAGATTCTGTTGCCTGCGGCTGCTCGCAGAACTGGTGGCGGCGGCTGCTGCTGCTGATGCCGGTAAAACAGCTTCGAAAAAAGCAGCTCCCGGCAGCAAAACGCCATGGCTCGGAAGGACGAGCAAGGTCCAAAACCACGCGAAAAAACTCCCTAACGTGTCGTCTGGAAATCTAGAAAAACAGCATTTGTCGACAGATTCTGTTGCCTGCGGCTGCTCGCAGAACTGGTGGCGGCGGCTGCTGCTGCTGATGTCGTTTGAAATCCTGGAGAAACAGCTTTTTTCGAGAGAGTCTGTCGCCTGCAGCTGCTCGCAGGTGGCGGCTGCTGCTGCTGATGCCGGTACAATAGCTTCGAAAAAAGCAGCTCCCGGCAGCAAAACACCATGGCTCCGAAGGACGAGCAAGTTCCAGAACCACGCCAAAAGACCTCCCAAACGTGTCGTCTGAAATGCTAGAAAAAATGTGCTAGAAAAACAGCCAAAAAACAGCATAGAAACAGCATAGAAAAACAGCATTTGTCGATTGTCGAGAGATTCTGTCGCCTACGGCTGCTCGCACGACTGGTGGCGGCGGCTGCTGCTGCTGATGCCAGTAAACCAGCTTTGAAAAAAGCAGCTCCCGGCAGCAAAACACCATGGCTCTGAAGGACGAGCAAGGTCCAGAACCACGCCAAAAAACTCCCTAACGTGTCGTCTGGAAATCTAGAAAAACAGCATTTGTCGACAGATTCTGTTGCCTGCGGCTGCTCGCAGAACTGGTGGCGGCGGCTGCTGCTGCTGATGCCGGTAAAACAGCTTCGAAAAAAGCAGCTCCCGGCAGCAAAACACCATGGCTCTGAAGGACGAGCAAGGTCCAGAACCACGCCAAAAAACTCCCTAACGTGTCGTCTGAAATCCTAGAAAAACAGCACATTGTCGAGAGATTGTCAAGAGATTCTGTTGCCTGCGGCTGCTCGCAGGACTGGTGGCGACGGTTGCTGCTGCTGATGCCGGTAAAACAGCTTCGAAAAAAGCAGCCCCCGGCAGCAAAACACCATAGCTCTGAAGGACGAGCAAGGTCGAAAGATTCTGTTACCTGCGGCTGCTCGCAGAAGTGGTGGCGGCGGCTGCTGCTGCTGATGCCGGTAAAACAGCTTCGAAAAAAGCAGCTCCCGGCAGCAAAACACCATGGCTCGGAAGGACGAGCAAGGTCCAAAACCACGCGAAAAAACTCCCTAACGTGTCGTCTGGAAATCTAGAAAAATCTAGAAAAACAGCATTTGTCGAGAGATTCTGTTGCCTGCGGCTGCTGCTGCTGATGCCGGTAAAACAGCTTCGAAAAAAGCAGCCCCCGGCAGCAAAACACCATGGCTCTGAAGGACGAGCAAGGTCGAAAGATTCTGTTGCCTGCGTTGCCTGCGGCTGCTCGCAGAACTGGTGGCGGCGGCTGCTGCTGCTGATGCCGGTAAAACAGCTTCGAAAAAAGCAGCTCCCGGCAGCAAAACACCATGGCTCGGAAGGACGAGCAAGGTCCAAAACCACGCGAAAAAACTCCCTAACGTGTCGTCTGGAAATCTAGAAAAACAGCATTTGTCGACAGATTCTGTTGCCTGCGGCTGCTCGCAGAACTGGTGGCGGCGGCTGCTGCTGCTGATGCCGGTAAAACAGCTTCGAAAAAAGCAGCTCCCGGCAGCAAAACACCATGGCTCTGAAGGACGAGCAAGGTCCAGAACCACGCCAAAAAACTCCCTAACGTGTCGTCTGAAATCCTAGAAAAACAGCACATTGTCGAGAGATTGTCAAGAGATTCTGTTGCCTGCGGCTGCTCGCAGGACTGGTGGCGACGGTTGCTGCTGCTGATGCCGGTAAAACAGCTTCGAAAAAAGCAGCCCCCGGCAGCAAAACACCATAGCTCTGAAGGACGAGCAAGGTCGAAAGATTCTGTTACCTGCGGCTGCTCGCAGAACTGGTGGCGGCGGCTGCTGCTGCTGATGCCGGTAAAACAGCTTCGAAAAAAGCAGCTCCCGGCAGCAAAACACCATGGCTCGGAAGGACGAGCAAGGTCCAAAACCACGCGAAAAAACTCCCTAACGTGTCGTCTGGAAATCTAGAAAAATCTAGAAAAACAGCATTTGTCGAGAGATTCTGTTGCCTGCGGCTGCTGCTGCTGATGCCGGTAAAACAGCTTCGAAAAAAGCAGCCCCCGGCAGCAAAACACCATGGCTCTGAAGGACGAGCAAGGTCGAAAGATTCTGTGCCTGCTGCCTGCGGCTGCTCGCAGAACTGGTGGCGGCGGCTGCTGCTGCTGATGCCGGTAAAACAGCTTCGAAAAAAGCAGCTCCCGGCAGCAAAACACCATGGCTCGGAAGGACGAGCAAGGTCCAAAACCACGCGAAAAAACTCCCTAACGTGTCGTCTGGAAATCTAGAAAAACAGCATTTGTCGACAGATTCTGTTGCCTGCGGCTGCTCGCAGAACTGGTGGCGGCGGCTGCTGCTGCTGATGCCGGTAAAACAGCTTCGAAAAAAGCAGCTCCCGGCAGCAAAACACCATGGCTCGGAAGGACGAGCAAGGTCCAAAACCACGCGAAAAAACTCCCTAACGTGTCGTCTGGAAATCTAGAAAAACAGCATTTGTCGACAGATTCTGTTGCCTGCGGCTGCTCGCAGAACTGGTGGCGGCGGCTGCTGCTGCTGATGCCGGTAAAACAGCTTCGAAAAAAGCAGCTCCCGGCAGCAAAACACCATCGCTCTGAAGGACGAGCAAGGTCCAGAACCACGCCAAAAAACTCCCTAACGTGTCGTCTGAAATCCTAGTCGCGGCACCACTTTTCTAGCTTTATTTCCCGGCGGCCCTCTAGAAAGGAGGATGGAACGCAGACATGCAACACATGCCACGCTGCGAAGGTGCAGCGTGCAGTCCGCAAGCGCGCAGCTGCTTCCAGTGCAGCTCGCCTCGAACCTCTCCGGAAAAGATTGCGCCACAGGCAAATTATCCAGGAGACATGGGAAGCAATTGCTCGGAAACGTAGTCGCACCACGATTCCTGTTGAAAAATGCGTTGAAAATACAGCAGGGCCCACTATCTCGCAGAGAAAGCCGGTCTATGAATATATATGTCCTCATTGTGAGACACAGGTCCGTAGTACTGTCACTGATGGACAAGTTGATGCGAAACAACAGCATTGTGGTGTCCGCTTCCGTGTTCGCGGTGGCACAGTGATTCAGAGCTTTTTCACACATCAGTGTCCAGCATGTTTAACAGAAGTGCAAAGCACGAAACGCTTTGGCCGCATACGGGTAGCGCACAAAAAACGAAACGGGAAAAGATGTGGAACAAAATGTTGGCAAGTAGTATGCTCCGGTACCAAAGACACGACTTGATCTAAGAAAATTGCAGCCTAACCCTGAAGCTTATGGACTATCGAGAGCACAGCAGAGGTGGCACATGGTTGTTGTTGTCGCTCCCCCTTGCATCGGCCGGGGTCAGCGAATTATTATTATTCTTTCCTGGCAGCTGTGTCATAAACTCTTTTTCCCTTACGCACTCCCCCTTGCGTCTGCCGGGGTCGGCGGATACCACTGTTTGTACAATGAGACATAGAACCTCGAGGATGCGGCCTCGAACGAACAAATCAGAGCGGGAAGGGCAACCCAAGGAGCCCCACGTACCTCGAGGAGACTCCGGGAAGGACCCCCCACCGGTAAAACAAAAACCCCGGAGTCAATGAATCGACGTACGTGACCGGTGGGAGGGGGACCCAACAGGGTCCCCCGGCAAAGGGTCATTGTTGTTGTTGTTGTTGTTCTTGTTCTTGTTCTTGTTCTTGTTGTTGTTGTTGTTGTTGTTCTTGTTGTTGTTGTTGTCGTTGTTGTTGTTGTGGTTGTTGTGCTGCTGCTGCTGCTGTTTCTATCTACTGTAGCTGCAGTAGTATAGTAGTAGTCGCAATGTCTTATTCCCTGGCGCGCTCCCCCTTGCGTCTGCCGGGGTCGGCGGATATATATATCAAAAAAAGGAAGAAAAACGTACTGAGTCATTTCAGTGTACTCAAGTCATTGGAGTATTTGGAGTCTAAGTATGTCTACGTATATCCAAGACCAGCAAAGAGGCCGCAGTTGTTTTCTTCAAGCCTGAGTACTCCTAAGTTGCATTTACTACTGTACTCTACTGATCTCTACTGTGCACGGTCTTGATTTGTTTGGCTCTGAGCTTGCAATTGAACTTGAGGGCGCTCCTGTCAAACAGTAGTGAAACCAAGGAATCCCACAAGACAGTTGTAATACAGCATGTACAGCCTGTACGACATCGTAGGACCTAATCCAAGCTACATGTACGCAATCTGAATGTAACAGCAGCATGCTGCAGCATATTGCGGGTGAATACTGGACAGAGCACAGTTAGAGATACTACACTTGGCCTTAGAGTCATCCTCAGCATTTGCTGCCTTGCAGTGTCTACAGGATCTTGCTGCGGAGCAGTAACGACATGAAAATGCAATGGTGTAGTGTGAGCCTTTTGCATATGGGGCATACGGCATATATTATGGGCTTGGAAACAAAGCTAGTTGTGACGAGTTTGTTCCGGCATGAAAGTGCATGAAGCATCATAAAGCATCATAAAGCATCATAAAGCCTTCTATGAAGCCTGAAAGCAGACCCATAATTACTGGAATCACTTGCTTCACCATTGCAGTAGCCACCCGTGCCTTAGCAATGGATTGCGTCTATTGATTTTGCAGCAGGCAATGCAAAAACCTGTCCCACCTCCTGTGATACCCTCCATCAGTGTCACCTGATGTCACCTGTGTAAGTACTTGTAAGATCTTGTAAGTACATTTGCTGTGTCCTAGGGATACATCCAATTTTCAGGTGAGCTTGCAATGGCTCTATGGGTGTGGCTTTCTTGCAATACCTTCTGTCAGATTTATTGACAGAAGCTGATAAAAGATATACAAGCAGACTGGGTTGTTGAAGAGGTAATTACTCGTAGATGGGTGATATTCGGTGGTATAGTTTCGGGAGATTGGTTTTTGCTTCAAAAGCGTGAAGCGCACTAAGGCTTGTAGCTGGCATCACTATTGCCTTAAGCCTTCTAATCTCTTCGGCGGTCAGCTTCTGGATCTCTTCCAGGCTGTGCTTAAGATCATAGCAATGTCATTACATCAATGGCTATTTCAGGAACCTAAATTGGAGGTACCTACCATATATAAGGCCTATATAAGGCCTATGTAAGGGAATATCCCCACAAAATATTGCCTTATATGATCTTATATGGTACAGTACCTCCATTTTAGGATCCTGAAATTCCCATTGATTACAGTGTCACAAATTATCACAATATGTCACACATGGTCACAATATATTGTCATAATATATCACAATACCATTTGTCCATATTTGTCCACGATAGTGTACGCTGCACTGCGCAGGCAAGACCCTCTAGAGGAGTTGGGGGTGCGTCTCCTAATCTTCTGCCTTTTGTCAGTGTTCTGCGATCTCATGTTGTGGTTTGCTTTGGTGAGTAGCTGCATGTTGCATGCAATCTTCCTCAATCAGGTGAAATCGACCTATCCTAGAAGTGCTTTGCCTGATGACAAGATTCAGGTGGGAAGTTGATGGAAGTTGAAGATTCATTGCTAGGAATCAAGCTACAATGTGGATCAATATGCTACAAAACACAGTTTCCGGATGCACTGCTCTGCTGAGGCATACATGCAACTCAAAGATAAAATGCGCACGGAGTTCGCAAAGGACGGTTGCTTGATGTGGAGTGACTATATATGATTATATATGACTAATATTATATATATAACGTATTATAACGTAATATAATAAAATTACTACAATATGATCTTATATTATGATTATATATACGTGTGTATATAATATATATATATATATGTGTGTTTCTGTACAATGGCTGCGCAGATGACAGAGCTAAGACACCATCCACAAGAAGCGTTTGAACGCGATTGAACGACCAACAACAGGATGCAATCGGCGATATGTGGGTATCAAAATTACCTGCGCATGTAAAAGACATGCTCAAGTGCCCATTCAGTGACATATTCCGACAAAAACTTCAAGAGAGTGCAGAAAGTTTACGGGCTGTTCCCACATATGTGGTAACTTGTATGGATGTGAAGATCTGCGCTGTTGAGACATCAAGCAACTCTGATAGGAGAACATGATAGAACATGGAGCATTTCCAGTCAGCTATGAAATGCAGAAATGTGATGAAATGCGGACAACCAATTTCTCATAATTTCTCATTGCTCTTGCAGACTCAAGGGTATTCAAGGGCTTTCGAGGTACAGACTTATGCAGCGAGCCATCGGAGACATGTCACTGCTACAAAAGATTGACGCTGATGTGGGGAGGCACAGAAAAAAAAAATGATGCACACAGAGTCATCAAAATTCATTGCTGTTTGATGCTGTTTGTCATTTGACGGGAACTTTGGGTAACTTGCATTCTGAGGCGCGTGGCTATTGGAAGCTGTTTTCCAAGGGCATCATCACTTCGAAATTTTGGAACTCAGCGAAGCGCTTAGCTCTCGTGCACTCAGCTTACAATACCTTGCAATCAATTATCACCAACTCTTGCCATCCAATGGTTCATTCCAACTTCAACACGCACATGGCCAAGCTTTGCCGAATGTGCTCCCAATGGCTCTAGTTAAGATGGTTTGACTAAGTTTGTGTAATATTGCGAGATTCGCAAAATCAAACACTGAGATTGCACCATCATATTGTATGACAACATGTTTCTTTCCAGGTGCTGGCAGCAGAGCGAGAGCTCTCCCAAGAGATAGAAGCTGTCAAAAATGAGGCTCTGTATGGCATTGTGTATGGCATTGTGTATGGCTCCGTTTTCGTGGTTGTCGTTTTTGTCTCCAAGAGCTGTCGCTCGTGTCTCCAGCATGTGGTTTCTGCGATGTTGCTAGGCTCTGGCAATTGAACCGTCCCATGACCCGCAAGGCATAGTATCTGAGGCAGCTGAGTTGGATTGGGTTGGATTTCAATCACACCTTAGCCGGCTATTGTCGCTTTCGGATGCTTTCGTTGCATTTCTCATCTCTCTTATCTCTCTTGCGTATCTGCCCACTTTGTGGATCTTTGTGGTGGAGAGAGAAGGGAAGTACTAGTAGTTGATAGTTGGATCTGCTTTGTACCAGGCTATGCAGCTGGTTGTCAGATATGGTGACAAGATCTGGGACAAGTTTCCAGAGCCGCCGGAAAACGCACCAGGAGGCTTTCAGCAGCAAATTCAGCAGCAAAATCAAGTGCAGAGCATCCAAGAGCATCAGAGTCTTGAGAAGTCAAGAGTCAAGAGTTCTCAGGTGGTAGTGGTAGAAGACATGTCACTGCACAGATGGTTTGGAAATGCTTGGAGTATTTCAAGATTGGTTCGCTATTTGAAACCATGTTGAGGTTCTAATGCCCTCGCTGCAGCAGCAAAGGCTTCCTGGCAGCAGGTTGTTCCCAAAGGTTCCAGCACAATATACAGTAACCATCAAATACACTACATACACACTTGCTTATGCTGTTGTACGAAAATATAGTACAAAAATACCTAAATCAACCACAATGCAAACAGATGATTTCATACGTACATATTATGTACCATATACTATGGATCAATTATGTATACTGTATACTATTGTATACTTATACATTCATTTAAAAAGCTGTGTCATAAGCATGAACACAAGAGAGGACATCATAAGTCACGGTAAACAAGAAATGGCTGTGTTGGGGCTGTAAAGAAAAGGGAAAGCAAATCTCCATTAAAAAAACTCCGGAGAACATCTTTGATCCTTTCGGCATGTTTCGACAATTTCGACCCTCTCGTTTCTTCCTGTTTCTTCCAATGTTGGCACTTGGCTCTTTAGATCCCAGGCAGTTGCAGCTGCTGGTATGCCCAGACCTCCTGGTGCACCGCCTGGACCATTTCCGCCTCCCGGACCGCCGTGTGGCACTCGGCATATCATGGCAGTTGGACCGTTGGACAACGTTGGACAATGCGGCATCCTGCGACTGCGAAATACTGCGAAATACGAATGCAATGCATCTGGATTCCCTACGATTTGTGCATTTTGATTTTGTTTGCACCCTAAGGCCACCGCAGCAAGGTGGCTCAACTGACACCTACAAATGGCGGCAGGCACTCAGCATGGCAGACACAGCTCGTACTGATACCCCAGACGCAACACACGACTCACGACAGCTTCACAGCTTTCCGCGCCAAAGAAACAAAAAATGGACGTACATGGATGGCTGGACATGTTTTGCTCTTGCTTGCTCCTGCCATTCGCAAGGACACCGAGGAAGTCGAGGTCTCTGTGATTGTGCCTGACAACACGGTGAAGACGGAAGTGAAGGTGCTATAGAGCTGCTACAGCATGTTACAGCTACTCAATGTGAGAATTGATGTATTGGTTTCAGACCTGGCAAAGCCTGTTTGGAGGTGCAGTTCCAGAGCAAGTCCCTGAAGGCACTTGCAGATCTTGCAGACTCTTGATCTGAAAGAAGAAACAAAGAAGTGAGAGGACGAAAGTCGATAATCAAGCACTATACAACTACCATGCATCTCTGGAGTCTGGAGATGAATAGATATGTCACATATGTCACATATTGTCAAATCATGTCAACAGCATTCTGGTTGCAATTCTATTTGGTGATTCCAATATTTTTGTTAGGCAGCTCTTGCCGTTCAGGTTCTGCGAGCTGGAAAGGCTCTGGTGGAAGGGGTGCTGGCTTCACCATGCTGTCCTGAAGGCTCCGAACCGCAGAATGTGAGATGCAGCGGATTGAAAGAATATGAAAGAATGATGAAATAGTGATGAAAGAATCTATATAAAAGATGTCTCCGTGACATTCCGCGACTTTTTCGAAATGTGTCTTTTCCATGACACCACGCGTGGTGTAAAAATGCGTGAAAAAAAATGTCTGAAAGGCTGCACGTGGACGCTGAGCAAGGGCCACATAGTGGTTCCATGCTGAGCCACTTTTGCCAGTGAGGGATATGAAATGGATTGAAATGGTGGTTCATATGTGGTTCATCATTCACTATGAAACAACTTCACGCCATCTCATATGATGATCATGATGTCACCATATTCAACTTCCCATCTTTACACTACCAAGGTGACCTTGGAAAAAGCCGACCCGAAGCCGTGGCGTTCCCTTTTCGTAGAACGTTCCTGAGTTGAATCGTGATGACTTACATAGAAATTGTAAAGTCATGTAGGGCGTAGGAGACCTTCGCACTTGGGGTCTAGACTTGTCTCGCTGCTTTGCAGGCGTAGAGAGTCTGAAAAAGGGCAGCCACATTGCCGACTTGGCACTTGTTATTTTCTTGCTGAGCAATTCAAAAGGTGTCACACTTTTTCTGTCTCTTCCTCTCCCTTTCCGCTTTCTCTATTTAGATTGGTGCTGTAGCAAGATCCGCGGGTGAAAGAACTGATTGCGACTAAACTAAATCATTGAACTTCAATCACCCTGATTTTAGATGGTTTCGGCATCTTTGCCTTCGCGGCTCAAGTGCACTTTGAATGGCCCCACAACGCTGCAGGCCAGCGTTGGTGTTTCACCAGAAGGGGTGCTGCGGCTGTATTATTATAAAGAAGCAAATAGCAAGCAACAGCCGCACTTCAGCGGATTTCTTGGCTTGCTTGGTTGTAGTTTTTTTATGATTTTTTAAAAGTAATGGAAACAGTTTGCACCCGCACATCTTGGAGGAATTTCATGCGAACGTGTTAGGCCAATAGGTTTGCATGGCTTTGCGCTTGTCATAGGCATTCACTTCAGTGTGTGCTGCGTCCGCGTGTCCGTTCGCTTGAGCTTGACAGCTTGACAGGTGAACAAGCCGCTCTGATACAATGGTAGCGACACAAGCGATTGAGAAAGATGCTTTTTTTGAGCTGAGACCTGAGGGATCCTAAGGGAATCTTCAAGAATCATCAAGAATCTAGATGCCTATGATGCCTGATTTGGTCAGGAATGTAATGGAACATGTCAGCCACCACTGGCTAAGGTTTAACCCCTCAGCGCCTGAATTCAATCCATCCAAGCAAAAGTCCAGCTTGCCTGTTTTGATGTCAAATTTGTAGCTGTGATCGACTGTGACCGACTGTGACCAACTGTGACCAACTGTGATTGTGCTCCTGAACCTTGACTGAAGCAACACCAACTTCAGGATTCCCTTGATCAGTTTGCTTCTGTTTCAGGTTGATCATGGCAAATGAGCGGTACATGAGTTCACCACAGTCCTGATCTCATGAAACGAAAGGAAAGAAGATGAAAGAAGCATGTTGAGATATTTTGAGCAGTCTGAGCATGTCAAATAGGCGAGTCATGCTGGGATAGGGTTCCTCATCAAATCCTTCGAGGCTCTCCCCAGAACATCCAGCATTGGATGGACATGACGATAGTCGACGGCCACGTCCTTGGGCAATTCGCAAAGGCATTTTCGGCCATGCGGCGCAACTTTTGGTGGCATATGGACCAGAGTTCTCTGAGCTCTTCCGGAGCTCAGGTTACCAGGTTGGCTTGATGATACATTGACATGCCATGTAACTTGATGTATACTTGATGTCAGTTTTGCGCGCACAGACCAGAGTACAAGCACACAAAACAAGATAAAACAAGCACATACACACCAGCAAGAGTTCGAACTGCCCTTTTGGTGAGTCGCTGAGGGCTGGAATGGCACATCCAGACTACGCATTGGACAGAGGTGGACAGGCCTAAGACCTCGTGTGTGTGCCTCCGCAACGAGACTGAGACAGACTTCCCATGCTATATCTGATACATTTTGATACAAGTTAAGTGGGGTCTGAATGATTTCTTAATGATTTCTTAATGATTGTTAAAAGCAGCTCTCCGACAATGGCATTCTATGACTTTGAACAGACTTTGAACAGACTTGAATGGATTGAGAGGAGGCAGATCTGGAACTGAGAGCATTGAGTTGCTCTCCCCAACTGCTGGCATGTAGGGAGCTTATGCTTCAGGGGCAAGGGGGACGCAGTGTTGAACGATATTCTGAAGTACAGGAACTATCGGGAATGTTCGTGAATCATTTACCCTAGTATACATTAGTATATATTCATCATATTCTATATATACACAGAGTATACATCAGACAACCTGACAACTGCTGCCAGGGTTTTCTGGCAATTTGTCGCAATCCAGAGGTCAGCGGGTGTATTTTTCAAGCACCCAGGCCACTCCAATGTTCGTCAATCCCAGCGACGGAAGCAACCTCCAGGGCGGAGGATGAGCTTCTGTTGTCAAGTGTGCGTGCAAACATCCCAAGATATTCCAACACTCCTTTAAATAAAAACACAATATCAAAAATGTCAAAAAACAATACCGAGCGTGCCCTGCTTCAAAACAATAGAGCGAATTCAGCCCTGTTCATCCCCGCTCAATTCTATCCAAAATCCCGAATTCTGGTCAAATCATCCTCCTCGCTGCTGTCAGAGAGACCTAGAGTCCTAGAGCATCTTAGTTTGAATGCCACATGCCTCAAAGCGATTTCGTCCAGTTTGGAAAATCCAAAGGACAGGTACCAGTATCAGTATCAGCATCAGGTAAAGCTGTCGAACGCGTGTCCAATTTGTACTCAAACAAGACGCCAGAACTCACCAGCAGCCGAGAAAGCCAGGATGCCAAAGAAATTCAACTCAGGCAGATCCACACACAGGGCCCTCGAGCACCTCGAGCAACAAAATTTCCAAGCACCGCCAGACAAGCCACAACTATTTTTTGTTGAAGCGAAAGCGCGGGCTGCCCACACAGCCCATTCAACCGCATACAATTATAATTCTACAAAGCATTTATTGCTGTTTTTGCTTGCCCTTCAAGCATTTTCTAGCCAGCCTTTGCGTTTGAATTTTTGGTCAAACTTTTAAATGTAATTATTCAGACGCCGGCTATCTGTTTTATCGCTCTCAGCCCTGGAGGAGTTGTGGCACGGCGCCTGCCTCGCCCACGCTTAATCCCACCGAGGGGAAAGGCAAGGCTTTATCTGATGGTACAGAATGTCAGACGTTTTGCTCTAGCAAGAAGCACTTGGCATGTAATTGAAGGTTCCAGTTAGTTTTGGTAAAGAAGAGGATGATAAAAACATATAAAAACAGAGCAAGTCGAATGGCATAAAGATATTGTTTTAATGCAAACAACATCTCTATAAATGGAGGACTGAACATTCTGAAGTTGATGCTCATCAGGCAAGTCGGTTCTCAATCGTCGTGCCAGTGGTGAGGAGGCAAGCGGTGTTTTGCTTAAGTTGATTCATGTCGATTCCATATCTTGGTGTCAGTGTAGTCAGTCGACCAACCAGGTTTCAACGCTAGTGATCAAGAACCTCGCCCTTGACTTCCGGAAGGATGATGCCATTTCTCTTTGATGCATTTCTAAGATCAATTGCAATGTTTCATGTGACTTGCTGCTGTCCTATTCTCTATACGTATATATAATTATATATATATTGTGTATATATATATACACACATGCATACATTTATACAAAGATTTGTTGAGTAAGAGCCACAAACGCTGAACCAGCTCCGCTCAAGTCGTTACCTCTTTGTACTGGGTCATCGAAACGGTAGTGAATGGTAGTGCAATTCTGCAACGGTCACCTTGCGACAGGAGGATGTGGAAAAATACCTGCTAAGCCAAGGGGCCGGAGCAACAGAGGCCAGATCATACAGATCATGCCAGATGCCAAATCACTCAAATCGTGAAGAATCTTGAAAATATTTGACCAGTCCTGTCTCGTAGGTTGAGCTCCATGTCGATCCTGCTAGCGGTTCATTCCGAGGCAGGAAGAAGTGCATTCGTATAAGATGAACATGTGAGACAAAACGGTTGAGCACCTGAAACATTTTTTTCAGTTGTTGTTTGCTCGGAGCTGAATCGAACTGGTTTGATGTTGGAATGAAAGGTACCGTCTTCGTGAGGTATGCTTCTTCTTTCAAGGCCGTCAGTGCACGGTGAAAACAAAGAAAGTGAAGATGGGTATAAGATGGGTGAAGGACATTCAAAGATGTTCAAAGCTTTTGTGCTTAGAAATGCTTAACATGTTTTCAAAGCCTATGGTTCATCCAAATCCAAACCCGTGCTGCTTTCCATGCTTTCCATGGCAGGCACGGGAGGCTTTGCAAACGCTTGGACCATCGCCTGAAATTGGCGGCCGAAAGGCCCTTGGCGGCTGTTAGGAGAGAAAATAAATAGTTAGGTTTGTCATGGTTTGTCTGAAAATATGGTGCCCCAATATTTGATGGTTACATCACAACTACAATGGGCATTTTGGGGGTATGCCACATTTTCAGACACTCCCAATTTCACAGAATTTCAAAGCAATGGGTCAATGTTGGTGCTGAAGCTGAATCAGGATGAGGCTTTTGATTTGCCTCAACATTTTGGTAATTGAATTGTTTTGCTTGTTTTGACTCAAGAAGGTTGTAGCACCATGTGCTCAAGGATGCACATCAACAGTTGTTTCCGACGGTAGCCATGGCATCCGTGTGAATTGTTCAATGTATGCTTTTCAAAACAAGACAAGAGTGCCTGGCTTCCGACACCATGGGCATTCTTCAGATTTCTTCAGCTCAGAGCAATGCCACAGTTTTTAGTGTGAGTTTTATGTTTGATCATGTTTGAATACGTGTGAGACGTTTTAGCCGTGCTGCTTTTGTGACAGGCCAGGGTCGAGGTGCAGAAGTCTAAGAACCTTTTTGGTCGAAAGAGTGCTTCGGCAGATTTGCCACAGGAGACGTGACGGAGACTGGAGAGTAGATCCTCTGAGTATCGTAAATGCTCCATAATGATCCTAGATTCATCTAGATTCTACTAAATGAATCTAAATGAGTCAAGAGATTGTTCTTTTTGGATGTTCTTTTTGGATGTCTACTTTTTGGGGTCCTCAAATCCTAACCCAGCAGGAACTGGCAGTTGTTCAGCGGGAGATAGACAAGTTTCTGAAAGACTCCGAGAAGGAGGCTGGGCCATGCTGGGCCAAGATCCGGAAGGATAATGAAGGATAAACATGGAGAAAGGCGGAGAAACAGGTGGAGAAACAGGTGGAGAAACAGGTGGAGAAACAGGCGGAGAAACAGGCGGAGAAACAGGTGGAGAAACAGGTGGAGAAACAGGTGGAGAAACAGGTGGAGAAACAGGTGGAGAAACAGGTGGAGAAACAGGTGGAGAAACAGGTGGAGAAACAGGTGGAGAAACAGGTGGAGAAACAGGTGGAGAAACAGGTGGAGAAACAGGTGGAGGAACAGGTGGAGGAACAGGTGGAGGAACAGGTGGAGGAACAGGTGGAGGAACAGGCGGAGGAACAGGCGGAGGAACAGGTGGAGGAACAGGTGGAGAAACAGGTGGAGAAACAGGTGGGAGAAACAGGTGGAGAAACAGGTGGAGAAACAGGTGGAGAAACAGGTGGAGAAACAGGTGGAGAAACAGGTGGAGAAACAGGTGGAGAAACAGGTGGAGAAACAGGTGGAGAAACAGGTGGAGAAACAGGTGGAGAAACAGGTGGAGAAACAGGTGGAGAAACAGAGAAACAGGTGGAGAAACAGGTGGAGAAACAGGTGGAGAAACAGGTGGAGAAACAGGTGGAGAAACAGGTGGAGAAACAGGTGGAGAAACAGGTGGAGAAACAGGTGGAGAAACAGGTGGAGAAACAGGTGGAGAAACAGGTGGAGAAACAGGTGGAGGAACAGGTGGAGGAACAGGTGGAGGAACAGGTGGAGGAACAGGTGGAGGAACAGGCGGAGGAACAGGCGGAGGAACAGGTGGAAACAGGTGGAGAAACAGGTGGAGAAACAGGTGGAGAAACAGGTGGAGAAACAGGTGGAGAAACAGGTGGAGAAACAGGTGGAGAAACAGGTGGAGAAACAGGTGGAGAAACAGGTGGAGAAACAGGTGGAGAAACAGGTGGAGAAACAGGTGGAGAAACAGGTGGAGAAACAGGTGGAGAAACAGGTGGAGAAACAGGCGGAGAAACAGGTGGAGAAACAGGCGGAGAAACAGGTGGAGAAACAGGTGGAGAAACAGGTGGAGAAACAGGTGGAGAAACAGGTGGAGAAAGCAAAGAAATGCAAAGACTATACAGTCACAGTACAGTCACTGTATTGGAATGACTTGGGGAAGACTCTGGGAAGTGCCTGGCTTCAAAGGTGGAGGGAGGATAGGGGATTGCTCTCCAGATCTCTCCAGGTTTGCTTGTCCGCAGCATTGGACGCTCACCAGCGCAAGTGCTCCATGTCCATTCATTGCCGAGTTCCCAGAGGATGTGTCTTTCTGTGTATGAATTGGTTTTCAGGTATGCCCACTCTTTGGCAGAGAGGCATAACCTGGTACATGCCACGCGGCAGAACGAATCTGGGCAGACGTGCGCATTCCACCAGCAAAGCACAGCAAACTCAGGTGACATTGTTGACATTGACACCTCTTGTTTTTCTATGTTTTTCCACATATGTTTCCGAATTCGCAACTGTTCACGATCGAATCCCGGCAAATTGTTGCTGGTGGTCAACCATGGTCAACCCGGATCTTTGATGATCTTTGATGATCTTTGCAGGTATGTGTTCTTGAGCAAATGTCGGTCCAGTCAAGTGGCGAGCAGCCGCAAAAAGGCCGACAGATTTGTTTTGCAAAAAGTTTCCATGCTATTCCATGCTGAGCGCTTGATTGTTTGATTTGCTCATAGTTCCATCAGTAATCATCAGTGCCCCAGGCATACTCAGTGGACATCCGCAGCACGTGCAGCTGTCTAAATTGGCGGATTCTACCAGCGAGTAGTGGGATGCTATTCGATGAATGTAAGCCCTTCAGAGAGTGCAAGCCAGGCCCATGCTGGCTGCAGGAGGCTTTCAGTCACACCAATCATTTGACTTCCACCAATCAGTTTTGCATGTCTCCACTGTCTCCACGAATTGTGCAACTCAAGCAGCTGCACCAGCACTTTGTGTCACGTTGAGTGCTGGGGGATTTCTGGAGACATGTCCATGTTTCAACGTGTTTTTTTCTGTAGCAAGTCCCACATCCAAATGATTCCAAAGGCAAAGTTCTGAGTCCTTCAGATCCTTTACCAGTAGGTCAGTAGGTCTTACTAGAACACTACGATGCACCAACCCGTTGCTATTTTTTTGCAACCCCGCCGTTTGATTGTTTCAAATTTTGTCAATCATGTGGATACAACTTACATAGTATACAACGCCGTGGAAGCATAAGTTATATAGATTATGCAATCTCTAGTGGAATCCCAAAGTCATCAGCGCGACACGGTTGCAGGCATGTCTGCTATTCATGATGTGATCGGTGGCTACGAGGCAGTCTAAGAGTCTTGGCAGTGTTGTGTAAGATGACCACAACTGCAGATGATGAGTGACGTGAAAAGCCTAGACAAGAGATTTCCGCAGGCCCACAGTCAAAGTTGCTATGTTGGCCCTATGTCACCTCCTGGTCTTTTGTTCCCAGGCAGGATCTGTGGATATCTGTGGTCTCTTTGGTGCTGTTATTCCTGGGTGGAGAAGTGGAGAATCATAGAGATATTAAAGGAAAAGTGTTGCAATCTTTGTAGATGAGGTCGTTGCAGGTTACCGGCAGGTTGGAGGAACAGGTTGGAGCACATGTCAAGATACATCAAGATACGCATGTCAAGACGAGTTAGGATCAAGAGCAGATGTCGAGTCCCACTGAGTGCAGGCCTAGATCTTGGCACGCCAATCCTTGCCCCAGACCTTCTTCCCGCCACTTGGCTGACTGAACAGCTGTGCTGCAGCTTCTATCTCTCTATCATCCTATATCATCCTCTATCCTTTTAGCCCCAGACTAACTAAAGAATACTAAAGATAGATAAAGTGCGAGTAACTATATATATATATTGATGTATATTGAACATTTTAAAAAAATACAGATGCATGGAACTGATGCGCCCTTTGTTTGAGGTGGATTATTTTAGAGACACTGTTATATTTGAGCTTCATGCATTGTTTGTCGGGCTGTAGAGTGGATATCTCTGGACAAATTGGCAGCTCCAATCAAGTCTAGCTTTCCCGGACCCTACCCTCAACTTATCATAACTTATCACCATCAAGAGAGGCCATAAGACCACAGAAGACTCATAAGTTCGGTGCATTGATTCTTTGGTGTGAGCTGATATGATTTGCAAATCTTCCACACTTGATTTTTTTGCAGGAGTCTTTTTCCACTATTTCTCATTAGTGTATGCATGTCACCCCGGCACACCAGGCAGGAATGCTCGACGAGTCTGGCATGTTTCAATCTCAGCCAAAGGAATCGATACTCCCACCTCCTCGATTGGTTATGATTGGTTTCATGTCAGCCCGCTGACTGCGTATGCTGCGCACTCGATATGTACATGGGTCAAAAATTGTCAAAAACATTCAAAAATGGGATACCAATGGACGCACAGCATTGGTAGTTTCTTGCCTTAAACATGATCGCTGCAAACCCTACGTTGCCCACTACTGTCCCGATCTCCTTTGACATGCTCAAACCCTAAATACCCTATGACTCTATGACAAGTATATAACATTGTCTTGGTTTGTGATTTGAAGATGGGCGAACAACATGATTAAAACATCCATTGAGGGGTCAAAGATTTACCAATACCTGTGTGATTCAATGTGATTCATAAAACGTTGTTGCAGCATGTCTTGGTCGAAGAAGAATCTGTGAGATATGACTCTGATTACTTGGGAAAAAGTTGGACTAAGTGTCACGCAACACTAAAGCTGCACGAAGTTTGGCATCAATACGGGCCCAACTTGAATGGATACAAGCACACTGTCCGTGCCAAAGCATAAAACATATAAAACACATTAAAACACGCAGTTGCAGTTGATGAAATTGCCACATGGCTGGACCTTCAGAAGCCCTTCCAGACACTAGACTCGACAACTTGCGATTTGTTTGTTTGTTTGAAACAACTACTGTAGTTACTGTACGCTGCTGAAATAGACGGAGATTGAGGTTCATGCTTCCGAGCGCCGCAGCACCTCCTGGTATTGAGCCAGCATTGCCTGCTGCCTCAGGTTGCAAAGACCTATTCATCCTCTTTCATTGATGCTCCATTTTCCCCGAATTTCCTTCCAAAAATTCAAAATATTTGCGAAGCTCGTATTGCTGAGCATTGCTGACTGAGCGGCGCCATTCTTGGTGCCCAAGGCCCAGGCACGCATGGCCCCAAAGATGCAGGCAGGTGAAGAGTGCATGCGTTCCAATGCATTCCAGCAAATTCATAATCTGGGAGTAGGATACAGGGATATACAGGGTTGACTTAACTCAAGCTGCTTGGACTCGAACTCTTCCACTTGTAATGGCATGAAATGCTTCAGAATACATTGTGACAACCTGAGGCATCCGGAAGAGACAACAGAGCCTCCTCCTGGTTTGGAGTTTCAAGGCGCTTGCAAAAGCACTCGCATGGTGAGGAAAGACACAGGTCAGCCAGGTTCATTGTGATTCTTTGTGTACTGTACCTGCCTTTGAACAAGCTGTCGGGAGAGCAAATTCCAAGCACAGCTTGCAGCAGTTTCGCAGTCCATGGTGTTTTTCTTGGCGCTCGCACAATCTGCTGACCAACGCTAACGCAGTGACATCAACAAATGCTATTGACTCCTGAAAAACTCGTCAGCAAGGTTTGGCTGAGCTTGCAGAAGGATTGTGCAATGACCTGGTCGCAACAGATCAAGAGGACAGTGCATCGGACACTGCATGACACCGCCACACCCAGCTCCACACCAGCATGGTAACAACATGAGTGAATTGATGGGAGCTGTCAGGAACACTATGGACTTTGTCAGAATGTTTGGAATGATTCACTTGAAGACGTTGAAAGATGTTGAACGTGTTGATTCCCACTCCGCGGAGGATTTGCATCTTGACCTCAAGTATATTGACTGCCATTGTCCAGCCTCAGAGTCCATCTCCACGGAGGAGTTCGGAGAAAGAGTCCAGATGTGTCCAGAAATTCCACCGACATCCACCGATATAACAATGAATTCAGATGAATTCAGTATTGTGCCCCTTGCGTTTGGCATTTTCAATGTTGGCAAACGCTTGAATTTGTGTGGTCTGAACAAAACGACATTCTGAAACAGATGTGTTTGTATGTAAGTATGCATATGCGAACTATTGAGATTCTTCTTTTTTTACGGCATGGCGACGGAGTTCATTGCCCAGTTGGAATTACACATTTCAAGATTCTTTACGAAGACCGCTTTGGCAGGAGACGAGTAGTGAAAATATGCGTTCGGAATTGCGTGTGACAATGTGGGTTAATTGGTGAGTTTGTGAGGGTTTCTGATGCTTTCTGCAATTCTCACTCCCTGAAGCTCGGTTTTGAAGGGCCCTTGGCCATGAAAGCTGAGCAGATCCAAAGATATCCAAAGTACCCTGCAGGACAGCCTCTCAAAAAGGAGCAATGAGACCGACAGAAGCTAACGATTTCAAATGCCATGGTGGCCAACAGCTCCATTGTAAAATATTGTAAATGCTGGATGAGAAATGAGAATATGATGAGAATATGATGAATATGTTGGTTGTTGTTTATGTTGCTTGCTCTTATGATTGCTATCCGATGTGTTTCCTGGATTTGTGGCCAAACATGGTTTCTGTTTGACGTGACCTTGTAGATTCCTACCTGGTAGAAATGGCACCGGAGTAGATTCCAGGCACGTTGCACGCCCCACTTGCAGTGGGAGAATGGCCATGCACTTGATTTGCCAACCAAGCAGAGTCATTTCCATGAAGCTGCACAAGAAAGATACTTGAAGATATTAGAGAAGCAAACATCCAGATACCAGGCTTTGACAAGAAATCCACAATTTCCGGATGCAAAGCTTGCGAACTCATGACAACTCATCAGTGAAGATAAATATGTGGTGGCTCCTTGACTTCACACGATGCTGTGGAAAGGCATGAAGCCTCTGCATGCGTACAGGTAGTTGGGTAAACAGCTGCAGGTTTGCGCAGATTGCCCTTACTTAAGTATGTGACAGACGTGACAGACTCCTCAAATGGGTTTCTTGTCTTTCGTTCTTGGGGTTGTTTTGATTCTTCACAAGCTTCCCGCCAAAAGTAGATGCATGATGATGCATGAAAGAATTGCGGGAGTTGATAGACATTGATAGACTACGGGCACCTACGCTCCTGAAGTTGTCAGTTGCACATTGACTGTGCATTGTATAACAGTGTCCGATGTCCGATGGATGGGGCAGCCGCAACGAAGGTTTGGCCCATCTCTTTCCGGGGAGTAGAGTAGGCAGCTTTTGATTCTTGCTCAAGGAGTGCAAGCGTCAAGGCACTTTCAAAGCCGATTTGTTCACTCTGGCGTTTGTGACAGATTCTGATGATTGGTTGATGATGTTGATGTTGCTTTGTTGCTATGTTGCTTTGAGATCTTTGTGTTTTGGTGTCCAGTTCCCTGCGAATGGCAGCTTGTGTATTGTGGTACCAATAAGTTTACAACGCATGGGGGTGAAGCTACAAGCTGAACAAGCCGTGGCTGGCACGTTACGTGTCACAATCCATGCTGGCTCCATGCCCCAATTGGCTGGTCCCGATTTTGAGGAGCTGGGATCCAATAGCGCCAAGCCAGGCACAATTGAACAAGGACAACTTTTCAACATTGTCTATATTGTTTCAACATGTTCAAGATCTGAATGAAGATTGACCAATTGTGAACCTTTCGGAGTGGCCATGATGTGTGTTTCTTTTAACACCCAGAAATTCATGAAGGATTGGTTCTCTTTGACTGAATGGTGGCCAGAAGTCCTTGCACTGTCGATACTGGTATGGTCAGCTAGACCAAAAAGGTAGACGTTTCCTCCTGGGGCCTTGAGGCTATCAATAAGTGGCCAGGCACTTCCAAAGAAGCCCTGGTCTTTGATTCTGGGCAAATGCCAATCTTCAAAAAGTGTACATTATGCCAATCATTATGCATTCTGTTAGGTCTGAAGACAAATATAGCATGATATGATATGGTAGGTTTATTGATTGATTGATTGATAAATAGGCATTGCACTGTATGATAAACAATCTCAGACTTTGCGATATGAGGTTGCGTGATTGATTGGCATACAAATGGACGTAGACACATCAGCACGTTTCCAGCAGAGATACAGATGCGTGAACATTTTACTAGCAGACTACTGTATGATACTGTATGCATAATTTGAGTGTTGAAAGATTCCTCATGTCCAATAGGCTTAGTGTGTGAAGAGTGGTAAAGGAACTCATCAGCATCAGCTGACAGTTGCAGTGGCATCATACTTCTATATTCTACTCGATTTGCTCTGAAGATTGACGAAGCCCAAAAAAAGCCCAAGGTCGCTAAGGGAGATGTGACATGTGCTTTTGTAAGACGCAGCTCAGCCCTCACCAGCCCGCAGCTGCACCATGCACAAACTCCTGCGGCGGAGCCATACCAGTGCGCTGCCAAAGGTGTGCTGCCTTTGTAAAGGGCCCGAAGCCATTCGAAGTCACTATCCAGACCACATATCCAGACACATCCAGACCTAACAAATACAAACAAATACGGTATTGATGCTGAACAAGTATGAACACTCAGAACATCTTTGAAGTATGTTTGACCTGATGCATCCTGATGCCTGTTTCAAAGTGTCGTGTTGAAGTGTTGTTTTTTTATGTGTTTTTAATGTTTTTGCACGTTTGTGCGTTGCATTCGGGCTCGATCCTTTTCCTTGCATTCTCCTTTGCTCCTCGAGTCTAGGTCTAGGCAGCGATGTGAAAGACATTTGGTTCGGCAGTTGTGATCCTTCGCGTCTCTCTGGCATCACGCTCAAAGGGTCGAAGGCTAAGACGCGAACTGAACGTCTACGGCCCAGCCCACCGAGCGACGCTTGCCGAAGCTGAATCTCTTTCGGCCAAAATGTGCTTCTTGCAAGCTGACCTGATATGTGACACAAGGGCAGGAGGTTTTTAAGAGGTTCTGATTCTGAATGATTCTGATATCCGTAGATATCCAGCAAAAATGCATGCAACTTCACTTTTTCATCAAATATGCTCAAAACTGATGGCTTCAAACCAGCATTCGGTAGCAAAAATCACGCAACCCCGCGTCAATTACTTCGTGGTGGCGAGCCAAGTAGGATGCTGAGAAATATGGAGAGATTGCTGAGTCTGTTTGACAATTTTGGACATCACAGCAGCCAATTTTATGACAGCAGCCAGACTTTTGAGAATTGTCAGAAACAAATCGGTTTCAAGATGATTGACATGTGGACATGTGTACTATTTTGATCTATTTTGTACTTGGTTCCAGGCCGCCTATGCATGTGGCCACAGTCTTGTGGCTGCTACCTTTGATTGCAGGCATACTTCTTGTTGTGGTTGGCCTATGTTGGTCTTTTTGTATGTGTTGGAGTCCTTTCAGCAAGTTTCCCCTGCAGACTGCCATTGGCAAATTCAGCGGCGTAGTCAGAGCGTCAAGAAGGAATGGAACCAGTCCAGCCGATTTCTCAAGGATAGGATGGTGCTGCATGGTGCTGCTATGTGCTCCTTGTCCACGCTGCTTGAAGGGGACCACCATTGCAGTCTCAGGCACTGAAAGATTGACTGCCAATTCGTTGTCCACGGAAGGTAGATCATTTGAGCCGAAGCCCCAGACTCTCTCTTTGCGTTCTGTGTCTTGTGCCTCAGATTTCAGACCCACTTCAGGCACGAAGTCAGGAACATCACAGACAACAGCTCCTTGCCAAACTCTTCATGGCCTGGCTCTCAAACCAAGAGGTTTTTGAGTGGAAGAGAATAGAATCTGAATAGAATTTACTGTAGATTATATTATATTATACTATATTATATTATATTATATTATATTTTAGTTCCCAAAAACAATCACAGTCACGATCCCTCAGATTTCAATATATTAAATGGTATTAGGGTATATTAAGGTACATTTCCTGGCACAGGCATCAAATTATAGCCAGGAAAGCACTGGGATGCCTTCTGGTCCTATTAATTGTCGCATTTCGAAATCCATCACGGCGCGACAAGTAGAGTCCTAGCGGAAACAAGAGTCCAAAGCATCAAAGCTCGGACGTTTTCATTAGAGAGTAATATGATGAACATGGAGCTATCAGCTGTCCGATCATTCAACATAGCAAGCTTGCAATATGGAGGTAGTAAGCAGGTTTTTGAAGCTTGTTTTCATTATTTTCATTACAAGATAGCATGGACATGTTGCCCAATGGGTCTCGCTACCCAGCCCTTATCAAAATTCTCAATGCAACCATACCCCAGAAGGCTGTTCTGTGCAGGTCCAGCACTTGGCGTTGTTCACCTAAGGGGCCGAGTTGGTTGCTCCTCCAGGTTTCGAGCAACATGTGTTGTATTGTGTTGCATCACTTATGTTTTGGTATTTTTTGGTTATGTTTGCTTCAAGAACAGAGTGAAGTGTTGGTTGCTGTTGGTTGAGTTTGAGGTTAGAGGACTGCACAGCAGGTCCATATAAGCCCTCTTTGCGCAGGCAGTGCGCCTGGGCATCCTTGAAAGCAAGCAACCTGGTGAAGGCACGGGCCAAGTAGCACAATTTCAATTGTTGTTTATCTTGTGTTTAAAGTTATCAGCTGAATTGAGCTGTGGAAAGATTGATATTGTATGATATTGTATGTCATCATCTACTCGTATTGTGCTGTGGCCGCTACATACTGCTACGATGTTCGCCAATGTGGTGTCCCAACATGGAGGGACCTGACCGAACAAATACAAAAAGAGCTGCCGTGAATTGCATTATCTTGCATGATGTTTTGGAGGATGTCTGTATGATGTACTATATGTACTGTATAAGTGATACAAGTTGACCATCGCTTTGCTTTTACCATCTTTGACCCCATCCACGCATGCACGATCTTCCAGCGGTTCAGGTCCTGCAGATCCATGCTTTGTTGGTTTTACCAAATTCTTCTGGGCAACTCTTCTAGCAGTGTGCCTTAGATGCATTTAGATGTGCTTGGCATAAGAGTGACAGCTGAGATACTTTGAGATGAATGTTTATTTGTAAAAATGTGCGAAACCGTGTCAGTATGCCATGAACAATGCGATAAAACCAAGGACGACGCTCGTTGGCATTTGCCTGCTAGTTCCAGTCATGCTGGAGATAACAAGGCAGGTATTCTGAATTTAGGGTTCGGAATGGTTTGGAGGCAGACCCAGAGTTTCTTATCGTTCAGTACTTGGAGGAGGCGACCACCTGGCGTCCCGCTGGTTCTGTTTGGAATCACTTTTGACTGCGAGCCTGGGGCCTGGCAATGTGTTTCTTCCATTTTTCCTACCCTCGATCTACTCGATCTACTCGTACATATTTGTTCATAACATCTTCAGATGACTTTCTGTAGATTTTCGCTTAATCTTGCGATCGTTTCCCTCTTGTTGTGTTTTTCTTTTCTTTTTGGCCGGAGCCTTGTTGTCTTAACATGCATGTGTTCCTCCGTTTTCTTATCTTGTATTTGTATGCATGTGTGACATGTGTACGTCAATTTGTACTTTCAATTAGGAGCCTGTTTGCACCTACCGAACTAATCTTAACATATCTTAACTTATCATCCTTTCCAAGCTGTCGGGTCATGCCACCCTCTTGCTTTCGTTTTCTTCATGCAGAAGCCAAGGCCAAAGCCGCACGCGGATTCTCATGATTTCTATAGCATGAAGCCGCCGGAGTCAGTGTCTCCTTTGGCGCGTCAGAAGTGATTTAGACATCCGGTGAACATCTGGGTTTGTCTGAAAATAAGGTACCCAAAATCACCAAGATCCCATGGTTCAATACATTTTTCATCCATTTTCCCTATGAAATGGCCATCTGGAGGATATACCTCATCTTTCAGATACACCCATCTTGAGAAAAGACAAGTTTCACATGAGTCCTCTCAGCCGAGCCAGCCGCTAGTGGAATTGGATGAGAAAAAGCCGAGTAGCAGTGGCAGGTACAGTTGGCAAAGAAACTACCATGGACCATGAATCTCTATGGAAGCATAGTTACAAAATGTTGCCAAAAAAAACTATCAAAGTGTACCCGGGAAAAACTCTGGAGACACCTGAGACACGCAGCATTTTACGCCATCGATGATTGTGTTGCTTCCTGAGGGCACTGCTGATGTGGGCATGTGCAAGCTAGCAAATAGATACAGTTAATATCAATTTATTGCAATTTGACATTGCTTTATAATATATAGAAGCAAGGAGGTCGCACGTTCAACGATGTTCAACGTCTCCTGCAAGCCAGTCATTTGCATTCAAATCCAGGCTATTCGAGGCTTACTTTTCTGATCTTTCTGTTTCTCTGCCTGAAGTGCCGTGTGTTGGCAGTTTCGATCTGCTCATTGACCCATCACCCAGGTGAGCACGTGGACATGCAACACGTCAACATGTCACGTCAGATTTAGGTTCAAGACATGGCGCTGGGTAGGATCTGTTGCCACAACACTCTCATGGTTGCACTCTAAAGACATTGACTCACATTGACCCAACAGTGGGGGACATGTGTCTTTCTTGGAGCACATTAGTGAAAGTAAACATGTTGAGAAGGAGAGAAGGACATGTACGTCATGTCATTGAACCTGCTTCCGATGATGAATTTGAAAGAGATTTGTGCGTGGCATAGCCCCGTAATGTGGTGATGCTGAAACCATTCCGTCCAATCACTGAGTGGAAGCTGAGTGCGATTGTTTTCGTTGAACTTGTCGGGGTCTCAAACTCCTGCCCCACTCGTGGTGACATGTTGGCTTACATGGCTTACATGTCACGGTTGGACGTACTCGTGTGAGCATGTGCCGTTGTGATGGAGCTGCAGAAAGCATTTGGAAATGTTTGGATTATGTTTGCTGATTTTATGTGGCATGCTTGGGCAAAGATGTTAAAAGAGCATGGAGGAAAAAGACTTTTGACGTTGGCGTGAACTGCAAAGAATTGCGCACAGAGCACATCGACGAGCTGCGAATTTCGTTCCTGCAGCTGCTGTCAATGTCCTCTCCACAGCCTACTGTATGTTGGCTGAAAGGTTGCAACCCGTCGCTCCCCTTTTTTTTATCAGGCATGTCATGCTTTTCCTTCACAGTTTTCGCGTAAAGAAACATTGAGATTGCACACCAGCTTGTACCACCTCCCGACCAAGTTGCTTTTCGGTCCAACCGGATTGGGCATGTTTTGAAACTCTTGAGGCTCTACTTGTAGTGTAGTGAATCAATACTGTAAGATTGTATGATGCCTTATCATCATTTCGCACCAGGTTGCGGCTTTAGCAGAAATGCATAGAGCGCAGAATGTGCAAGATAATCCTTGGCTGCTGCAAAATTGCCACCGCGCTAGTGCCTCATTTTTTGTGCATGGCATAGCATCCATGGCGTTTGCAGGCTCGACTTGAATGTTGACATCATCGACCCTGTCCAATCTGTACGAACTGTAGCACGGGTAGCCAAAGTTTGCAAGCACTACGAAACACGGTTTGGGTGACTTGGAAAAATAACACCAGATGGCAAACGAAGAGACGCAAACAAAAGCAGCCAGAACAAAATGAACAGAAAAGACAGGTCTTGCTTGCAAGTCTAAACAGTCAGAAAATGACACAGTGATTGCGACAACATGACAAAACAACAATGGTAATTATACAGCTATAATCAGCTATGCATTTCAACGGCACCTATGATGATGCATGTTTTTTTTGAATTCCTCGCTTGCAATGGCGACCGATGTTGCACACCAAAACGGTGAGGCCAGGGGCGTGTCCAGGCACTACAGTTACACCAATTAAATCCAATTAGCCAATTTCGGAACGGGTGTTTTTCAGGGTCTGCCAGTTGTAGTCGACAAAGCAAATCTTTCCCCTCGTTCTGGCTGGAAAATGTTCCAGGCGGGCACCTCAAAGGATGGATCTATTGAGGACTTGAAGGAGAAGGTTCACTTTGGCACCAGTTCAGAATGTTCAAATCTACTTGTAAAATCGTGTATCATCTTGTACCTACTTGTAGCAATCTCTAGAATTCTTGTTTTTACATGTTCTTACTGTGCTTGTAAGATCTTGTAAGCCTGTCCAAGCCACAGGGAAATGTTGCCTTCAAGAGGGCAGCATTGCTTAGGCTGGGGTGATGCATTGTGTTGAAGTGCACATTGATACATTGTCAATTGTTCGCTGTACTTCGCTTTGCTATGTTGTGCTTTTGCTTTCAACAAACATGTGTTTGAAAACCTTTGGAAGCCGCGGCTGTTGCTGTTTTGCTTGTGAACTCTGAGGCGAACCACGGCAGGAAAACAGTATTTGAGTGAAGCCAAATCATACTATATCCAGGCTTGGCTGTTGACCTCCCACTGGACCGTTGGCTTGTCCTTGCAGGGCGGTGCCTCTCATGAAAGAACTTGGCTCAACTTATTTTTTGTTCACACGGAGCTCCGGCAGGAACCATTCAAGACATATTTATAATTATTTGTATAAGTCAGTCAACTATCATGAATAATGCAAGAGATAGATAGAACTAGTACAACACCATATAATATATCTATCATAATATAGTCTACACACATGTAACATCAAGACATGTGTAATGTAAAATTATTGGGTTTGAATTGGCAGATGCAGTCAATATCATCCAGGCCATCCAGCAACTCGGCTTGGCCAGAGCAGATGCAGCCAACCTCGCTTTGACGTCATGCGAGTCTGTTTCAGAAATAGCTTTTCAATGTGTTTGATTGTTTTTTAATGTTTTTCATTCTTTACAAAATTGAGGGTCGAAACGTGTCTTGAAACGATTGTCTATGATTGTCTGTGATTGTCTGTGATTGTCTATTGCCAATCGAGTCACCCATCCCAGTCTCAAGACTGGACGGAACGTATTTGATGGTATGTGTGCCTTTGCCAGGTGCGCGCTGCATTCAAACTTGGCCGCCGTGTATTTGCAGGAGGCGTTGATTTTCACAGTGCTTTACAGTTTTAGATGTTTTTAGCCTGGACATTTGAGGAGTGCACAAGTCAAGGGAAATGTAAAATATGTAAAGGGGACATCCTCCCCGTTGCGCAGCCGAAGGTACCACCAAGATGGACTGAAGCCAAAGCAGCTACAGACATCGCATTGACGATTGACCCGCAGCATGTAGCCGCCTTGGCAAAACATTTTTGTGTTGAAGGATGATTCAACCAGCAGTGGTGTTCTGCGAGGTCAAAGCAAGATTCAGACGCGCTCAAGCACTTCTTCAGGAGCCGTGGTATTACTTGTACCATGGATTTCCGTGGATTACCTGTGTGTTTGTATGTGATGTTGGAGTTGATTCTGCCAGTAATCTAGCCTGTGTTTGCATTTGTCATGATTGTACCGTCTCGCAAGAATATCCAGGCAACCAGGAAATACTTAGAGACTTGGATTCTTGGGTATTCTTTGCAAATTTGTTTGTTTCACAGGACAACAGAGAAGGTCTGTCAGAGGAGGCAGGATAACGTTTGGAAATTGAATTATGTCCAGATGGATCAGATGTAAGGTCATCCTAAGTTGTGGCATGTTGGAGCCGAGACCTGTTGATGTTGACAGGCCCTCCGGGAAGCCTTGTGCGATTTAGAAGCCGTGCAAAAGCTTGAGCCCATGGCCAAGAGATGCCAAGAGATGTTGTTTGATGTTTATCCGAGTTTATCCAAGCATTGCTTCATGAAGTTCAGTCAAGAAACGAAAGCTCGATGACGAAATCATTTGAATTCTGCAGGGTCCTGCACGACCAAGTGTGGTGACACATGGTGAGGCCCGCAAACAAGCAAGTGCGAGAGGAGGCGTCAACTGGCCTAGCAGTCAGTGAAAGTGAGCCAAGCCATAGCGAATTCATTTCACGCTGTTCATGCGATTTCTCAACCCCAGGCTCAATGCTACAGTTCAATGAACACGTCGTAAATGTTGAGTAAACACGGAGGAGATCAAGGAAAGCTTTGTTTGCATGTGAATCTGAACTTCAAAACACTGTGTTGTGTGAGAGGTGAATCGGGTCACTGGCCGAATTCAGCGCTTGGAGAGCAAAAGGATTGTACCTTCTTCGAAAGAGGCTGTATTGCACAGTGATATGGAGTTTGGATATAGACAATATAGAAGCTTTGCATATCTTGACCTTGAATATCTTGAATAGATTGACACATGCGCTGGGATCGCAACTGATGACAGATCCTTCAAAAGCACATAGCCACCTCCTTGCTTGAACGTGGCGGTGATTGTCTCGAGAGCTTTGGCTATGTCAGATTCTTAGCCACCATTTTCAATGACTGCGTTTGATGCATTAGTTTTCTTGGGGGGGACGCTACAAAGATGGAAAAGATATAAAAGATTGAAAAACAATGAAAAACAAACGCTATTTCCAGACGACCCGTATGCTTCCAGATGCTTCCAGTCAAGAAACATCAAGAAACATTATCCCGCATTCGCTCCCACCGCCTGGACATGACAAGATAGTGGGAAGGTGAAGCATATGCAATGCATGTTCAAAATGCAACTTCATTGCTTCCATGGATTGGTTTCCCCTCGGAACAGCATTTCGAGCATTTGTTCGTTGCTAATTCGTGTTAGATTTGATGATAGTTATGTTGATTAATAGTTCTTGAATGTTCTTGATATGTCATGATATTTGATGCTATTCGATTATATTTTGTGTGGCATAATTATACTAGTATAGCAGCATAGTTGTATTCTGTTGTATTGTGGTGTGTTACCGTTTGTCACCAAGGTTTGGGGTCAAAGCGAGACCTTGGTGCACGTCTTTGTCCCAGCTCGTGGGGTCAGCAACTTCCTCAGTGGGGATGCCATCGCCAAACCACGTTACTTTTCTTCAAGGTGGTCTCAGTATGTCTCAGTGGTATATTTGAAGATGTTTGATGTATACTATGGACATCTATGAATCTATGGACTATGGTGATATTGTTGTACACACATGTGCAGGGACATGCTCAGTGAAGCCATATAAGACTCACAAAATGTGTGGGGAACAGAACAATGACGAAGTCGCGCAACTCAAGACGGTTAGCTGGTTGATTCCCAACTTGAGCTCAATTTCGTGAGAGGAATGTCAAAGAATGCAGAGGTTGAGTGTGAGGCACACGGTCTGCGAGCAACAAGTTCTGATGCACAGCGGTATTGTGATTTCATAAGGATCATTGGGTGTTCCCAACACCACATTAAATGGCATTTCTCCAAATTCTGCAGATACAAAGCCGGAAGCTGGCAGTCAAGCTGTTCGGCAATGACGGCCAGACTGTGTGTGAAGCTCAGCGAGAAGTGCTTGCCCAATAATGCAGTCACATTGTATAAACGACATTAAATGACAAAATACTGTAGAAGCCGAATGTAAATCAGAGTGTAGTGTGCGGGTCATTGATTTTGCTTGCGGTCGCATTTGTCTGGACGGTGCTTTTCAGCTTCTGGCAAAAGTCGCAGGATGGAGATTGATTCCCTTTTGCACAAGCCTGTACCTCGCCTTTCATTTGGTGCAGCTGTTTTTCTTTGGGAGGTGAAAGACCTTTGAGCAGTATGATAATTGTTTTACTAACTTACTAACCAATACATTGGGGTGATCATAATCCATTATGGCAAATCCTAGTAACCAGCCAGTAGAAAGGGACGACAGCTTTAAACTTTTGGATTTTTCATTACCTCCCATTAATTTGTCAGTTCACCCAGTTGACGCAATCCCAATGCCAAAGGCCCGTGCAACCAATTGGCAGCGGTGGTACCAAACGGTATACTACCAAAGCCGTAAAGCCAGTCGTAGCCGGTCTGAAACAGCTTGAGGGGGTTGATCAGACCAAATTCGTAATTAGAGAAGATTGCAATCGGTGAATTGTCTATATAACAACTACCTGACATGACACCACACACTTTCTGGTCATCTTTTTCATCTCACTGAAAGCGGTGTGATGCTCACTTCGGTTGATGTCACCCCGAGACCGTGCGCAGCGAAGGGACGACAGAGCTACCATCGAAGTTCGAGACAACACTGTTGGAGGAGGTCATCTGTGTAAAGGTTTGCTTTCAGGTCAGCAATTCAGACTTCGTGCAGAGGTGCCACCAGGTACGAGGAAGGTGACAGTTTTGGGAGGTCAGATCCGCAGTGCATTTTTCAACTTGTGGAGACATGTTCAGGGTTGGGTGCCCTTGGGCAGGGAGCACACCATGCTGGATGGACCACAGTGGTGCACAATGACAATGTTCAGAAGTTTGCCAGTCACCTGACCAAGAATGGCAAGGTCCCTGCGATTCATGGAGACATTTGCAGTCTGGCCACTGTTGCACAGTTGCATGACGCAGCCCCAAATGCAGGCAGTATGGCATTTAGGTATTCATGGCAACCTTTTTCCAAGCTGGGCGACAGAAAAGAAGGTCAAGATGACAGAGCCCGATCATTGCCTTTTGGTCTGTATTGGTCTGTATGCTGCTTTCTTATTGCAGCTTGAACTGATTGTCACAGAATGCGTCCCTGAGGCGAGCACATCCCCATTCGTTTTGCGATGCTTGCAGCAATACATGCAGATGACAGGCAGTGAGCGGTCAGAAGTTCTTTTGGAGCTGGGTGACATTTGGCCCTCCAAGCGCAGAAGGTGGTGGACAGTGTTGCTCAAAGCCTTCATGGGAAAAGTTTTCATTCCACCGTTTCCCAAACCTGACATGGTGCCCACAGTGGCATGCCTGTTTCCAGGAATGATGCCGATGACAGATCAGGAGCTCCAAGAGCTCATCCTGTCCTCTCAGGAGAGGTTGATGTTCAAGAAGTTTGGCAAAGGCTTGGGTGCATACACGACTGGCGTGGCACAGCCCCTCTCTGCATAGCTGGGGCAATCAATGCATCGATTGCGCTTGTAGATGCAGAGGGCCATTGTCCGAGGCAAGGCTACATGCTCATGGTTTGTATGGTGTGCTGCTAGTTTTTGCGCCAGGCCAGTCCCCAGACAGGAACGTTCGTCATTTGTCAGGTCGTGAGATGGCCGTTTTGACAGGGTTTGCCAAATCTGATGGATGGAGGACGATGGACGGACCACCAATGGTTTCTCACTGCCGGTGTTGGTCAAGTAGCGTCACAATTCAAGCCGCTTGGATTTTCACTGCTGTCTTCAACCATCTGATTGACAACGGATTTTGCGCTGGGGACAAGATCCCGCCAAAGCAAATCCTAGGCTGTGTAGCGATGTATCTGTTCAAGCTCCGTGATGAATGGTTTGGCCCAGAGCGCACACTTGCAATGGAGATGTTCCAGGAAGCGCTGGAAAAGTTCCTTGATCCAGGGCCACCGCCATCGTTGCCAGCCCAGGCAGACAGCACGTTTCAAGACACCACCGCAAGCCAAGGTGAAGCCATTGCCAACAACATTGCCGATATTGAAAAGAAGGTATCTCAACATCCGAAGTGTGAGGAAGCATGGATTGCAGGCCCTTCACTGAACCATTCTGGTGATAGTGGCCATTTCACTCATGCACACCCCTCTGAGGATGCAGCCAGCTCCCAAGCATCTATGCCTAGTCATGCCTGTCGGACCTATCCCAGGTCCTGTTGATTCAAAAGAGGAAAACAGCCAGCGGACGGGACGCAAGGACCCAGAAGAAAAGAAGAGCGGAGTAACCAACAACCAGCCAGCGAGCAGGGCGCGAGAACCTGACAAACAGCCAGCGAAGGGGCCGCAAGAACCCCTACCTGAGTCCAGTCTTGCCAGTCTGCCGAGTCCTGCCCAGGTGCCAGTAGGTGGTAGTCCAGATGCAGCCGAACCCAGTAGTGCCAAGGTTTACCCCAAAGAAGAAACTCACAATGCTCAAATGTGGGATACTGCCACAAGTGCAGTTCAAGCATTTGCCACAGTCCTGGCGTCTCCAGTCAAACAATCGACATCATGCAAGCAAGTGGAGGCCAAATTGCTTTGCCCACCTGAAGTGTGTTTTCCATTATCTGATTTGTTGGGTCCAGGGTTGCTGGTCTACGATGTTGACAACCATTTTGGGGGCCAAAGCGAACTTGAGACAGCCATTCAGGCGATTCTCCGCGAACATGGTGCCTTTGCAGATCCTCTTCAGAACAGCTTTGGTCTTACGATCACTGTCAGCAAGTGCCCTGGCAGGTGCATTCAAGGCTGCGCGTCCCTGGCAGCAGCTCAAGCAAATGGCCGCCAACCACTCACCACCCATTAGGCTGGTCCTGGAGAACGAACTCCAAGAAACCATCTGTGCCATTGCAAAGCACAGAGGATCAATCCAAGCCAAGGCACCTGCCAAAGGGAGACAGCCGAGTGCTCCCATTCACTTGCACCCACAGGACATTAGCATTCCCAATGGCAATTTTGGGGAACCCATCGCTCAGTTCATGCAAAACAGATTGCAGTCGGCACAAGGGGTAGTAGCCTTCACTGAGTCGGAGGTCCAACCATTCCTCAAGCTGCCAGGTTGTTTACAGCTCAGGGCTCAGGGTTGGGATTTTTGGTGCTGTCGCCTGCATGCTGGCGCCATACTCCGCTGAAATCGCATCCGCAGGTGAGGCCCACAGGTTCCCAGTCCAAAGCAAGATAACAGGTGAACCGCTGTTAGTCTCTGCAGTGCTCATCCAGCGTGGCAAAGTCCGAGTGGCCCGAAACACTCCACAGCAGGCCCCGGCAATCGATCAAGTGGCCACACAAACTATCAAGTGCTTGGTTCACAGAGATCAGACAGCAGATTGGAATGCAGTTGTCTCCCATCCAGTCAAGTACATCTTCAGTCAGGTCAAAGAGCTGCAAACTTGCAAGGAAGAAGCATGCCAATGCAATCGATGGCACCCAAGGAGCAAGTCACAGACATCCCCATCCTTGATGTGTGGCAAAGAGATTACCTCACCTCACAATCCATTTTCAGAACCTCGCAGGCCGTACAGTGAGGTCACAGCATTTCAAGCTATGATGGAAAGTTTTGGCCACAGAAGCGGAACAGGTCCATGAGAAGGTCAGCCCAGGTGACCCATTCATCGCGGGTGCCAGCCGGACATCCTACCGAGTAGGCCCATTTCCATGGGGTACCACAAAGAAGGCCATACAGCGATTGTTTCAGAGCTGGGGATGGGTTGCCAAAGCCATTCACCCCGTTGCCAAGGCCAAGGACTCCAGTGGATTGATGTGGTTGGTGCACGCAACGTCACCGCCAGGCCATTTGGTGTATCAACTGCAACACGGGGATGTCATCATCCACCAGGAACCTCAACATTCACGTGAAGTGTGGCGTCCTCCGCAGGCCCAAGCCTCCCTCGAAGAGATCAAGGCACAGCAGCAGGAGGAAACATCTGATCCGTGGGCAGAATCTGCCAAGCAGCTGACTCGCAAGTCAGAAGTTTCCACAGACCAGAAGATTGCAAAGCATCTTGAGGCCCGAATGAATCACTAGACGACGGTTGGCCCGAGAGCGAAAAAGATGTGTTTCAAGCAGCTCTGAGTATGGTAGTCGTAAAAGATAGTCGGTGAATAGTTGGTGAATTTTATTGGTGAATTTTAAATGAGCTATGGAAAGGCATGATGTAAAAAAGTAAAATTGATCAAGAAGAGAATGTTGGGTAAAGGGCATCAGATGACATGTGTCGTGGAACCACAGAGAGAAAGAGGGGGAAGAGATAAAGAGAGAGAGAGGTCAGACGCATTTCCACACAAAGACCTTTGAGATACAAAAGAAGCTCGGCACCATGATGCCGTGGATGACCTTAGTTGCAAACAAAGGTGGGCAAACATAGTCGCAATGGAAATGCTACAAAATGCAAAAGTACACAAACAAAGGCTCCGTAAGAAACTAGAACTCCGTGCAAGAATGCTGTGAATGATAGCAAGTTCGATATCATGATGGCAAGGATAACACCTGTTTCACTGCATTTCTCCGATGTCCCTACAGGATGGAAAAAAAACTTTACAGACAAACAACAGTTGGCTACTGGTTTTGCATGTTCGTCACGAACAGTCTCTCCAGACGAACATACTGGTTTTGCATGTTCGTCACGAACAGTCTCTCCAGACGAACAGTGCTACAGATTAATTTGCGCCAGTTGCACTCAGTGCCACTCGGTACGCAAGCCTTCCAGCTCCCACAAGCTGCGTCCAAGCAAAGGTCGGTACCATGATGCTGCAGATGTGGCATGTTTGCCGCTTTTACTACTGCAGCAATCCGGCTACTGCAGTCGATCTTTATCTGGGCACCTCCACGGACACGACCTAAGTTCCAGCATCTCTGTGAACGCAGAAAGATCTTCCAGCCAGTCAGCAGGATGCTCATACTCGAGATTCACAACGCAGTCGTTGCAGTGCCCGCAGATGTAACATCTCTCGGCTGCCATTGTCCTCCAAACATGTTCTATGCTTCTGACTGTTTTTTTGATATATTTCAGATGATGATGACGAAAGTGTGGTATTGTCACGGTCATGATCTTTGCCCAGCCAGCAGAGATTTGCTGAGATGTCCAGCTATCGTCTGACTCGTTTGGATCGCCGGGTTCTTGGTTGGCACCGCAGCAAATACAGATGGTGGTGTCTGCCTCCTTCCAATGACACATTTTCTTCAAAACAACTGGCCAACCAGCTTTTACCAGATAGTGTCCGGTTTCTGGTTGCAAAGAATATTTTGGAGCCAATTCAGAGCTCCCAGGCACAAATGAAAGAACGTGTCGTAGAATTTGTTCATCAAAGACATCCGCCCTTGCACGGATTCCCTCCGCATTCGCTGCCATGGCAGACCACATTTAAATCCCCAAATACTTTATGCGACACGTTTGTGCACCAAAATTTTGTTTGTTGTTAACTGCTGTCATGTCCAACGATGTGGGCGCTGCCGCCGGGTATCCTTCAACACCAAGACCCATAATGGGTACAATCTCTTGCTTCTTCATTTGAAAACAGAATGTAATACAAGTATATTGCAATCTCCCCGCAGCTGCAAAGCAATCGGCTGCCAGGCGCGACATGCTGTTAATGCAGGCTACAGAAGTATTAGTTGAAAGCGCAAGGTTTCGATATTTCCACCACAGCTTGACCTACAAACGTCACATCTATTCAGCGAAACGCATCTGGTCCATGCGTTTACATCTGAGGCAAAAAATGTATAACACACAATCCAATGCGAAGCATCTGCTCTTTCAATTCGAAACTGAAAACACGACTCCGGAGTTTGACATAGCAAATAAGCCCGGTACCATGATGCCGTGTATGACCTCACTTCCAAACAAAGGTGCGCAAACACAGCTTTGGATTGGAAATGTTTAAAAATTGGTATCCAAAAAACAACAAGTGAACGCAGTGAATGATTCCGGGCACAAAACAAGTTCGATATCATGATGGCCTGGACGACACCCTGTTTCACTGCATTTCTCCGATGTCACTACAGGATCGAACAATACTTACAGAGAAGCAACACTTGGCTACTCATGTCACACGTTCGCCACGAACAGTTTCCTCAGGCGAACAGTGGTGCAAATTCGTTTGTGTACGCAGTGAATGATTCCACAAAAACAAGTTCGATAGCATGATGGCATAGATAACACCTGTTGCACTCCATTTCTTCGATGTCCCTACAGGATCGAACAATTTTTACAGACAAACAACAGTTGGCTACTGATCTACCACGTTCGCCACGAACAGTTTCTCCAGGCGAACAGTGGTGCAAATCAATTTGTGCACGCCGCGCTCAGTTCCATGTGCCACTCGGCCCGCAAACCTTCCAGCTGCCACAAAGCCTCCAAGACATAGGGGCGATTGTGCCAAGGGCGCAAGGAAGGTCTTTTCTTAAGCAGCAACTGGACGGCATCCTCTGCAGGGTAGTTGTAACCCACGACGAGCCAAGCACATAAAGCCCCAGCACTTCGATTGATGCCTCCAAAGCAATGAAAGAGCACGTGCATGGATTCGCCCCTGGTCACTGCCAGCATGGACTGTTTCCAGAGTTGGCCACAAACAATTTTCCACTGTTCCAAACAAGAAGCTACCAAGTCAGGGATTCTTTCCTCCCAACGGTGCGGCGGCTTCAATGTCGTGTCTTCCAAATGACACTTGATGTGATAGACATTTTCTTGCTGGAAATACTGCGCCCAATCCTTTGGGGCGCCTCGAATCTCCATTTCATTTGCGCACATGGTCACCACCACGGTGACCTTCACCGACAGAGCCTGGCAAATGTCTTCCAAGCTGCAGGCCGCTTTGATGCTGCCAAGCAGCACCGACGCTCGATCCGTAGGTTTGCAGATCACGGCAGCGTCCAATGGCCACTCCTCTATGGACCCGAAACAGTAAGGGTGCCAACAGGTAATGCGGTCAAGGTCAGTCCAACATTCTTTGTCGGCGTAAGCCTTCCTGATATCTTCTTCGCGCGCCGCTCTCCACTCACGAGCGCTAGTGGTCATGGCTGCCACTGTGATCGAACAAACGTTTCCTACCTTGAACACGACGCAAGCGATTTAACAGATCCGCAATGCACAACTACAGGTCATTCATCCGCAAGCCACGCGAACGACAACAATGCAAACACAACTACAGATCATTGTTTTAATCTACGGTTACAGCATGCAACGATGCCTTCAACCAGAGGTGCGCTAAGATCTAGCTGAGTACTTACTTCCAAGTCGGACACTGAGTTGCAAGCCGAAACTCGATGCCATGATGCTGTAGAACCACTGCTGTTTCCAGCCCTCCTCCATGGCATGCGTAACAGAAACTGCTGTACGAGCATATACGGAAAAAACATGCTCCTTACCATAATGCCGATGATCTCACCTGTTCACGAGTTTTCATATCGAAAATCTCATAGAATTCACCAAATAAGCTCGGTACCGCGATGCAGTGGATGACCTTCCTTAGTTGCACGACTTTCTCTGTACGGTGAAACTGTAAACAAAGGATAACAAAAGCGCGCAAACGAATGCTTATCATGATGGCACGGAAGACATCCTTTTCATTGCATTTCGCTCGATGCACGGACAGTCCCTGTAGCATCGAGCCCGTCAAAAATTCCGCGTTTAACAGATCACTCCTCGTTGGCTCGCACCTCCCGTTGGATGGACAGCAACTCGGGATCCTTGGCCCAACGCGCATCCGACACCACAGATCGAAAGGTCGGGTTTGCACGAAGCCAGCGGCTCCACTGTCTATTCACTCTGCATAGGTTGTACCACCCGCAAAGTGAGATCCAAGCCAGAA